ATAACACTGATATTTCGACAAATGGCCACAATGGTCCGCTTGCGCATGAAGCCATTTAGAAATATCGTCCATCCCTATCAGGGTTTTTTTTCTTTGTTTCTGGTGTTTTTGTTTCATGAGGTTTTTCATACCAAAATTTTAATAGAGCAACAGCCTTGCGTTTGCTTGTACTGTGTCCTGGTGGATATCATACATATATTTAGACGAAAATATGACTTTCATTTGTATATATTAATTATTATGAATATCCCGTCTTGGGTTGAGGACTATTTTCAGAAGCTTGATTTTTAAGCGACCATTCTGCGAAGCATAGGCCTGTAATAGGAATCCAGAGTATTGTACATAACTGCTTTATTTATGCTGTCTGATAATAATGTGAAATTGCCCCACTAGGTGCTTAAACCCTTGTCGTAAAGGGGTTGGCTTGGAAAGGCTCTAGTAAATAATAGTCGCAGAGCTAGTACAAAAAGCCATAGACTCCGGGTCCCTTGGCCTTTGAAACCGTACTAATTCTTGCTGTACCTCACTCGAAGATGATCTCGAGAGTACAGTGCTTGACTCAGATGAGAAATGCTCATCTACTGGCGACTAGACTAGATTACGATGACGTAAGAAGGTATCTCTTAGTACTCGTCCTTACGCGACCAGCCTCAACATTCTCATTAATGCGATAGGGGTTGCAGAACGAGTGATACTGTATGAGTCCTGCGGAATAACCCTGCCTATCAGCTCTATCTCGTATTCCAAGATTCAATGTGCGATATGCAAGGTCCAGTACCGATACTCCCCGACAGGGTATGTACCTACATGGATTGTTTATTCATAAGCTTTATGGAACCCTTTCTTGCTGTCTAAAACACGCGTGCCTAGGCGACTGCAAACATATCTAGCCGAGAATTGTATCCAGATCTCTCCATGAAGAAAAGACTTCTGCTAGCTGATAAATAAGTAGCCAATTCCAGAACTCTCAACATGTGTGCAGGGTAAAATCTTTCGGTTTGGAAGCCGGAAAGACATACCGAAAGAGTGGTATTAACTGTGTATTTATTACGGGCATCACCGCATACGTGATTTATAAGGTAGTAGATATATTCTCGCCTATGGTGATTTATTTAGTCTTCAAGTGTTCTGGCCCACGGAGTGGTCTAGCTGATGTCATCTCGGACTAGATTCCAAAATTCAAGTATTTGGAATACCTTATTTATGGTAAAGGATTCTCTAGTGGGATCTTTCGGTAGTACATGGTTACTTTGTGCCATGAAAAACAAGATCCCATGCGCGATTGGCTGCAAGGTTAAGGAGCTTCGAGGTGGAAGTAGTAAGCATAATCGATTTCCGAAAGAAAGTTTGCATTGCATGCAACGATCTAGTTTAATCCGCCCTATGGGTGGAGAAATGCAGTGGCCCTGTACCTGCATGAAGCTCGCCTCCCACTACTGATTTGGTATAATATGCGTAGGCTGGCCATGGTGCTCGATTTATGAAACCTGTGACCGGTGTGCAGTCCCCTTGGCACAATCTCGTTCTGCACGCGGAAATGGGGAGGTACTATATTAAAGGTATTGTATCCATAGTAACGGTGACTTGGTAACTAGAGGCTGAGTCAATTATGAAGGATCGACGGATTTGAGAGATCCCTAACTACTAACACGGCGTAATTACGGCTAAATTCTTATGAAAGCTCACTCGGCCTATTCGTTTTAGCTGAAGCAACTTTCGTATCTCTGGGCTAGTTAGACAGACTTAAGATTGTCATATATAACTTATGAGGGTAGGAGAGGGAGAGGGAGAGGGAGACATGTATCTACTCTGTGTACATGTGTATATATATCCAACTGTTAACCAGCGCTTCCTAAACATCGGTTACGTATAAGGGAGCGAATGATCTCGGTAAATCAGTCCCTGTCATGTTGAAGTATCTGGGATTCTTCTCTTCTTTTTATCTTGTTTTATGAATTGGAGCCGTGACATGATCAAGAGTTACTCACCCAATTAAACAGATGATGATGATTGGTATAATACATCCACGTAGAAACCCATAAGTAGTCACGACAATCAATTTCCAGATGAACATTTTCCTATCGTCTTTGTTGAGCTATGGAAAGAGGTCCAGAATTGTGTCTTCGCATATTTGAATCATCCCTCCGACCCATTGTGAGATGATTCAGATTGAGTACGTTTTGAGAGACGCTTCATATCTAAAAAGCGATGGGCTTGAGCTTGGAGATGACGAATGAATAAATGAGGTTGACAAAGTTTGAAGATGAACTGGGTTTTATGAGGTTCTGAAAAGTTTATTCCCTTTGATAGGCTTACGTTATAATGGAGCTAGGGCTTTTGATAGCTTACATACATGTGTGTATCTTTTTAGTTCCATTGGCCCAGAGATATGTACGTGTACTTTTCCGTTTCCATCATGAGCTCATCGCCGCGCGTCGCCCCCCTTCCGGATCCATTCATGGCTTTTCACTTTAAAGTGGCCATTGATTTCAAATAAAAGAACTCTTAATTCAAAGAGAGTATAAACGATGTTGGTACGTCCATAGTCTACGCTCCATGAGGCCATTGAGGAACGGGACAGAGGGTCCGGCGTTAGCTGGTTGCAAATGCGTTATGTCTGATGATCTGATTGAGGCTGACTACATGTACTTATATATACCATATTGGACGCCGTAGGTGATAAAATACGTTCTACTAGTAGTGACCCACCTCGCGGCCGCGAGTTGCACCTTGGATTATGGGTATCAAGTGTTCAATAATTGAGAAAGGCTTTCAATGGGCCTTCGGCCCCCTTCCACCTCCCCTTCTACCTCTCTACAATTATGGGGACCTTCGGTCCCGTTCATTCGTGTGTATGTTTTTGATGTGTCGTGCTTACTTAACCCACCCCTGTCTCTGTCGACTAATCAAATGCTTGAGAGTTTAGAAAAGTCGAGTTTCAATACATATTAGATCGCCTCGTGCGAATATAGCTGATCTGCAGTCCGTCTCACACGTAGCGTGAGTTCACGCAGCAGGTGCTGATCAGCTGACCGATCATCGGACATTGAGTTCTGTTTAAGCTTGCCATTAACACAGTCTTATTCCTTCGCTCAGGTAAATACATGTACAGCCACTCTGCAAAAGTGTTCGTGATTCCGATTTCGGAGTGAGACATTTCTCTATGTGTAACCATGGCGGACCATTAAAACCCCCCAAGCGAAAACTTTCCCAGTGATCAATGGAGCCCGGAATCAATTAAGAATAAGATCAATGACCTATCTTCTATTATATATAGTCACGAACTATATTATATATTTTTTGTTGTTTTGAATCTCTACATTAATAACATCAACGTCACGAGTGCGCCACACTGCGCACTGACATTAAAACCAAATCACGAACACTTTTGCTGAGTGGCTGTACCCTCTCATCACTTGATTGATGATTGACGATTGGTAATTCATTAATTGTTTGCAGCACGGGGGCTATGTCAAATCCTCTCATCACTCGATAGGCCATGGATTCATAAGAGGCGGGAAATATGTATAGTTTAGTTGTAGAAGAAGCCTTATAGAACAAATATTTGTATGGGAAAATGTGATATATGTAATTCTCGCCGTTAGCGACGCGCCATTGTCTGAGAATACCGAATTAACTCCCCATCTGCTAGAAATACCTTAAAAAGGATATATGACTACCGTAATCAGGCAGTATGCTGATGAATCCCGCCGGAAATTCATTCTAGTTATTATCCTGACTTGACCGGCCAATTGTTCTTCCAATCAAAGGTAGAAAAAGTAAGTGTGTAGTATTCCATGAGCTCGGTGACATTTTCGATCTAGCTATAGTAAATAACATAGGCCTCTTGTCAATGCCTGCGGGATAGGTGGTGTTTTTAACTTTCAAATACTTGGGTAATGTGCTGTGGTGGGGTCTCAAGTCTTGCAATTTGAGTAAGTTTTCAAGATCACTCGACCCACACATTCTGTCCAAGCCCTACCCAAATAATAAATCATGAACTAATGCACTGGGAGTACTACTAAGTAAGCAGCTCATGATCAAAAAAACCAATTCAATTGATAAAATGAAATCATCAAGACTCACTCATTAAGATATTTGAGCAATCGGGAGTACGTCTCGCGAAGCGAATTCGTGATTTGCTAATTACCTTGTAGGGTCACCCCAATGAATGTCTTTGCGACTATTTCTGAGCTTCTACAGAGCTTAAGCTGATGAAAAGAATACATTACCCTCTCCTGGGCTGATCCTCCCTGAGTTTCATATTAATGAATTAAACAAAAAAAATCCCTGAGTTTCATATAGTCTTTTTAGTATCTTCTAGGATCGAGTGATATCTCATGAACGAATCTAGCAAAACATCTGCCCTACCCCTACATAGCCGCACGATTTTTTACTACTACTAACCTTATTTGGGTGTCGATCTAGCAAAAGGTACCTGTGTGGCAACGCAACGAGGCCTCACCAGTTCGCTACCGCGCTGTACAGCCTCTAACTGATGGGACAATTCTGGGCCCTCACCAAGGTTCTCTGAGCTTTAGATTTGGAGTTTATCCATTGTATGGTTCTTCAGAATAAGGATCTGGCTGTGCGGACTGTTTTGCTAGATCGACACTCATTTTTTGATTGAGGCCTAATTAATTACATTTATATTCGTATTATGTGTGACATGCCAAAATAATGTTTTTTTTTTGCTGAGTTGCAGCCGCGTTGCAGGTGAGAAATGCTTTGATTGTCTGCTAAAGTGAAGTATATATGTGCTTATGAAACAAAATTAAAGCAGTGCTACATCCTAAGCGATTCCTTATTAAACGAAAGTATTACTATGCATCCCTATGCAATGCCTTATATGCGAAAAACCCTCATAAAACCCATCAAATCGTCCTCCCCTTCCCTGATTTCCCCTTACTCATGTTTTCGCCTATCATACACATTTCATCCATTCCCGTACCAATATTCATACAAACCGATCCGATTCCCTCTCCACTCGAATAACCTCACTAAATTGGTCCACGAAAGATCCTGCCACTGACAACGCCAAAGACCATTGCAATAGCAACAATAGCCCATGAGACAATAACAACCAAATCCAGCACCTCCGCACCCACAGCCAGAATCTTAGGGTATCCCAGGAGCCTTGCAAGATGTGTACTTGCCAACGCGAATCCAACTATACACTTATCAGCACCCCACCATAATAACCAAGACCACACCGGGGAAGAAACTCACCATTCGGGAAGATCAGTGCAAACATCTGTAACTGTTGAACACCAATATCCATCTCTCCTAAAGCTACAATATTGCCCAGCACGGAGACACAAAAGAACCAAGCAGCCAATCCCCAGAACATCAATGCCATCACCATACCGATATAGTACAGTGCTACGCCGCCGACAACTTCAAAGGTTTCACCCGGAGTAGAGGGATTTGCTGGGAAGTGCTTGAGTGATTGCTCGGCCATGAGGGCGAAAGATAGAGCTGTGAAGGCGGGAGGACCGACGGAAACGAACATTGATGGGCGGTTTGCGATGGAGGGGAGGGCATTGCGGTAGAGGCTGTCGACAAATCCAGCGAGATACTAGGGACATGATTAGCTCATTGATGAATAGCATGGACCCGAGAAACCTACGATAAGGCCGAGGAGCGCGCCCATTCCCTGAACCGCAGTTGCAGTGTAGAGGATTGGCATTGCGAGATGGTGGCCGCTGATAGGATCGATATGGGAGACGACTGTTGAGGCCGCATATCCGACGAGAGTAAGGGGGAGAATCTGTTGAATAGCCATTGGGGAGTAATCCTGAAGATGTCATGTTAGTAAAACATTGCTGGTTTTCAGGAAGAATTGGACCATACCCATACATATACTCTTGCAGCCGGAGCCTCGTCATCAATACGAGCCACCCTCGTTCGCGAAAACCTGTTTATTCTATCAATGGCCGTGGTAACGAGTGATATCGGGTGAGTAAAATACTCACTGCACTAACGGAGTGGCAACGCCAAATAACACAGCGACCCCAACAAAAATCCAGTAAAACGCCCTCAACGCCATTCCATGAGTGGTATGCATTTTTTCACTGTATGTAGCTCCATCGATGATCAGAATTCCCATGGCTGCGGCAAACGTCGATACAAAGAGGCCTTCTGATTGATGCGTTATGCTCGCTGGTAGAACACGAGGATTTAGTGCGAATCGGGTTAGGTGGATTAGTAGTAACAGTAGGAACCCAATCAGGGATGCCATATAAACGATGCCGCCTAGTTTGTTAAGATTAGTAGTGTTTTCATAACCCGAATGGGGTAGCATCTCGTACCAACAATCCAAAGCGGTTTGACCGCGTAGGGTAGATTGAAAATTATTAACGCCACACCACCAGATGACATGATTGTTGTGTACCATCTATCAATATCGTGATCAGCAAATTGTGAATCTCTTTCGAATACCATTGGCAACAAAACTCACGCCCATGTCATTTTGTTCTCTAAAATATCTCTCCACCCATGTGGCCCTTCATCCCGCCCGCGATTGTTACTCGGCAAAAGAGGCGAGTCCTCTCGCTGCGCTCCATTGAGGTGTCGTGGTAGAGACATGATGGCGTTCGTAGAAAATATGAATTATTAGGATTTTCCAAAAGTGCCAAAGGTAGGAATCCGAATCCAAGAGAGAACTCGCACTTGTCCACGGATACTTTGGAGTTTTATTCCTCCACCCTCTCGAGCTGGGTGGTGGATGACGACACAACATTGCTCGCCGAGGGCTTTCGTCTTGATTTCGTCATGGTGATATCCACACCAATGGGCGAGAATCTCGATTTCCGCTGGTAGCCGGCTAAGCTGGGTTAGGATGCCGGTGCTGAGAATAATAGCATTGTGGATGCATAATCGGTTATTTGAGGAAAAGAGACGAGTAATCATTGGTTTATTACATAATATTAAGGTAATAATTCGTCCAGTTTGGGAACCCGCGTTGGGGAAGTGCTTGGCCCCAGGATGCCGATAATACGGCTACGAGTATATCTAATCACAGATAAGCCGTCGCACCTCGTTATCCCGGTGCCAAGGACAACTTACAAACAGCATGGCATCAGAAGTCAGAATTACCTTCAACTACAAGCTCCAAAGCGGTGACCCCAAGGTCACGGCTAGCAGATTAACCTCATTTGACACCTGCGGAGAAGTTGTAGCGTTAACGCCCGAAACAGGGGGACGCGTCTAGCGCTTCAAACTTCTAAAGATATCTCTTTTTTATTTTATTTTTCCTTTTTCACAACAACCGTTACAGCGATTCACAGGCATTTGGCGAATACACCCATTTGACGAACAGGGGTCACGGCCAATAAGAATCAGGATATCTTAGTCAAACTCGCAGTTTGACTGGTTGCTGGCTGGTTGCTACATACAAATTCGCCAAATGGGTGTATTCGCCAAATGCCTGTGAATCGCTGTCCTGTAACGGTTATCGCAATCTCAATTCCATGTGCGATGTTGGTACATACATACGCGCGAGCGATCGTACATAGTTCGAATCACGACAGCCCTTAACCTAATGCATAAGGAAGGGATGATCGCACGCAGAGAGTAAATTTCACCTAAAATAGGTCGTTAGGCATAGTTGCAAAAAGTTAATATAATTTTCATGCATTGTAGGCACGCAGATGGACAGATGTGATATCTGATATGGATTTAGGGGATGCACTGGGGGACAACCGGCTCTTTTGACTTTACCCTGGTCTGGTGGAAGATTCAGAGTGATATCAAATTCCTAAACCATAATCACCGTTTCTGGATCGATTAAGCTCATGAAGAAACAGATAATTCTGGCAAAGCATTAGATACTTCACGAATATACGTGCAAAAAAAAGTTCAACAAAACCTGTCCCTACTACTATTACCCCTTCCCAAAGCGGCATCACCCGGCTCGTATAAATCGGTACCTCAATATATAAAACCCCCACATACCCATGGCCATCCCCCGCATCGCACGCGCTCACAGACCAAAATTACGCAGTAGCGGCGTCTCTCCAAAAACAATCAAGAGGTTGGCCAAAGAGGGGTAATATAGTGTTATTTTCTTAAGAACAATATGTATGATCCTAGGAACTCTAACAATATGAGTGTCATGATCAATCATAGGACAGTATCTTGCATGATAGCGACGTCTCAGGCATCCCAGCGCGATTGGAGATATCGTGGAATGTGACCATCTTGCTTAGTGACAAGTGAGACTTTTTGATCTGTCACGAGCTCAATAATGAGTTCTCACATCCATCGAAACCGGGAGAAAATTTGGGACAAGGGTTGGGTCTTATCGTGTGTAGAAAACTGATAATAGGTACAGTCTCTCACGTAGTGACCGCGGATCCTGTCTGGTGGTTATGTTTACAGTAATTTAGCCTTGGCGGTCCAAAGTTAACTCTGCTATTGGCCTCAAATCCCTGGCCGCCATCAGACAGGATCCGCCTCCATCCCGTGAGTGAGTGTAAATATGCAGCGGCTGTGCTAAGGCCACCGTTGATATATCTCAGCTCAGCTCTGGTAAACAATGCCTAACAATTATGTATGTGGATCGTTTACCCCACTCCCTACCTCGTGACAGACATCGAAGACTCGAATCAGCTCAAGAACTTAACCACAAAAAAGGTTTCAACCCACGATACTAAGACCTAGAACCTATGTCCCATCTCCATATCCGTAGTACTGCGGATATACACTCCCCAAACCGTATCGGCCCGCCATGCCATGTCGTCCATCTCCTCCCCAGTACATATTCACCCCCGCACATCCCGTCCATCCCGCAGCACACACATATGCACCTCCTCCTCACTTCGATGGAAAACAACTCATGTCCCGGATATCCAGCCAATCAGCCTATTGTAAAATAAACACCCATCGCATTCAGGAATAACCGAAGCCCGTGGTGGGCCGACTCTAGATTCTCTCATGGCGGGGCTGGTATGGAAGGGCTAGGGCTGGCGCCATAGTTATTCCTCAGAATGTGAGATAAGAGGGTTTGCAGAGTCTACCGGGGTCTGGCTTGAGATTCTGGCGATTAAGTAAAGTCCGTGCCATTGGCGAATGAGTGCTTAACCTGGTCCATGATCAGTAACGAGTAAATTTGTAGAGAGCCTAATCAGATCAGCATAAACAACTAATAACTACTCGCTGTAGGAAAACAAAGATGATACGTGGCAATCGACATAGTTGTTCCTTGAACCCTCTTCTAGCTACTACCTTAGTCTACCTGGCCTTAATGCGCTATCAATGTAGTAAATACATGTAGTAAAAGCGCTGCAACCCTAAACCTCTTCACCTTCACATAAGATCGTTAATCCTGGCTCTGTGACTTCATATGTCTCCAGTCTAACGCTCAATGATGATCTCCGTATGATCCGTGATATGCTTGCCAGATTGGTATCTCTACAACTCGAAGTTTACCGCCGTGAAATATTCATCTGCCGAATATTATTTTCAACCCAGTCCCGAAGCACGGCTTTTGTAAGAGCGGAACTTGAGGTTCCGAGTAAAACAGCAGATGAAATGGGGCTATCCTTGTTCCTTTGGAGTAGAGAAATGATAGCTTGTAATATAGAGTAGTTATCTCTCAATTATTTCCCCAAACGCATCGGCGATCATGCTGGAATTTAGGTAGACGTTTTGGTGAACAATCACATGCCATCGTGAATTATTCCTATTTGCAGCTTTCGTAATTGTGTTGGCTCTTCATGAGATGCGCTATTCATTCAATCCATTCAATCGATCTATCTATCTGCCTCGGAGTCAACATCGCAAAACGGAAATGATCAATCACAGGAAAAACCCACTCCAGCCTCCTTCCTCCTACACTCCCACCTTCAATTCCACCTCAGATGTTCAATCCGCCCTCAATAATCTCTATAGATCTAGTATAAAAATACACCATTCACACGTTAACCCGGTATCTCCTGTTTCAAGCAAAGAGATCTGATCCCTCGGCCTCGGCTCCTGGAGATCATCCAGTCAGCAAGCCTCGGGATTATATTATAATTAGATGAATAGATATATTGTATCAGTATAGCAGCCGTTTAATCCCCGGCCCGTTGGACGAATTGATTGATCTGCATCTCGCTGGCGGTAATGTGATTCGCAATCGGCTCTGATTGAAGGAAGATTACCTAGATTTGAGGATCTGGTTCAAGACTTTTAATCCAGTCTGTGCAAATCGAACCCTATCACCGTTAAAACCATACTATCATTACCGCGCACACTGCAACCTCCCGCCGGGCCAGTTGCAACTGTCAATCAGTCAGTGTCTGTTCCTGCCTTCGTTCCCTATCCCTAGCCTATTTTTACTCGTCGCTGAAACTCGAGATATAATTAGCCGCCCCCTGCAGGCCGATGCATTCACTCAACTCAGTGCACTACTGGAGGCGCCCGACCTCCATCCCTTGTTGCATATTAGTTAGTGTTCATAGTCTAAGGATTTTCATAAGTCACATGTGCACAGAATGATAGCGGAAAAGGCCATTTTGTTCATGGATAAAAAAACTCATTTCTTTTTTTTCAGATTGGTTTTTGTCTCTCGTTACAAATCCCTTTCATATCCCCAAAACCCACTCGTAAAGATCCATAAAGAAAAAAAAGTTACCGGTCACTAGTGTTCGCGACGCACTAGTGAACCGATAGAAGAAAAAGCTAGCTAGCCAAAAAAGAGAAGAGGATGAAGAAGAAAGAGGAAAAAGAGAAACAGGATTTTTCGGACCACACAAAAGAAAATCGTAAAAAAAATCGCCTCTGTCGCCGCCGCCGTGGCCGGAAAATTGACACAATCGCACTGAGAGAGATGATGGAGGAGGAGGGAATCCGAACCGAAAACCCCCACAAAAAAATTAGACACGCAGGACCGCTGACATGATGCCCTATCGTAGCCAACGGTCCCACTATTAATAAAAAACATCCAGAATCGCCAGTATCCCAAAAACATATAAAAAACCCGCTATGCTGATCATATCAAATGACTTTTGTCGCTACCGTAAAGAGAGTCATTACTAATAAATAGTAGTAATAGTAGTGGTGGTGCTTTAATAAAAGCGATTAAGTAAGGAATGGAACGGATGGACCACTAGGGCTCTACATCCTCAGTCTCTGCTCGAGTTCGTATGCCAATTGTCCGCCATGACCTGCCTTTGATGGGTGGTAGCTCGCGCGCTTTGAGACGCGGATCTGCCTGCGCTCGTACTCTTCTTCATCCTCGGACGAGCAGTATTCAGAGCATGAGTCATCCTCAAAGTACGAGTGGCCATGGCTTTCGGTGAATGGGCAGTCGCAATCGTCAATGGGGGTGATTGGTGAATCCTCGTCGGAGAAGACGGTCGAGTTTGAGCGAGATGAGTATGCGGATGAGATTGGCGAGTCTCCGCATGTGGTGGCGGCGCTGGTCATGACACTTACTGGGCGGATATTGGTGTCGAGGGTAAGCTTGTGCATAGCGAGGGGGTTTCGGGGTACTGGCTGGATGATGTGGGACGCTGGGCGATATCTTGGTGGGGACTGTTGCCTGCGGCGCTCAGACTGGGCGGGTGAAGAGCCGCGGGAAGATATCGAAGAGCTTGGGGAGGGGAAGCGGGAGGAGCTGCGGGAGGAGGAGGTCGAAGAAGTCGGGCTGGCTTCACGAGGTGACCCGACGCCGGTCTCGAGAATATTGAGCGTGATGCCGCGGGTAGGCTCCTTGCAGGTGGGTTGGTTGGGGTCGTGGGACTCGAAGTATCCATCAAGGACATAGTAGTACCAGAACCTGGAGGGGGTAGCAGGGAATTTTAGGGTGATCTTCCAGAAACCGGGGCCAGCGGCGGTATCCTGGGCCATGGACATCTTCTTCTCGTACTTATCCCATGAGCCGAGCAAGTGGCAGGACTCAATGTGGGCGGGAGTGCGGAGCTTGAAGGTGGTTGATTGGAAAGACATGGCTGAGTAATTGATTATATTTGGTTATTGGGGTAGGTAGTTGTAAATAGGGTAATAGGGCAAATTGGGGTAAGTTGGGCAAAAAAAAAATATTAATTAAAGAAGAGAATGATGACTATCAAAGTCGAAAAATTTATTATATAAAAAAGTAGTGTAAGGGGGGAGACTCGACTATCAAAGTACGAGATCTTGGTGGGAAGGGATGAGGAGGGGGAAGGAGGATGGTGATGAGGATGGAAGATAAAGACTGGATTTGGAGGGGGATGTGGATGGTATTTATCACCATCTAGTGGATTTGTATGTGTGAGTGGCCAATGTGTGAAAATGCGAATATCCGTAGGGTGTGTCTGCGTACCTGTCTTACCCAATCCCAGCTGCAAGTGGTGTGTGTGGACCGTGAGGAACAGCATGAGCTATGCAACACAAACACCGGATCTGTCAGTCAATCACATCACAAAAAGACAAAAAGGGATCAGCACCTCCAAAAATAAAAATAAAATGCCCTCAACCATACAAATGGCGGCTACATGGGGTGCCTGTCCAGTCGTTGGGAAACAACCAGGGCCGAATTTGATCGTTCATGTGGGACAGAACATGGTGTGCCCAGGTCTAGAGTATCGTTTGGAACGCATGAGCCAGGGGCTGGACCATTCACCAGGCATGCATGGCGCCTCGCTTCCTGTAGGCTGTTGGTTTTTTTTTTTTCCTTTCCCTAGCTTCCCCCTTCCTCTTTCCCTTTTCTCTCTTGTGCTTTAACGAACCCGATTTAGAGTTAGCGAGTCATCGCTTCCCTTCATCCCTCATCGTTTTATGGCCGATATGGTAGGGTTCCCGCACACGCAAGGCGCAGCTATTCTTGTCTCTCCCCCTGCCCTTCCCCTTGTCCTGTGGTTGGTTCATGGTGTGGTGCGTAATTATGCGTGGGGTCGATTTGCATATCCTTGGCCCTGTTTGTCCCCCCACCGGTTATTTGTGGGTGACGATGGTGAATTTGAGGAAGATCGCGAGTGAGACAGCCGAGTATCCGGATGATGAACCGAGTGATTGATTGAGGATTGCTTTGACGTCGACTGGATCTTCATGACGCTGCTGCTGAAGGAGTAGGTTCTGCGGATGATCGCCTGTGATACTCAGCTGAATTGAAGGCCAGCTGAAATAAGCTGTGGCGGAGAAATAACGAGATATGTGTTAGATGCCTAGAAGCATAAAATTAATTAATGAATTAGATCCAACAAGGAGAAGGCCTCCCCATGCCGAGCAGAAGCTTAATGAAGCTTAATTGTTGCCCCTATCTAGACCTCAAAGGCCAGAGTAATGTTCCTTAGAAAGCCTTGTTGGTTGTGCTGTAAGTAACCATCCAAGCGAGCTGTCGTTGGAGTTGTGGCCGTAGGGTTTCCACCTGCAGCACAACAGCCCTACTAACGTCTTCAACACAGCTCACCAACCACAGACCTTCCCCCACAGCCCTCTCCATCACCATCATCATCGACTCCCCCACATACCACAGACTCCCCATTGGCACGTCCCCGCAGTTCTCAAACACCCCTTAAAAGCTTAAATTCCTCCCAAACCACGGTTGACACAACACCCCGCGTTCCGAGGCAAAGTGAAGCGGATGTTTCATCCTAACAGCTCCCCCCTTGTAGAAGATCATACAGCTCCGTTTTTCTTTTCTGGGGAGACGGGGCTATATCAGAGTTGTAGTATATAGGGGGGAGTATTCCTCTACCTCCTCTTTCTCCTCCTACGTATGTACGTCTCTGATCTATGAGGATGAGAGTAGTGATAATCAATAAGCATGAGCTAAGTATTCAAGAATAAGGACAGGACTATCCCCATGGATGACAGCGGAGAGAAACGATTTAGTACGACAGGGTCAACAATTATTACTCTAGGAACCGATATCGTCATCTTCCTAGCATCGACGATCTGTCAAGTTCACTCCCAGCATACGCAACACCTATGTCAAAGGTAACCACTGCTTCGTTTCCAATATCACTGCAGGGTTCTTGGGAGAGCTCCAACCTCCAAGGCACACACCTCGACGAATTACTACCACTGACAGGATCTCTTTCACTAGTGAAATACGTTACCCAACTAAATGCTGTATCCCCCGCATTTGTCACTGACCCTTTTCTCCAACCACTTAGTATTAATTACCACGATCACAGAACTCATCGGACCGACAAAACCCCCAAGTCCCGCTAACCGCATCCATCACTCTATTTTTAATCCGGCAACACCCACCTGTATCCCTGCAGTACGCAATCCCTGCATGTTCGTTCATGCATGCAGCATAACCGGTTTCCCCTCTCGCTCCACCCACCAATAACACGCGCTAAAAATCCAACTGCATAAACAATCCCCGCCGCTAGGGTGGAGGTGGCAGTGGTTGGTCAGAAGATCGTGGATGAGTTTTTTAATTCTGTCTACCTACCTAGTACCAGGACGCCGGGGAAGGGTTCTCCCAACAAAACGGCGTTTGGTAAATTAAACAACTGTTGTGGCAGAGCGAATGGGAGCTCAGAGATGGAGGGAGAATGTGAATAGTAGCTAGCTAGCGTTGGGGTTCTTAGGCTGAGATCTGAGGGCGGATGGCGCGGCGATGGTGGAATGGATGTGATAGGTAGGATGTGCTAACGGGCTAGTTACGTAGGTTCAACCAGGTATCGTGGGATTGAGCGATAGAATACTCTTGAGGGGTTGCAGGGCAGGTAGGGAAGAACGTTTCGCCGGTCTGCCGTTGTGTTGGAGAATTCGGTCCGGATCCGCTGTCAAGTCCAACTCTGACTTCGAGCAGATGTCCGCATACGCAGATGAGGAAGCACGGGTTAGATTACATGGCATGTAGACTTGATTATGATGATGTAGTTAGGCGGATCAACCAAGCTTCTCCCTAAAGTAAGTAAGGGGTAAGGTAGTGGAGCGGGTAAGTGATCTAAAAACACATATCCTGCATTTACTCATCCGCGCCTATGTAGAGTGTGATTTTTGTGCCCTAATATATTAACTACATATTTATGCATGTCAGGACCCAACATAAACGCACCCTGTGACCCGACCACGGCCTTTCAATAGGCCTCATCCGCTATATCGAACCTTTCTGTACGTACCTCATTCCCTGGCCCAGTCAATACGTTACAAAGACTTTGGCCTTAGATAAGCTGGCTTTTAGGCAAGGGCTGAACGGTAGCACTCTTCACAGTTGTCGACACATCCCCTGTTAAATTTAACAATCGAGCTCGGTGTGTCAGAGATCTTATCAGGACATATCGTGAACCGACCAAACACTCACAACGTTACCATAGCTACTCGCGCTTAGTTTCCTTCTACTTTATTTCCTATGTCTGTTTACTGATCACAATCGCCTCACTCCGCAAACAATTGGCTGAAGTTGTAATTTTAACATTCGCAGGGCGAATATATGACGTTAGAATATCTACCTGAAATCAACACGTCAAGGGAACCTTGTGGGGGTACTTGTTCGATGTTATTACTGGTCGTTGGAGCGAGATATCGCGCAAAATTCAGATGATCATGGTCCTGCTAGAGATTGTCAGGTTCGAGGTTAGGCGCTAAGCCAGGATATGGGTTCCCTGTGATGTTAGAGACGCGCACAATCATGGGGTATCACTCGGTTTACTTGCTTTTCTCGTACTTTGAGGATAGCGCCCCCAAACACAGCGAGGACGCGAAAGGGGGGAGTTGCAATACTCGACTGGATAATATTGTTTTTTTTTTTCGTAGGAGATGCTCACAGCATGGGTCCCATGAGGCTCTAGTTATTTTTTTCCTGGGGCACTGTTTTTTGCGGCTCGTTCCGGAAAAGAGGGCGTTGGGGAAAACTTTTGGATCAGGCGCACATGTACATCTGGGGCGGGTTCAACTAGCAAAAAGTGACTTTGGTTCTCACAGCAATATGGCGCAGCGGAAGCGCGCCGGGCTCATAACCCGGAGGTCCCTCGATCGAAACTAGGTGTTGCTATCAAGTTCAATCCTGAGTGTTTGCATTAGAATTTATTTAGTTATTTATTTATTTATTTATTCCAGATGAGATCATCAGATAATGCAAGGTAATAATACTATGCTTGTACTATATAGTTAAATTAGAGATTGAGTACCCGATCACCTTATATTTTTTCGCTTCCTCTCTTTGATTGTGGTTCATTTTGCTTGTCATTGCCACTTTTCGTGGCATTAAGCTAGTGTGCAAGGTTCAGAGCAGGTCAACAGTACCAAAGTAAAGAACTATCTAAAGAGATATTCTGCGGTAAACTTTTGTCAACGATGACGATGACTATATACAACACATTAATATAGTATCTCTAACTCATAGCAGAAGCAAAAAGACTTAAGCACGTATGTAATTTTTACAACGAAATTACCAGAAGTTATATACGTATACAAAAATAGACCAGGATATTAAAGTTATATCAGTAGCTTTCTCATAGATTAGGAATATTCACCAATACCAGAACATGTTAGTTCTCTACTGACTCATAGACAATCACTCGGTAATGACAGTCTTCGCGTAGCGGAGCGTTCAGATTTAGAGGTATGCAGGGGTGCGCCGGCGCTGATTGTAATATGTGGTTAGAAATTTCGTGTGAAAATGGCCATCAATCAACATTCTCCCTGCTTGGTTTTTGGGTTGGTATGCTCGTGTGTTTGTTAAGTCCTGAGCGATTCGGCAGTAGGAGCTGGTATGGGACATATTTGAGACCCTAATACGATGACAACAAGGTTTATCAAGACTGAGGGAGTTTTATTTGTTGGCACCGTTTCTCTGTGCCGAGCGGTTTTCGTTGTCGTCCATTGGAAAAATTCTCGGGGCTTAAATGACGGGTGAGTCACTTTTGAGAATAATTCAGAACTAGAGAGCCTTGAGACATTTGACTCTTGGTATTACCAAAGCTTTCCTTGTTGCTCAAAGCGATTTACTCCTCGAAGCACATCGCTATTTGTAAGTTTTCGGAGATGCTACTTATTCTGTAAGACGGTATATCTGTTATCGCATCTATTAATTATGTATACTGAGGGCCGGTCATCAATTTACATATGAGAATCATAGGCGATCACTCGCCAGTTATGTTCTGCCAAAGGGCTTGGCGCCTCTGGCAAATCCCCGCCTTAATAAAGCTTATCCTTCTCTGGCCTTTTAGTACCCATAGTCCTGGTATCTGCTATAATTCAATTTGGTTTGGCGGGAAAATTATGTAGCTGGCGGGCATATAGAGGTGTGAGGCTTGACGGTTTGCATAGGACCAGGGCCTGAGTGATAACCTGTGAAAATTCTCTGTTTGATTGATTGATTACTTCATTAATTGGTGAAAAATTCTCTGTTTGAGAGACGAGGATCTATTGATCGCACTGGTACTTTGGCGGCGTGATATATATAAAATCCAATTCGCACAGGCTCGAAACCTCCGGCATACATATTGACCGATTTTTGGTGAGGTAAATCAACCCTTGATGGTTCCAACCTAGTATTCGGTTGGCCTTCATATCCCTGGTGACGCGACATTCACCCGAGTAATGTGGTTAGCCGCGATCAAACCGGAGTATTCTGTGACATAGCCCGAGAAATCTTTGCTAGCTTGAGAGTTGTCACCTCTGCTAATCAGCTCCCTCGCCTTGACGTACCTTTGTGATTTAGATGCGGAGGAGGCGTTGAAAACGGATGAGTATCAAATCATAGGCTCTATTTAGCAGATGTCTGCACCTGTAGATATCAAGTTGATTGTAAGAGGAAGCATACGTTTGAAGGATCAATGATGGGTGGTCTGGTAAACACCCGGAAGACACCATTACTAGTAGCAGAATTGAGGGGGTCAGCGACATTTAGAATGCCGTGATTCTTTGGCATGAGAGTGGATTGCACTTGGAATAGTCAAAAAGATATTATCTGAAGCTATTGTACTGTACCCTGTCTCCTTTCTCCTGTTGTGGCTGTAAAACATGTAGTCACATCATCAGCTCTTCGATGAATATCAAGGCGGTGTAGACATACCGAGACCAACTCCTTCCTTTTGGTGCGAGGTGCGAATTGGAGTCATAGCATTGTAGTAGCGGAGGGGGCGAGAGTAGAAACTTCCATCAAGATAGCGCAGATGGGAAAGTTGGTGAGTCGACAAAATACAAACGCCAAGGATTTAGCCAAAGCTAACCAAACCCCACAAGTGTACGTAGCTGCCGCGTTCTGACGACACACCTCAACAAGCTACAGAAGCTACCTATAGATCAGGCGGCTTCTTGAAGAGAAGACGTACTCCGTGAGCAGCTAACAAGGCAAGTGAAGGGAGGATAAAGGGGGAAGCTGGGGGATCCCTTTCATCTACTCTCTCATTGCGACGTTCATAAGCCGAATACTCTTTCTAGATCTGTGGGTATATTCTCCCTTGAGTTTTATTCTATTGAAATGGTATCATAGTCTAATAAAAAAGGGAATTGCAAACGACAAAAGATAGATCTAGCCCCCAAGGTAGGAGTAACTCGGCCCCCGGCCAAGCCATATTAATGTTCCCCGGAAGTCTCTTTAGAGTAGGCACCTGAATCTATAGCCTACGTTCTTCGAGGGCTACGTTTATGGCCTCTGAGTTTGTGGTTCAAGAAGAGTTTCTTTCACTGGAGTGAACAGAGGGAAAGAGTACATGTATTTACATGCCATGTTCGCTGTTAAACTGGCTTCATGGAGGATAAAATTACGTTTCCTTTCACTGACCACCAAAGCGCTCGAGATCTGACAGGACATATTGGCCTAAAATTAAACTGGGATCACAAGCTGCTATCGACAGCCCGATATCGGTCGGCATCGTCCTGTCGTCCTAGCTGGGAAGAGATACAAGCAGCCTAAAGTGTAATCTCAGTTACCAAACAAGCAAGGTATTCCCTACCATTCACCAAATCATCCGCTCGGCCCGCCTAAGTACCGACCCTGTTGCAAATGGAAGTATTCCAGAAGAATCGGCTTAGACGCCTAAAACCCACGTGGAAATTAAAGATAACCTGTTCAGGGGTAGAGGTGGTCTTACCACCGGAATGGTTGTGACGTGTGAATTCAGGGACTGTGCTTGAAGCTTGGATGAAGAAGCAGGGGTGAGATGGCTGAGCGAGATAGGAATGCGAGAGACGGCGGGTTAGGAATCGCACCTGAAGAGCCTATCGTGAAATTTCTGGACGAGATGTGATGATTGGTTCATGAGGACATGATTGTTTTTGTTGGGGGCAATGTTGGCATATGTTTCCCAACGCAATGGCCGGCTAGGTCTTGCCGGGTGTTGAGACAGCACTGCTCGATCAGGTAACCTACATTCAAAGGAAATCAGAATTAAAACACGGGGCTGAGATATAGTGGAATTCTGACTAACTAGCTGATTAGGAGTTACAAGATTTATTTACGTCGATCATAAAACGTCACTCGACTCGTACTCCCAAATTAAAGAAACTAAATGAGAGAAGAAAAGCTTCAGTAATTACAAGATCTCCCAAGTACTATCATCCAAAAACACCAAGCTATACAGTAGATACTCGTCTCTGACTGAAATCATTTTTTTTATACATTTATAGATTTACCCCAATTCCCAAAGCCCATAACACCGTCTCACCGTTAATACCCAAAAAAGTCCATTACACTCACCAATCTGTGTTTGTTCTCGCCTGGATCTTAATCGACGCCTCTGGTCTCTTCGGCGCCATATTCATCTCCATTACTTCCCCGACCTCCCCCCTCTCCTGTGGCGCCTCCTCCACCAATCCCCCTCTCCTAATCCCTTCCAACCTCTTTGGCTTACCACCTTTTGAGCAACTCGAAAATTGCCATGCCCCCGAGTACACCAGCGTACAAACATATCTCAACCACCAGTCCCTGATCTTGTTTCCTGTCGGCCACCAGGAATGAATGCCACCCTCATATGTCTTGTCATGGTTTGTGAGGAAGAACGGTAGCACCCTCGTCCGTGTTGACCGGCTCCCTACGTATGCTCCATGGCGCATATCAATCTCGGCTAGGTTCAACGTCGGATAGTTGGTCGCTAGACTCTGGATCCATACGATTTCGTCTGTCAAGTGCATCTGCAGCTTAGCAGCGAAGGTTTCCAAGATCTGTAGCACCACACTGCCGGAAAAGCTGTACGGGTCCACACGTCGTAGGTAGGCATCGAGATCATTCAACCCGCCCATGAATGCTTCATGCTGCTCAATATTCTCCTCTGCCATACCTTCGGTTCCAACTGCCTTCTCAATAAGAGGGAAGTAAGCGGCCTCCTCGCAATCGTGGTGGTTGTGGATGAATTCGGCCCAGCATTGGCAATAGGTTATGAAGTCTGCGGCATTGTAAGGCGTAATATGCATGCATTGGAGATAGATGCTATTCATTCCGCGGATTATGATGTTGTGAGTCAAGGCCATTTTGGAGGCGGATTTGATGAACTGATTAGTGTACTATGAGGCGGTTAGTAGGGATGGAGAAAAAGGAGAGGGGGGGGGGAATGACTAATGAACTTACTCCAATGTCGCAGGCTGGAGTGGAGATAAGAGGAAAAGGGTAGTCTGCCCAGGTGCTATCCATGATGATGTTTTTGAAGTTCGGGATTAAAGGGTGTAGTGAAAGTAGTAGAAAGGTAATAATAGGAATAGTAATGATAGTACCAGCAAACTAACGTAGCAGATGAACGAAGAAGATCAAACGCACCCAGACGGATAACCTATAGGTAAGTAGAATATTCTTGCAGTACGTCTCCAGAGCATCTCCAGCCAAAATATCCCCAGCTTAGAAGAAGGATAGAAGTAACAGTGATCAGCGCAATACTATATATACCCCCAATTGAGTTCCTACGTGATCCGGCTTCGATCCTCCTGAAGAAAAAAAAAAATCAAAAACCGATATTACCAAGTAACTACTAGAACTACCGCTCCAATTACACTATGAACAAGCGACAGGCCACCCCCCTCTACCCTCGATACTCGGCAAGAGGAGCTCAGAGTCTTTGCACATATCGGAAACCACCGGAGATCATTAGCTCTAGAATACGAAAGCAAATCAAACACGGAGGGCAAGAAAGAAAAAAGGAAGGGGAAAACGTCGTATGATTCCAGAAGAACGTCTAACGCGGGATGATCCCTGAACGTTATCTTCATCGGGCACTCGACAGGCCAATGATCCCTGTAGCTGGAATTTCCTGCACCCTGAACTCACGCGACATCAGATGATATTCCCCGTCCGTGGAAGGGAAAACGGCGGTAGTTGGGGCAGCCGTTTCGGGAGTGCATGCCCTTTGCATTCTCTCGTCACATGTGGTTAGTGGAGTGTCCGCGTCGCTTGAGGCTCTGTCTGGTATTGGTTGGCCTGTGCTGTGTTTGAGGCTTGATGCTGGATTGAAGTTGTCTCACCGGCGCGGAGGGATAAGCCCTGTACGACATGCAGTACACACATCGACCATCGAGGCTACAAACATTCCTAGCAGCAAGAAAAAGATAAGGCACATAGTTTGTGCTTCGAAGGAAATTAGCCTAGAGTTCATTCAACTGGAATTCGACTTCTGGACAGAGTCTCGACCGGCGTCGTGAGCGCTGTCGCAATTCTCGATGTTGTGTTTCAGGTGTAGCTAACTATTAGCCTGCAGATTGTTTGAGTACCTACTACCGGGCGAACTCAACTAAAGTTGACACTATCCATCGATCGACTATCGATAACACAGACAGACACCGGTTACTTTTCCAAAAGGTGTATGGAATTAGAATTCCAATTTCCGGGATGTGGTAATGTAGGTGGCCATGACGCCATGGAGCTTCGAATTCTTTCTTTAATTGCATTTCTGAGATTAGTTTGTGCTGGCTGGAATAGATGCACATGCTTCCTGATTGTGTTTGCCCTGCATGAGCGCGACTGGAAACGGCTGCTTAGCTCTGGATGTGAATACGAAAAGTCGCGTTATGGTCACCAGTCAGTATATACCTGGAGGGCACGCACAAGGTGTAGCTATGTACCTAAGGGTGCGAAGAAGGATTTAATTCTGTCAGCTGTCTTCTGTCGATGGGTCCTCGGATATATTTGTATTATGCGGAACCTATATTGCAGAGCTAGCTGGAATAGCGGTGGTTGTCAGATCGTCTGATAGCTGGCTGGGTGTTGAGGTATGGGAAGGCTGTGTTTGGCATAACTAATCGTCGTTGTGAATATCATGTTTTCTATATACACACAAGGACTGGGTATGGGCACACAAAGATCCATAAATCTTTGTGCAAACGACACGTATACTTCAACACACTTTCACACATTGCACGGTGCTCTATCTATTAACACATGCGAAACACGAGAGTAGATCGCTATGTATTATGGGATATGAAGCTTATGTCGGATCATCTTGCTGATATATGTTTGGTCACGAAAACGTTTCTCAACACATATACTCACCCCAATATACCCCCCCCCCCCCCGGCCTCAATGCAAGCAAAACCCGGTTCGCCTTCGATTCCGCACCCAGGCCCACCGTATTCTATTCAGCCGCCCTAAGCTCGCACAAAAATCGCCTATCTACCATGTAACTAGCCAGTGAGCTACCCTGCACTCTAAGCGAATTTATATTGCTGCCACGGGTAAAGCGCAGGGCAACGTCACTTATAATTAACTTACATGTACTTACTCTCTTACTCGTGCTAGCTTGATTACTAACTCTCGATGGAACTAATGGACAATCATGGACGGGAAATATTGAGTGCAGTAAACCTGGGATGCGTGGTTATATGGATACGCGGGGAGATCGGAGTGGGTGGGTGTGTGGGTGGGTCATGGTTTGTCACTCGGCGCTGGCCATGGGGGCCTCAGTTGGGGTTGCAGTGAGGGATTAGTATGCTGCTCCGTGCAGCTAACATTATATTTAAGGTGGTAGGAGAGCTGTGGAAATATATTGAAGAGTGAAGACTAGAGGTCGGCGGTCTGGGTAGTGGAGGAGGTTTGGAAAAGGAGTGAGGAGTCTAGAATGGTAGCAGGTAGTAGCTAGTAGCTTCTAGTGGGGATTGCTATGTATGTGGTTAGCGTGGAGTGCTGCAGGGGAGTTTTCGTAACGGTAGTCTAGTCTAGTACTTGCAGTAGAGATGCCAAGAGACGTCGCTACATAACAAGCAAGAGAGAAGCAGGCTATTACTCGAACCAGTAGCAGAGCGATGGAAATAAAGAAGAAATACTGTATTTTCCAACTGTGACTTTCGATAATTGTTGATTTATGGGGACTAGAAGCTGGCAGCCGAAACTGTCAATTTTGGATTTTAGCGGGGAGGTGGGGGGGGGGGGTGCGTTTGTGCTGTGGGATACACCGAGAGGATATTAGATACGGTGAAGTTTTGGTACCTTGGTACATGTAGTTGCTAACATGGGACATCCAGTGTAGCGGCATGTGGGTCCTTTGTCCTACAACGTATTTCGGATGAAAGAGTTTCTTTTGTCATACCGTTGTTATAATATGTAACCAGATTTATTTTGGCCACTGAGGGGAACTGTCCATTTTGCATCCCGCACTACAAGTACATGTAGTCAATTTTCAAGTGTCAATAAACAAAATTGACAGTTGGCAGATACTCTCTATTTGCCACCTGTGATCGATTGCGGACGTGAAAGGAAATGTTTGCTCATGAGAAAGGAGATAGTTTTAATATATGCTCGCTCGAAAATGCCAAATTTGCAAACCTACCCAAACCTTTGTGCTGACAACTTGCACGTATAAATAAACCAAAGAACACACCGTGAATGAACTTCAGACCTCTATCTCCTCCAGTTTCATCGCAACCTAACACACCACCAACCCCCATCCCGTCAGTAATAGCCCGCATATATTCAATCACAGCACTGGAAAAACTACATGTACTCACAATCTCGACATATCTCACGCCCACCACGATGCCATCCTCATCCACCAGGCCCTCCTCGCTCTCAAACTTGTCATTCCCCTTGTCCAGACACGTCAAGCACGAGATGACCACCTCCGCATACTTGGGCCCCATCGCCCCCGGCAGAAGCTCCATCGCCATGCGCAGCAGCAGATCCTTGATGATATTCGCCTTCCTCTTAACATCCTTAATCGCCAGCGTCTCCGCATCCACCTTCAAGTCCGGGCCCGGCTCAAAATACTTATCCTTCCCGTTCCACTGCACGAACGACGTCCAGAGCCCGATCTCGAGCAGGAGGACCCCGAGACTGTAGATGTCGTGCTGCATCTTGTACGTATCCTCCGGCTTGAGCCCCTGCCTCGTCGGATGCCGGTACAGGTCCTTTTCCCACTCGGCGTCCGAAACCATCCACGTCGCCCCATTCGCAGGCCGGATCTTCTGGAAGCCCACGAGAAACGGGATCCCCATCAGCGACTTGCCGTCCTGGAACAGCACGATGGTGTCTGGCCGGATGTTCTTGTGCACAAGGTTGGATGTGTGTACAAACATGATGCTCCGCGCCAGCCTCTTTGCCAGGGCGAACCGCTCGTTCAGAGGATACTTTGTCCGCCGCTCGTCCTTTGCGGCGGCCAGGTAGCTGCGGAGGGTGCGGGGCTGGTACAGCTTGTTCGGCCTTTCCGGGATCGAGAAGAGCACCTGGAACACTATCTCGGTCTTCTGGTTTCGCAACTCCTTCACCACGCCGTGGCACTTCAGGATGCCGAACGTCAAAGGCTCCGACTGTGCGAGGATGCGTGCCACGTCCCGGATCCCCGCCGTCGCCATATCGCCGTTATCGGTGAGGTTCTTGATCGTGATGGTGTCCACGAGGCACTCCTTACCGGTAGACGCCAGCCTGACGAGCTTGAGCGCCGAGGTGCTGTACGGATCAATCACCCGCCCGGTTTCACCCAGCTCCTTTGCCTCCACCCACCAGGTCTTTCTTTTTTTCTCTGCCCCGCCGCCCTCACCGCCGCCCGGCGTAGTCCCCCCTCCACCGCCGTCGCCCTGCATCGTGTCGCGCAAGCGTTTGATCTCCTCAGCTCCCTTTGTATCCCCCCGCGACCGCTGCGTCACCGCCGTCAGCTTCTCGTCCACGCGCGGGTTATTGATCCGCGCCATGAGATAATACGGTAGCTCCACCTGGGCCTGCCATTTATCTAGCTCTGCAATCGCGGCCTCCAGCGACTCCTTGACCAGCGCGGCGAACTTGGCGCGTTTCAGCCGGCCCTGTTTGCGGTCCACGGATTCGATCTTGTGTTGGGCTTCGCCCAACTTGCGGATCAGGATCTCGAAGAGCTCAGTGAAGTGCTGGTGTAGGGTTTCGCCGAGAACCTCTTGGAGGTCTTTGATGAGGCCGACCTTGGCCTCGATTTTGAGCCAGTGGTTCTTCAGCAGCACGGTCAGGTCTCTGAGGTCTTGCTCAGCGTCTTTGTAGTTGCGGTAGCGGTGGTAGAGGCTTCGGCCGGTGCTGGATGGGGGGGTTAGTGGGGGTTCTCCAATGGGGGGAGGGGAAAGGTACCGGAGACAGACGTCGGCGCCGCCGAGGACAGCGGAGATTACGCCGATTGCTTCGGCCATTGTGGGGGATGAGGGTATTCTAGGTGGTTTAAAGATGGAGAGAGAGTTCTGGGGATTGGTATGGAGGGGAGCTATGTGGAGGTTCTGGTGGTTGCGGGGCTACTCTAGAAGCGCAGGTGTGGATTCCCTGTCGTCGGGTTGGCCGGCATGCAGCTGCAGCATGCAGACAGGGTTTTGGAGCGCGAATCAGATGCAGGGCGGGTGGGGGGGATCTGCTCTACCACTCAGCAAGTGAGATCTATGAAAAGTGCGGTGTTGGGTACGTTATCTAGGATATTTTTTTATGTTTATTGAAGGTGGGATTTGATGTGTATAGCGTGGAAATTTGAGGAGATTCTGGAAATGAAGTAGGTTGCAATTGAACGTAGGGTTATTTGTGGTGGTATGATAAGAACGATAATGTGCATACAGATAAAAGTAGCCAGAGATCTGCCATGGATATCGAAGATCTATCTTCAAACCAGGCTTTGAAGGTCCGGAAGTGGAGAGTGATATGAATACACCGGTCTGCTGGCTGGGCATGGATGGGTTCGAAGATGGAGTGTCGATAGAAAGACAGCTTTTTCGTTCCAACTTTGAGATCGCTGTATGAATTGCCCAATTCGCAGTGGCTCGAGCTCAGAGAATCGATAGGAGTTGTGTTGGTATGTAGTAGCTCGGCTTCTCTCAGTAGATCTTTTGTATGTATATATTTACAAAAAATGTTTATGGAGCATTAAGCTATGTATGCGGGCGGGGGCTGTGTGCGTGTCGGCAACAAAGGTCTTTCGCCGGTATCTGGGAAGCGAGGAGTTAGAGGTCTGTGTTGTAGGAGCTTAGGGGGATTGTAGAGGGATAAGACTTACGTGGGGCCGGGGGGTGGTGGTTGTGATACTGGTACTATGTGGTTACCTAGGTTACGGTGTTGGCGTTGGCGGGGTAGACTGTTGGTGGGAACGAGTAGATAGGATAGGGTTGGTGTGGGTAGACAGCTGGAGGAGACGAGTAAAGGGTGGTGTAGGCGGTGATTGCGCGCAGTGTGTACATCTGCGTTGAGTTCGTAGGTTGAGGCTTCGGCGTTGAAGGTCGCAATGGCGCTGCAGTGTGAGCAGCGAGACAACCTGCTCATGCCATTCCCCCCTTTTTGGCCAGACAGAGAAAGAAATGCCCTTCTGTCGCTGCTGCTTTGTTTTGGCTGGGTAAAATCGTCAATCTTGGCATTTGGGGGTGGGGAATCACGGAATATCACTCGCGATTGCAGAGGTTTCCCACGGCCACCCATTGTTTACATCCCCCAGTTTTCACGCTGACCCACCTGCCTACAAGTGTTTAAAGGGCCCTTCCCCCCACCTTTTTCTCTCTTCCTTCTTCCCCCCACCACCACACCTTTTCACCGCCAACACAACAACGACGACAAAATGTTTTTTCGACAACAAAGCCCTCAGCAACACATCAACACCACCACACAACAGCTATCGACCTATCTATAACCTTACAATCCTTTCTAGTTTCTCTTTCTCTCTCTTTCTCTCTTTTTCTTTTTCTTTTCGTAGTCAAACAAGAAGTGTGCAGTGGACCTGCACAGAAGCTTCACACCTCTCGATTGATCACGACTCTTCTCACCACACAATGCCCACCGAGGGGCGAAATCAACGTATGTATAATACTAACTTAGTGACATATTCTTTCTTTCTTTTTCTGTGAACAAACAAGAGGTGTGCGGTGGGCCTGCACAGAAGCTTCACACCTCACGTGCACGGTTGGTCACGAGTCTTTACACTAGACAATGCCCACCGAGGGGTAAAATGAACGTATGTATAACCTTAACATTTATCTCCCCTTAGACTAGACTGGACTGGACTGGACTGGACTGGACTGGACTGGACTGGAACTGGACTGGACTCCGGATTTTTTTGAAAAATTTTCTCTCTGTGGGGCGCATGGTAGGTATACGTATGTATAACCGTGATAATCAACCCTTGAGGGGGCAGGTGGTCCAGTGATGTGTGGATTTAGCTGCACTCTTTAGCTACACATCTCTAGGCTGTCCTTCCCCCTCGCCTTTCGAATTGATGGTGTTCTAGGATTAGGTTTTTCTTCTTGCCCCCCGGCCGGGCCTTTTTTCGTGTGTCTTGCCTGCGGGCTTTGTGTCACTTAAAGTGACTTGAACAGCTAAGTTACCATTTCATTTTCTCTACAAAAAACCCACAAAACCCAAAAATATACCAAACGTTTTTCGGCCTTCGTGCCATGGCTAGCTTGATTGATGTCCCTTTATAGGGTGTCTTTCTTTGCCTTCGGGCTTTCAGTACGTGTCAGTGTGTCAGTGTGTCAGTGTGTCAGAGTCAACTGGGTCTTATGTACCCGTCCTGTCTTTACATTTCATTTTTTTTCCTTACTTATATTTATGATCAAACCTGTAACTCAAAAACTTTGTCTCAAAACCTATGTCCCCCCCTTTCCCCGATACTATTCCCCCCTCCAAAAAAAACAAAAAAAACAATCACAAAAAAAACAAAAAAACCCCAAAAACAATCACCAAAAAACAAAAACTTGGTTCTGGGGTTTTGCCCAGAGCCAAGTGGTACGAAGCTAGCATTTCCTTTTCGTTATTTTATATTATATCCTGTATCAAACACTTTGTCCCCTCAACTTATATTCCCCCTTGCCCTCAAATACTGCCCCCAAAAAAAACTTCCCCAAAAAAACAAAAACACAAATCTGCTACTCCTTCTCCGTCTTGTACGGACTTTTTTTTTCGATCGACGTCTCTTTTTGAGTCGGTTCAACAACAAGCTAAGTATCCCTTCTTGATTTTATTTATTTATTTGATTATTTTCCTTCACTAAAATTATTTTCTTCAACAGATAAAACGTATTTTATATTATTATAACATCGATGCGTGAGCTTCACCAGCTTGGCGTGACGACCGTCAAGCACCGAGAAATCGACTCGAGAAGCTCACGCAACACATCAAGAGATACCCCCCTTCAACTTACAAACAAACCCTTTATTAACGTCTTTTATCATCTTCTAGGTCTCGATTGTGAGGTTTTGCTCACACTGTGGGGATTGGCTCTTTAGTTTGTGCCTGAACTGTTGGGGTTCTGTGCCTAAACTATAGAGTCTTTTGGCTCAATACCGTGGGCAGTCTACTCTCTATGGCTTACGAGTTTGGTCTGCCCTTGGTACGCACAGCTATCACTCTGCTTTTTATCGGCATGACGATTCTGCGCTGGTGGGATGTTGGCACGGCTATCACTCTGCCTTTATCGGCATGACGATTCTGCGCTTGGTTGGTTGGTTGGTTGGTTTCTTGAGTTGACATTATAGGTGTCTAGTCTCTGTCTTCGTCGGAACCGTTGGCTGGGGATTGGGCATTTGTTTTGTCACTCAACAGAGCCGAATGTTTTTTAGAGAGTTTGGGTTGCAGCTTCTGGGGGGTTGTAATTTGGCTCTTTGGGAATATTAGGCTCGGTGGGATTTCGCATTGGGGTTTGGCTCGTTGGGATTTGGCTGTGTGGGGTCTGCACTGTGGGGTTTGGCTTGTGTGGGGTTTGGCTTGTGTGGGGTTTGGCTTGTGTGGGGTTTGGCTTGTGTGGGGTTTGGCTCTATATGTTTGGCAATGGGATTTGGCTTATGGTGGCTGTTGTTACTGTGCATGGTGATAACAACCACTTTGTGGGATCTGGGGGTTCAACTATCTTACCTGGTCGCTGTACGAGGTGATGGATGAGCTGCTTGACTATTATGTTAAGTAACTAGATGTAGTGAAGGTATTCAGTTTCTGTCTTTTACGTTCTTCGGTGGTCTGGAATCTAATTGGAATAAAGAAGTAGGTAAGAACTTCGTCAGGTTTCTGATGGGTGGACTCCCTAGGTGATACAGACTGCCACTTGCTAGCAGGTGTTGAATCATACTACGGGAGTGAGATGAGTGGTGGAGAGTTAGTCCTGGGTCGTTATAAAGAGTTCATAAAAGCTACGAACAACTCCCGAGTAAGGGCATGATACGCAATTTATTCTGATTCTTTTGTACGCATCTCCCTTCAATCTATGGCAATTTGCTTAGAGAGGAATGTTTAGTTTGAGTCTAAGATCATTGCATAGGAGGAAGAGACTTCTGAAATGGCTGGAGAAAATATGGAAGTAGTTGTAGAGGGTCATCATCTATTCTAACCGCAGAATAGATGGTGAGCTGGCTCGCCGTCGGAGGAGCACCAGACTGTGGTTACCGGTACTTGCTGTATTGTAAGGACCTCTTAGAAGCCCTTGAAAGATGCAAACAAAGACTAAGATGGGATTAATCTGCGACTTGCAGAGATAACTTTGTAAGTATCCCCCTCGGATCGTAGTTTCTTGCAGGCTGTAGGGAGATAGCTAGAGATGAGACTTAAAACTAACGCTACTGTAGAAGAGGAGGGTGTCATCGAAGGAGCTAGAAGAGGGAAATCAGTATAGTGATAAGACAATTACTTCTGCTAGTCGTTACGTTCCGTTTGGATAGAGCTACGAGGGCTGGTCATCCATTGTCGCCGATGAAACCCGCAAAAGCAAGAACAGGCGGATATAAAGGTACTCGGGATAGAAGATACAGATGGCCGAGAGGAGGTTGCAAGCTTGGCCATGATGCGGGAATAGACTTGTTGCAGTGGTTGCGGGTGAAAGCGGTGATCGCCAGTCATGCAGCAGCCTCGGCCTTCGAAGACTAAGATAGATGTGTTATGAACTTTCAAAGACTGTATTGGGGGGATGAGGCAATATCAAAGGAGTCGGAGAGTGTGATGTTAAACTCGTTGCCGGTGGAGAGAGGGCTCTCCGAATTTGAGTTGAGCTTTGAGTTTGTACACGGTATGAACCACCCCTAATATCCTATAGCTATCAAGCACCAGCACTAATTTGGAAAATGTAGGTCCCGCAGTTGTAAAGTTCGTAGCCGGGCGGGCTAGTCTGATTGTATAGTTGATGTTGATGTGGCCTGCTCGACCCATTCGCGATCAAAAGAGGAGGACAGTTCAGAAAGGGAAGAGGAAACAGAGCTCCATGACGATAGCTGGTAGTGTTGGAACCGCAGCGGCCTAAGATGTACTCCGTACTTCTGCTCGGTATATATTTTAAGTGCACCTGTGGCTGATGGTTGCAGAATGGGATGGGAAATCCGGTAGCTGAGGACACATTGTAGACACTCAGTCCCGAGATGAGTGCTCTGTAGACTGGGATTAGGTAAAAGCTTGACTGTAATTTCGATGCTGGTCGAACAGCAGCTGGCTAAGAAAGCTCCAGTGGTCAACGTCCGGAAAGAGACGTCTGGAAGGCCTGATTGAAGATCTTGCGGGCTGGAACGATAGGATTAGGCGCGTTATCGAAGATGTCATATGGATGAGTCTTTTGACAGCCTTCCAAGTACAAAGTGTTGCCGAAAACCCTGATACAAAGACACTCGGCTTGGGAACGAGTGCGAAGATGAGGAAATTGATACTGGTTAGTGACACTGCGTCGGACTTACTTATTCCCTATCACAAAGTCAAGAACCAGGTCACAGGGGTTGGAGGAGGCTCTGGGAGTTTGCGGATGGCCGAGGTAGACGACAATCCCGTTCTTTTGGAGTACAAAGACTACGGACCAGACAATAATGGCAACATTCCCGATATTACCGTTAGACAAGTTCGCCAATTGACCACCCTCCTTCACAGCCAGGAGGATGCAGGTTTCAGAGTCCTCCCGTGCAGAGGATACACCAATGATCGTGCAGGGTCAAGATTGGGATTTGTTTACGACGTACCATCTGGGGCACTACCGAAACCATTGACACTTGAGTCAGCACTCAACTTGAGCTCTTCTAGATCGAAGAAACCATCAGTAACTGCTCGTCTAAAGCTAGCATACAACCTTGCGGAGTCTCTTTACCTATTACATACAGTTGGATGGGTGCACAAAAACCTGAACAGTGAGAGTATTGTCTTTTTTACGCCAGAAAAGAGCTCCACCGGTTCTTCTAGGAGCATCTACGAAGCACATGGATTGTTGGCTTCGAATATAGTCGTCAGGAGTCCGACTTTTCTAGTAACCGGATGGAAGATCGTATAGAGAAAAATATGTAAGTTTAGCTCACTATCTGCCGAAATGGGGTTTTAGGTTGACTATCATCTGGAGGTATCGCCATTGGGAACGCTGGGGAAAGCCAACTGCTCGCTCTGCAAAGATACACGACATATATGGTGAGCCTCCAGATGACAGTATGTAGCTATTAATCTGAGATCCAAAAGCTCTAGGTGTGATCTTTCTCGAGATCGGACTCTGGGCAAGCGCAAAAACACTATCGAGGGATGGCTTCCAGTCCCACAGTTATGATCGTGAATACGTCAGAGATGCGCTACGGAAGTCGGCCCAAGGTAAGCTAGGATTCGCAATGGGCGAAAGATATGAGAGTTTGGTTTTGTTGTGCTTGGAAGGCAGAGAAGAAAGGTTTGGGGTGGAGAACGATGACAAGTTGGATACTCAGTTGCAGAAAGAGTTTCGAGAGAGGATTGTCGAGGTATTAAAGCTTGCAAGTGAATGCGTCTAGATGGATAGATTTATAGAACGGTTAGCTTGGGATGGTGACTTAGGCAACCAGCTTTTGGGACTTTAGGGAGTTTTTCATATCAGAGGTATTTTATTTTCATGGAATTATTGATTCTCCTGTATTTATCATATCGTTTGTAAATTAGCCACGGTTACACGAACACGAAGACTGCCAAGGATACCGAGTGATATTTCATGACCCAACTATGCTTGCTTTAACCCCACTCACTACCGATACCCTTCCCCTCTTCCATTACCGATCTCGTGATAGCTTTCTCGTATATCTTGGACTGAACCCTTGTCTACCGGGACCATGCTAACAGAAAATATTCCGGTGACGGATCGGTCCTGATATCAAGAAGGCCAAGAGGCGACACATTACTATTCCTAGGCCCAGGCCACCTGGGACTAAGCGATGATATTCTGAAACCTGGTACGTCCATTATCATCATCCTTCCCTTCGTATCCAGGCCAATCTTACCCCGCGATCGTATGGTCGGGCTACGTTTCTATCCCACACAGATGTATTGTTGATTGGTGATACAGGCTAAAATGAAGTAAACCGGAAGACTCTGATTCTGATGTCATGCAAACACCAGATTCTTAGGCCAATCCCGTTTTTCTTTACTCGACTTCGGAGATTAACGAACCAGACGCTTTGCTACTTTCCAAGGACAGCCTTTTCTCATCCTAAGCCAACTACACTGCATCGAATATTCGAACACCACCTCCCAGGTCCCTAGCTTACACTACACATGCTAAGGACCTCGTCACGTAATAGAATATTTGAAGTGCGCATTTTTCATTTTTTTTGTTTCACTTACATCAACACACAACTCGAAGTACCAGCATCTAATAGAAAGCTTTACTAGATATTTATCCACCATCCTAGTCCTCAATTGCTTACTTACCAGCAACAATATCGCTTCTCCTACTCATCAAGCGGTTTCTGCCCATAGTAAAGATGACTTCCCCGGATGTCAGTATCGCTTTATCCACTAACGTGAATACCAAAACGAGGTGGAATGAACTCACTGCTTCCCATAGCCATGGATATGTCTGTTTCGTGCCTGCTTCAGCGACATCTGTATTACATGCCTCGCATCCTCCAAATCCATTCCCAACACATTTGTGAATAACTGGATGCCAAACGCTTCAAAGCCCGTGTCTGCCGACATCATGACATACGCGCCCATATCCTTCAGTTTGCGATTCGCCGCCCAGGGGCCAACAGGGATCTTGGCGAGCTCGTGGTGGACATTGGTAAAGCCGGTCTTCTCAAGGACGGGCTTTAGCTTGTCCGCCATGGTAAAATCGGCGCCTGCGGATATGGTGATTAGTGTTGAGAGAATGGAGAAGAGGAGGGTAGAGGAGAGGAGAACCAGTGGTTTCGACGGCTTTGTTGACGAGAACGTAGAATTTCTTAATCTCGAGGCTATCTGGAAGGGTGTGGTCATCGCAGAAGATATCCATCTCGTACTCGGCACAGTCTATCCATCCTCCAGGCTTACAGACCCTGAAGACAAGGTCAGCGATACAGTTCTTGGTTGTTAAAGATAAACAGCGTATGTGGACTACCTGTAAGCTTGCTTTATCAGTTCATCCCAGTCCTTGATGGCCCCGCACATGTGTCGGATATGCACCAAATCGAAAGAATCCTTCTTGAATGTCCAGGCAAGCTCCGCGTCATCGATCTGGAACTCTACATTTGGTGGAACCCTGCAAATCACCCGTGGGGTCAATATTCGTAGTGACTCTTAGGGCTATGGAAAAAGAGGCGCCTTACCATGACGGTTGGATGGGTGAGATATCTGTACCGATTACCTGGGCGGAAGGATACCGTCTATTGGGAGACTTAGTAGATTTTTCTCCGAATCTAGAGAAGAAGCAGGTGGAAACTTACTCGCCAACATCGATGGCCCAAATACCGGTCCCGGTGCCAATATCAAGAATCTTCTGTGGGTTGGAGTCGATAGGCGCGAGGTGGAGCTTGTCCTCTAGTAGCATGAGGTAGATGTGGTGGATTATGTCGAGTCTGAGGAGTTGTTAATATGGAGAACCAGGCAAGTATGAAGGAGAGTGTGTGCTTGCCTTTCTTGTTCGGCCTACATGAACTACAGTCAATAATCTTTGAATTCACAGCACTGGGGGGGTGCGGGGGCATACCTCGTCATTTGGAAGGGTGTATTCTCTGGATAGGAATGCATCAGCGTTGCTCTCCCAACCAAGGATGGAGATGTTTACCCTCCTTTAATCGCAGCATATCTTCTGCCATTCTCGTAACGGTACCTGTATCCGCAATCAGCACCTCGTGTACAATACCGCAAATCCGTCAAAACATACTCATAGATACTCGAAGTCAACGACTGAGTCGAATATTTCGAATATTTACTCCTGAATAACAACTGTTAACTATCTCCCCGAAAGGCGTCGCGGTTAGGGGGTTTTCTGTGGCGTACGAAGCAGCATCACCATCTGACGACGAGGAGTCATCCTAGCCATTCACGCTATTAGGAGGCCAGATTCACAGTAGGGAAACTTGGTACGAACATAATCGGAGTCAACTGGGATAGCCTGATGAAATTCCATTTCTTTTTTTTTTCTTTGCTATGCACTGTCCAAGGTGTGATGGGGAGAAGGTGGTAATGGGAGCTGGTTATAAAGGGATGCTAGGGTGACCAGTCACTCTGTCGCTGCCCGGTTATGTACAGCTTTATCATACACTTGGGCGGTACTCTAGAGATGCTATTGCATGTCCATAACACTAGACTCGGTAACATGCAGATAGTCAACACCCCGATATATCGAATTTCAACCACAGCTTTCAAACCGACCCAAGCCAGACAACACAGCGGAAGTGCAACACCGATGAGACCCCTGCTGAACCAGGTTGGATGTACTTGGTATCCGTGCTTGGTATAGCGTAATCACAAATTGTAGATCCTACAACTCTTGTGAGTTGCGTGCGGTATTTTTAAGGTCTTTCGGCCTAGGATAGGGATTGGCTGTTGTAAAGCGAAGCGGCTCGACCGAGAAGGGTACAAAGGCCCTGGAAGTGTCAAACAGTGCGCCGAGAAAATTGAAGTTGAATGTGGGTTAGTTGCCGCAGGTTCGGTATGGAGATTTGTCCTCAGCAGGGACACTCGCGACCCCGCTCTATGTGTGTCCAAAGATTCTAGGGACTAGTTCCTTGAAAATCACAAGTAGAAATTTCCCCGGCCTGTGAAAAACTCTGCAAAGAGATCCACCTGCATTGGTTATTTGTCCTAGCTGCTGCTCGTAACTATGCATTTCCTTACCGCGGGCGAGAGCAAGTGAGATAGAGTACCTAGGTAGCTGTCACGCGTTACCGGGATTCCGGTAACAATTATTATTGATATTATTGCAGGTGGCTACATGCATGCCTGATTTCCAAGTGGCACAGTAGAACAAACAATTCATAATTCCCAAGGCCATTCTGCATGCATTAACTCCTGGGCCCACATAGCCATACAATTACTCTGAGAGGGAAGTCTTAGGTATTAGGATTGAATATATCTCGAGGCGAATCCTTGAGTCTTGCAGCCGAAACTATTATATCATATCCAACTTAGATGTCTAGGTGAAAGTCTCCAGTGAAAGAGATCTTTCTTCTCACGGGGTAAAAGTAGACGGAGCAACGCACGGTATTTTTTAGTTTGAGACCATAGGTTCATATACTCTAGAGAATCACCAGTAGAAGTCTCTTTTATTTTCGTAGAGTACATAAGTGCCTATGGAGAACATATTCAAAGAAGTACATATATATTCTCTCCGGGGCCGGGACGGGCCAAATTATTAGCCAGATTTCCAAGACCAGATCGAAATGCTTCGAATTCCCCCCCTCGAGTTCCCCCACCCCCACCCCCACCCCCCCCCCCCCCCCCCGGGGGGAATCACCACAGAGCACTCGCCGGGCACCCAAGTAGGCATGGCGGTAAGCCTCGGGAGGTTTCGTGGGCTTCCCAAGACCGATGCCCATTGTTATTGGATCAGCTAGAGTAGGTATGGCGCCGGCGAGGTTATGACCTACATTTCCGCGCATGTATCTCCCCTCCATTAACCACTAAGGTCTAAAGGCGGGCGAATAGTAATAATTCACATGAATAGTAACACTTCTTGGCTTCCAGCATCCTGGACCCTTGTTAATTCGCCGGTTGACTAAGTGTATGTATACAGTCACTCACGGGGTGAGGCCAATAACTGAGTTGACTTTGGGAAATTACTGCAAACACAACCATCAGACAGGATCCGCCGTCACTAGGTGAGCGACTGTACTCGAAACAGCTAGCCGACATCTTTCAATAACGGTTTCCGGATTGACTGGACAATTAATGAGTCGTGCATATTAGAGTCTTTCAGTGCAAGCCAGTTCTTCATTTTCAAAGCGAAAGGGAAACTCATGCAGCCAAGCCTGCGTCTGCCATTGCTATCAGAAATACTGTACAGTGTAGAATCTTCAGTCCCCAAGTATTTCTCAGCATGCAGCTGCAAGGTCTTCTTCCCCTATGCCTTCTTCGTCAATAGCTTCGGCTGCATGAATTTCCCTTTCACTTTGAAAATGGGCTTGCCACTGCCAGGTAGAGTATGCAGAACCCCGGTCCGGTCCGGAAACACAGGCTGCACGCTGGGGCACTGACTTACTGGCAGGGAAAATGTGTATGTAGACGGCCGGGACTGTAGAGTACTCTATGTAGCAGTATGTACAGTACAGGTTCAGGTGGGGGTTCATTGACATGTCACGCCCACATGCACACATAGGTACACACACGCTCGCGCGCGATGGAGTCAGTACTCATACTCGTACTATGTACATAGGAGGAGGAGGAGGAGGAGGAGGAGGAGGGGATATCATGCTGAGGTAGTACGGACTCTAGTTTCCGGTGGCGTTTGACTCGCCAAACTGCTGCGATAGACGCGAATAATGCCTGTTTTGTGCTAGCCGTGGGCGGCGGCGGGAAGTGCCGGTGTGTGTTGTGCCGCGAGAGGGAATATACATACACCTTCCTGCTCTAGAGCGCTCTCACCGGTGGACGAGTCGTTGGTTAAAAAAAAAGCAGTAAGTAGATCAAAACACAAAGCAAAACTAAGCGCGGTCGGCAGCGCATCGATTATAAACTCGCGATAGAAATCGTCGAGCACCTACTCTACACTTTGCTCTCCTTCAGTGACCGGGAGCATGCTCGACATCATGGTACAACGCTAGATTCCCCCGGATCAACCCGTTCAAACACAACATGGGCGATTTTGCCTTGCAGCTGAGACATCGCATCCCCACAGCGAGAGGTGGGACAAATCATAGTGTTCCAGATATTGCAGGTACAGATCGGGGGTTTACTACATACCAAAACAACCGAATACATCATACTACATGTAAGGATAGACGCCGGGACGGATTTATGATAATTTACAAGGTGGGGATCATAGTTTTGGTAATAGATATTATGAATAGCTGTTGCTTGTTCTTTTATCACCTTTACTGGTCGGAAGTTGTCCCTTTTGTAGGCTAAAAAATACAAATTAATGACTTATAAATGCAGATTCTATCCTAGAGACTCATATGTCATGCGTATGATCAGAATATCTACATGTATCTTCTTCAGTCGTTTTGTTGTGTTAAAATATTGGAATCAGGGTGCCTTTTGGCGTTATGTCAAAAGTTGCATCACTTTTAGGGACCCCCGGGTACACGTATTTAGTCACTACATAGGCTCCAGAGAGGGCACTCAGCACTTTACACGAAGAACAGATATAGACTCGCTGACATTGGGCAAGCTGGTCTATATCTTCACAGGCTTGGGGGCTCTTCCTGATCTACATACATCAATCAAGTCAGCTACAAAACATTAACCGTGATTTTCAACACATGAGTGGTTCTTTGTTTTATTTCGGTCGGTCGGTTTCGCGTATATACGGACTAGTGTGATTGGTCCTGGTCCCTGGTCCTGGACAGAGGGGGCACTTTGATGTATTCGCGTGGTGGCCGGTCAGGATTGTGAGAGGGTCAATGATAGTTGAGCGAGCACCTGGCTGCCTAAAACATGTAGTCAATTAACTACATGTACGTGTATGGTTAGTCTGGTCTCGGCGCCGCGGCGAGCTAACCCGCTTTATCACGCTCCCCAACGTTGCATCAATATCAGAGCCCTAGCTAGCTTCAGCTTCAACATTGCAACCGTAGGGAAACGTTTCATCGTGCGTTTCTTGTGATAGCTAGAAGGCGAGCTGCTGATGTTTTCAGAGTGTCTACTAACCGTCGAAGTACTCTGTGGCTGGCTGAAGGGAGCGCCACATGCCCGGGGTTGTGCACAGCCTAATCCCGTTGTGGGCGTGGGTAACGACATTTGTCCAGTATCTTCAGCTTGTTCGTCGGTTTTGGATCTCGGGGATAAACGAGCTGAATGGCGGTTCTTATTTTTGTGGAGCTTCTAGAGATGAAGTGGTTTAGTTCTTGCGAGGAGGGGGATATAAATATTGCCCTCCTGCTAGGGGTGGTGGAAGAGTATCACTGCGGGCTTTGATATCGAACTTCCTCCTAGACCTAAGCTTCTGCGACTCGAAACCGATACCTACAACACCTTTTGTCAAATATCCCCATAATATATCCAGCGCAGAAAGTAAGTAATTCCTCATATATATATAAACTATTCCACTGGATCTCAATTTCCTAACAATGCCCTCCAGAAATGGGTCAAGGCGGCGGCATAACTTTCATCAATGGCACCCTCCATGACTGGAAACGCAGCGCCCCACAGGCGCACAGAATGGAAAACTGGAATATCCCCGAAACCCTGCCCGCCGGCCAGTCCACGACCCTCTACATAGAATGGCCCGGCGACGCCTTCACCGCGCACATCCCCGAGTTCGCCCACGAGACCTTCACCCTCTCCGACACCCCCTTCCACTTTGCCCTCGCCGCCCGCCGCATCAACGATGCCCTCACATTCCAAGTTATCCTCACGAACCTCACCACCGATAACAACCCCCCCGGCACCGTCATCGACCTCGGCTTCGCCCACGACGGCGACGTCTGCTTCATTCTCTCCGGCACCGAGGGGAGCTTCACCTCCACCAACCCGCCCATCGACTGGATGCAGCGAAACATCGGCACTCTGGGCCCGCGGCCGCTGCGCGAAATCTGCATGCCCGGCACGCACAACAGCGGCATGAGCGTCTCGCGCGGGAGAACAATTCTGGCGACAGAGGGGACGTGTCTGTGTCAGGGACTGAGTGTGTATGAGCAGCTGGTGGCAGGGTCGCGGTATCTTGATATAAGGCCGACGATTACCGCCGAGGGGTGGTTTTCGGGGCATTATTCGGAGATTCGGAGTCCGGTGTTGGGGGATCTGCTGAAGACGTGGCAGGGCATGAGCGGGCAGGGGATTGCGGAGATTGTGGCGGAGGTGAATAGGTTTACGGAGGAGTATAAGGAGCTGGTGGTGATTAGTGTGTCGCATAGTGCGAATGCATTGAGGGATTATAAGTATGACCCCCCACCCACTACTTCGTTGTGCGTTTGATCCGGTGGAGGTGAGTGTGCTAACAAGATATCTCTGGTCTAGGCCGTTCACCGACCCCGAGTGGGCCGAGTGCTACAAGCACCTCTCAAACCTCACGCACCTCCACGCCCTCCCCAACTCCACCTCCGCCGCCCTCGCCGACCTCCCCCTCTCCACGTTCATCGGCGGCGCTACGCCCAAAGCCGCTGTCCTAGTCCTCACTGAAGCCCCCGCGCACACGCTCGAGGCGTTCCCCGACGCTGGCTTCTACACCGCCAACCAGCTGAACATGTTCGATTTCTACACCAACACCATGAGCGCCGACTGGATGGCGACGGACCAGCTGGACAAGATTGCCAAGAACGCCAAGGATAAGTTCTTTATCCTGCCGTGGATCTTGACGCAGGAGGGGGCGCGAGATCTGGTGTTGAGTAGCCTGAAGGAGATGGCAGTGGATGCGGAGAGGGTGTTGTGGAAGAGGTTGTGGGCTGGCTGTGAGAGGGGGAAGATTCCGAATGTGGTGTTGGTGGATTATTTGAAGGGCGGGGGGAGGGATGTGGCGGCGTTGTGTATGGCAGTGAATAATATGTTTGGTGTGTAGGTTCGCGGTGGTTGGTTGGATGCTGTGTGGCGGGCCCGGGGTTAAGTTTTTGTTGTTCTTATTCGCGAAATGTTTTTTTTTTATTTGTACATGTAGTTGTTTATATGGTTATTTGCAATCGCTCCTGTGGAAATAAACAATTTATATATGGGTTTCGATAGACCTGGTAAAACCATCTCCATGTACAGCCAAATCCTCATTCCGAAGAACCACACAGCCGATAAACTGCAAATTTTCCTAAAGCCCAGAGGTGAAGGCGTGGAATTAATTGTTCGGCCATTTGCCCAAACAATTAATTGGACATACAAGTAACTCTTAAAGCTAGACCACTAGCATTGGCAACATGTTTCAGATTTAAACCACAACTGGACTTCACCGCTAGCCCAACTAGACGTATAGAATAAGTACATCACATATGTGTACATGTATCTACCCTAGGCCCACCCTACTATAACGTGTGTATATAAGCCTTTGACATAATAAACGTACATGGTGGTATTTAATCGACCGGATCCGAAGTTGTAATTCTACCCCCACCACTTCCTCTACGCCGACGCTGGAGTCTTAGCTACATACCCCCCCTGCTTCCGGAAGCTAATCACTGGTTCGAGGATACACGCCCGCTTCTTGAGGTCTACTGATAACAGATAGCTGCCGTTAATCATGGGCATCTCAACCGCGTCACCACTCCCACCTAGCATCACCGCCAAACTCTAGAAGTCTGTTGAAAATAGCTAGATATGCAGAGGATGCGGCCATTGAAAGCGCCACCACATAAGCTCTCGTATGGTCACCAGCGCCTGCCTCCAAAAGTCTGTTCACAATAGAGAGATCGCCGTTCCCTGCGGCTGTTAAAAGCGGGCTAAGTCCGTAACGATTCTTTACGTTTACATCCGCACCAGCGTCCAGAAGTCTATCGACAATGTTTGGGTGGCCTTTCTCTGTGGCCAGCATAAGTGGGGTGTCCCCCATGTAGTTGTTCTTTACCTCCATGTCGGCGCCCACCTCCAGGAGTCTGTTGACAATAGAGAGATAGCCTTCCCCTGCGGCAACCGAAAGAGAGCTAAGTCCGGAACGATTCTTCATGTTCACATCGGCGCCAGCGTCCAGAAGACGGTTAAGAAGAGGCAGATGGCCTCTGTATGCGGCTAGCAGAAGTGAAGTGTTCCCACGTGGTTCTTGTGACTCAACATTGGCGCCTGCCTCCAGATACCAGTTAACAATGTGAAATTCACTCCCATGCGCGGCACGCAAAAGCCCAGTAAACCCATACAGGTCCTGCGCATTTATATCCGCACCTGATTCTAGAAGTTTACTTAGGATACCAATGTGTTCGATTCGTACGGCTGACAAAAAGAGATCATTCCAATATTGTTTCTGTAAGGTGTGGTGCATTTTGGGCATAGTGGTCACCTGAAAAAGTCTTTCCACAACTGGTATATGCCCTCTATATATAGCCTTCTCTAGACTATAATAATAGCACATCTCATTTACCCCTACTGAGGTATCCAAGAAGCCCTTATCCAGAAATGAATTGACAACTTCTAGATGTCCCCTAGTTACTGCGTCTCCAAACGCCCATACGCATCCCATGGTTGATAGATCAATCAACGGGTCCTCTGATAGCCAGAGGGTCACAAGAGCTGAATTACCTTCACGGGCGGCACCAGGTAAACTATCCCATGTGTTCTTCTCTTCTAAGCTCATTGTGATGCCTTTGAGCTCTAATATCAAAAGTGCAATATCACTTCGGTGGGTATGCACAGCCCAGGTGAAAAGGGTTAAACTTGGGTAAAGGTCGACCTCAAGAACATCGTTCTCGGTGGGCTTTCGAAGGCTATCCTGAGCTATTTGACGTGCTCTGTATGGGTAGCTTTCCTCAGGGGAGCCCTTCTTGAGTTCATTGTCTAGGCCTGTCTTTCCCTCAAGCATACTTTCAATGACAGATTGATACCCGAATTTTACAGCAACGAGTGCAGATAAACCTATTACCACCTCTGAGTTGTTGTCATATCGTTGACACCGCCAAATGTATTCGCTGAAAGCTTCCATGGTCACGTGCAAAGTCTTTACATCTACCATTTACGTTAGCGGCCCGTAGAACATTAGTTTAGCAAAGCTAGCCCACACGAGGCTCGGTGGTAGATGAATGAATGAGATGCATCTGTTAATAAGATCAGAGCACATTATCGTTCTTACCATTTGGAGTTGAGAGATGAATTTCTTGATCCCCCATGATGAGAACACTACCCTCAGCCTTCATATGCATCCTATCAATTACTATAATCACGATGTAGATGTATTAGTAACTTGGCATTTAGCGGGCTTTGATCGGATCAATACCAGGAAATGAGGACCGAGCAATCCAGTTCTGATCCGTAAACATGAATCTTCCGCGCCTCTCCTTCTTATGCATTAATACAAGGATAACGCAGGAAATAAGTACTCCATCCTTATGCGCCCGATATAACGCAAACCTTGCACAAGAAGATACGGTATGTTATTTACTGATCAATCTACCTTATTACTCTTCCTCCGGGGGACCTGAGTAGAGGGGGAGAACGGTCGGGTATATTTGCACTCGTGATAGAGTCTAGAGAGCTCGAGGCTCTCGCTCGCTAAGGTGGTTTTCTCCGAGACAAGCCGTATATAACGGCCTTTTCACGGTAAACTGGCAGATAAAAGAGGAAGAAAGGTTCGAAAGAAATGTTGCCTACATACTGTTGGAATAAGATAAACTCATCCTCAACCACCCATCCCGAACCTGATCCAAGAATACCTGCTTTAGGCTGTAAAGCAGGGCCTCTACCCTCGTTCTCCCAGATCAACAAGTCACAGGTTTCGATTTGCTCGAATTTCGGCTTCTCAAGTCCTAAGGTATCAACTTTCTGGAGCTCCCTTTTGATGGTCTTTAAACTGTCAGTACAGTCGTCTACTCAAGTGGAATGTACTTTCAAAGCTCCTAGATTCTCGGCATGTTCGATCTTTCTATCGGAGGGGGCCGTAAAGACTAACCTCTACAAGTATTTCCACACGAATCGCGGTATTTGAATCAAGAAAGTCTAATTGCGGGTGTCGTGCAATTATGTCGATTAAAATCCATGCCGCTTTAATCAAGTCTGCATACCATTGGAATGATTTACTATCGCCGGGAGCTGACGAAGATGGGCGCTTCTGAATACTTGATTGTGACTGCAAAAATTAGTCTAGAACTAAAACATATGCTTGTGGAGAATGAGAATTGAATAGATGCTAATCGAGCTTGAAGACGAAAAAGGAGCAAAAAATTCAGGCACGCAATAACGAATGAATCCGCGTCATTCCCAGCTTCAGTGAGATTTGCAAGTCACAGACCTTCAGGAGCCACCATGTCCCTGCAGAGATCCATTGATCAACTCCGATGGCAGACCACTTTCGCTGAGATTCGGCGCGCTCTATGAATTTCTCACTGAGGGAAAGGGCAAAGATTCGGTCGTCCTCGATCGCAGAGATCAACGGTACTTTGAGCTGGGAGTTTTTGATTATCCATTTGATCTCACTGACACCCTGCTCTACTTTCAAAGACATGGAGTGTATACGTTGCAAGGATGAACTAAGGGAAAAAATCAGTTTCTTGTGCTCGTGTAGTAAGTCTTCGGGCTTCTTACTTTCCGGTGGAAATCAGGACAAGGCCAAGAATACCGTTGAGATAAACCAACTAATAAAATTTTCAACGTCAGCCGGTTATATACATGTAGTTTATGGGAACAAGAGGCAGGGCGTCGTGCGAGGCATGAATGTAGGTACAAAACCACAATGGCATCTTGGGTGGCTCGGCAAACCTTATTTCTCGAGATGTCTAGATCAGATGCTTCAGCCGACCACTTTATCCCATCCCAGAACTTCTTCAGTGACGATCGGTTTTGATCACCGAGCTTCTCATACTTCTTTGCATGTTTACTCAATGCATTCAGTGCATCCCGATATTGATCCACTAGGCTTTTAAGCGTGTCCATCCGATCCTTTCCTGCGGATCGTAAGATGGACTTGGAATCGGTATATTCTTCCTGCAGGATCCTCAGTGAGTTATGTGTATTTCCGAGCTCTTGTTTTAGCGATTTGAATCCGTGGGGCGCATCCCGCGCGACTTGGAAGCAGTTCTTATATAGATGCCATGCCAGCTGTATCGAGCCGGCAATATCGCCAATGCCGAAGCCGAATGACGTTTTTTGTCGATGGTAGGGGCGCTTTGGTGAGATCGAGTAATGCGGTACTCACTCTACCCTTTGGAAACGCGAGCAGACATATATGCGAGTGAGATGGCCGGCTGTGCTAATGTATCAGCTGTGGGGTAGTTGACACTGCAGCTGTGACATAATCTGATATGAGCCTATGTGACCCATAAATACATGTACATGTACATACATACATGTATTAAATTTACATGTATGTAGTTGAGTATGTAGGAGGAGACAAACATAGAGCCTCAGAAGAAGTTCACTAGCGACACGTGTTGGGATATTATACTTGATATTGGAAACATATGTAGTTCCTACTTACATATCTGGGCAGGTCAAATTAGGCTTAGTGCACTAGAGCATCGTAACGCCAAGTTGATTAACGCCAAGGATGTACTAGTACTAGCAGTTCAGTTAGAGCCTCATTATGGATGACAGTGAGGGGTTGCCTCTGCTACATATGTACCGAATGCCAAAAAGGCTACAAATCTGCTATAACGAACGGATTTTGGTGAATTCACACAGAGGTTTAGCTTCTCTACCGAATAATATCAAGTTCGTTATAGCGGAGGGTGACTGTACCAGTCAGTACTACATGTACATACATGTACCTACTCGCAACAGGCCTGAAGGACCCGAAAATGCAGCTGCAAGGTTTTGGTGTATTTTTGACTTCTACCCCAATGGCAATTGCAGATTAGGGCTTGCATTTTCGGGTACTTGTTACCTGCTGCAAGTACCTTACTCTAGGTTTCTTAGCTTCAGTGGTGGCAGGGTAAGAAGTATGTACATATGTATGTACCTCCGCATCCGGTTGATCATGAGTGACACGATTGAGATTAGGCGTGGCGGCATAAGGGATGCGATGAGTTGGATGCCTGATAATGGATCCGGCAGTGGTTCTCGAAGATAATCCCCGCCCACATCTCAACTATCAAATTCAATACTCCATGGGGTTATTTCCATCAACTTGAATACAAAATATCCATCCATCACCTGCATCAGCAGATAGAACGGTATCCTCCTCCGCGCACCATGGCTCCAACATCAAAAGTGATTCCGGCTGGCCCGGAAAGAATCCGCTCACGAGGTTACCAAATGGAAATGCTAGATGAGAGCTTGAAGAGGAATATCATCGTTGCGGTGCGACAAATTAAAATCACTTTATCGTGACAGAGCGGGGGCTAATCCGACTTGCGGGGTGAACAGATGGACACAGGCTCAGGAAAGACCCACATGTACGTAAACGACAGAGATTCCTTCTCATTTCCCATGCGACACACCTATGAAGGTGTTCCAAAGAACTGTTTTCAAATGATCTCCTAATACTCTATATTTTATAATAGTGCTATACTTAGAATTCGGTCCTACCTTGAATCCGGCGGAGGTAAAGTATGGATAGCGCGCTCTACTATGGTCTCAATGAAATCGCTTACGCCGAGACTATAGTTGTGCTGGCTTCTGGTCCCAAGTGTACCATTGGGAAATCAGCAATTTGATGTTATTAGGTCGTCTTTACCGCCTATGAACATTCAGTTCCTGAGCGGGAGTGATAATGTTGATAAATGGAAGACTCAAGACATATGGGATCGGATTTTGAAACTCCAAGAGAACGCATCAACGGTCGTTGTTAGTACGCATCAGGTTTGTACTCAATGGTCGAAAGGGAAGAAGCGGGGATGAAAGGGCGAAGTTGACGCTGCTAGGAAACTAGATATTACTAGATGCGTTAACCCACGGGTTTGTGGGTATCGATAGGATAGGATTATTGATATTTGATGAAGGTCCGTCCGTCGTTGTTTGGGCGATCGGAGGATGAAGATGCATCCAGCTGATATTCTATTCTCTAGCCCACCACTGCGCCGGCAACCACCCGGCAAACCGCATCATGCAAGACTTCTACCATCCAAACCTCCATCGTCAGGTCCCCTCGATCCTTGGGCTTACGGCTAGCCCAATTGTCAAGTCTAAGCCAAGACAACTGCAGTGGGTCGTTCTACCGTCGTGATCCGTTCCCTTTTACTAAGTCATGCGCCGTTTTACTGCAGGGTGATAGAGTCGAATTTGAATGCTATATCCAGAACACCGATCTTGAACCGGGAGGAGCTAATGGAGCATGTTCATACACCACTATTGAAGAAGGTTACCCATGAAGCATCGCCCTCGATTAATCAGGTGGTGAACTCAAAATTTGAGGATTATATAGAGTCTCTAGGTCTAGGCAGGAAGAGAGGGGGTAGTCCGGGGCATAGTAGTCTTGAAGAACCCCCGGCTATGAGGTTAAAGATAACAGAAAAGGATTATATCTCGAGGTAAGATAAGGTGATCTAAATATCATATCTACAACGCTACCTTTAATCTTTCAACCTGAGTGTTATTTCTTCCACTCCTGGGGCTAGCGCCTGGACTCTCTACCCTCTATTTTACCTTTTTATATTTCTTATTTCATCTGCTCTTCAATCCATACTAGGTAGCATCACACATTTAGGAAAAAGGGGGGGGGGGTCACAGGGGCGTCTTGCAATGCTGGATTTTTGAAAGACATTAACATATCATATGTCTCTCATCTTGTAATACTGTGTTCTTTTTTCGTTTCATATGTTTATGAACAAACATTGAGACTATGCTAACCAAGGTCTGGGCGATAGGACAAGTTTATCGAAAACTTCTGAATGGTCTACACCAGCATTTAGAACCCTATCGCAAGCTTACACTTCCATGAATATCATGGAAGACCCGCGTGTTATCACTCTCCTTGCTACACAGCCTCCTGATCTAGAAAAAATCAGGAAGACAATCGAACACAAGAAAACTCGCTCATTCCACCAAATGCATGGGATTGTTAAGAAGGCCGAACACATTATCACAGAGTATGGAATTTGGGGGGCGGAGTGGTACGTTGCTATGATTGTGAATAGGGCACTAGGATCTATAGAGGACGAATCTGAGTCCTCCGTGCTGGCGGGGTGGGACGAGGAGGAGAAGATCTATTTTTGTAATGTGCTGAGGAAGGTGACGGTGACAACAGATCTCAGAGATATAAGATGGGGGATTACGGACAAAGTAGCACGACTTATCGCGTTACTAGTGGCAGAGTTTAACGGAAAGAGTGGAGGAAACCAATTTTCGGGCTTGGTATTTGTGGAGCAGAGGGTGGGGGTGTCAGTATTAGCGGAGATTCTGAGGGAGCATCCGGATACGCGAGAGGTCTTTGATGTTGGAACATTGGTTGGGACATCTGATAATTCTGCGAAAACCGGAAGGCTTGTATATGAACCCACCACATTACAGGAGCAGAAAGGAACAATTGAAGGGTTTAGGCAAAGAACAAAGAATATCGTCATCTCGACCAGCGTTGTAGAGGAAGGCTTGGATATCCCGGCTTGCCACTTGGTGGTTTGCTTCGCGCTGCCCAAAAACGTCAAGAGTTTTATCCAGAGGCGAGGAAGAGCGCGGCAGGAGAAGAGTACATACTATCTCATGTTTGAGGAGGGATCAGATACGAGAGTGAAGATCGCACAGCTGGAACAGTTGGAGCGAGAAATGATCCAGGAGTACATGGATGAAACCAGGGAGCTTGAAAAGAGGCTAAACAGGGAAGAAGGCGAGCCTGATGAAGATGGAGTAATAAGTGAGGCGGAAAATAGGAAGTTTCTAGTGAAAAGCACCAAGTTTGACTTCCCACCTAACATCGATTCAACCTGATACTAATGATTATTATATAGTGCCCTTTTGACTCTGGGTTCAGCGCTGACTCACCTGCATCATTTTTGCAATACCTTACCATATACCGAGTTCACCGACCTCCGCCCGATCTTTAAAACAGAAGCTGTTTACCCCTATAGCGGATTTCTTGACCCAGACAAAGTCCACTATAGAGCTGAAGTAATGCTGCCAAACTCTGTCCCGCAGAATGTCCGGCGGGCTGTAAGCAAAGAGGCATGGGCAACAAAAAGCTTGGCCAGACGGGATGCGGCCTTTGAAGCATATCTTGCCTTGTATAAATTGGAGGACCCACTTATTAATGATAATTTGCTGCCTCTTGTTCCGGTTAGCAAAGACACGAGAAGTACGCCGGATACCGAGCTTACTCCGGCCCTGAACCCAACACCGAAGATTATTGATCCATGGGCAGACACCAACTGGGCAGAGGCTTCAATGATATATGCTACTCCGATCATACTTAGTATGCCGAGCACGGAGCCGGTTGAGATCAATATATTTACGACCATGGAATGCCCCAATATAGAAGCAATCCCAATATTTTGGACAAAGGTCGAGAAAGGAGAGATTAGTTTGGGTCAATCATACTCTCTTTCTGTTGACCAGAGCATTGTGGAAAAGGCAAAAAAGAGGACATATGATCTTCTATACACGGTACATGCAGCCAAAATGGAGACCAATATAATGGAATTCCCATATCTGTTTTCTTGGGGTGATGAGGCTCCACTATGGGAAGAGGAAGGTGGCATGAATAGCAGTGCATACGATGCCTATAAAAACTTTGTCCCACCCGATAATATGGGAATCATCCGAGAGGCTGGCCAGGAACATTCAAGATATATATTCATCCAATGGAGGACTGATATATCTCCACTGGAGGAGATGCAAATCCTTGAGAAGTATAAAGGCAGGCCAATCGATCCAGACCAGCCAGTTATGGAAGTTCAGAGGCTACCTCATCGACGCGACTTCCTACATCAAGCACTCTATGAGTTGAACCCAGCACCAACCTTTCTACTCCCCCAGTACTGCACTGTCGATAAAATCCCGTGGCGATACTCTCAATTTGCGCTTTTTGCACCCGGTATCATTCACCGAATTGGCTTAACCTTGATGGCTTCAGATATCAAGAACTCTCTACTTTCAAGCGTAGGTTTCAGGTCAGTCAATAATGTTCTTACCGCTCTATGCACCTCCTCCGCGAGGGAGCTACATGACTACCAGCGACTAGAGTTTCTTGGCGACTCGATACTGAAATTTCTGGTTTCCATCAATCTACTCGATGAGCATCCGTCTTGGCATGAAGGTGTTCTTTCTACGAAGAAGGCAAAAGTAGTATCCAACGCCACGCTGGCTAAAGCAGCACAGGGAAAGGGCTTGGCTCAATGGGTCATTTCCGAAGAATTTACCGGGGCTAAATGGAGTCCCCGGTACATCAATTCAGCGAATGAAGAATGTGCTAAGAGGACGCCGGACGATTCTCCCCCCTCTGATAGGGTCCTATCAAGAAAAGTACTGGCGGATGTCGTTGAGGCACTCATTGGCGCAGCGTATGTTGAAGGGGGCTATGACCAGGCACTGAGATGCATCGATTTCTTTGGCTTGGGTGTGGTCCTGGAACCGCTCCAAAGCAGAGTGAGCTCCTTATTTCGCAAAGCAGGAAAGACGTCACCCGTCAAACACGCATACCTAAGAGGCCTGCAAGACCTTCTCGGCTACAAGTTTAAACATCAATCACTCCTTCTCGAAGCGGTCACCCACCCCTCCTCCGAGTTACCCTCGCCGTCCTATCAACGTCTCGAGTTCCTCGGAGATGCGGTACTGGACATGTTAGTAGTTGATGAGCTCTATCAGAGTCCAAAGAACCTCCCGCCAGTTTCCATGCACCTCTACAAGAGCTCAGTCGTCAACGGCGGTCTTTTGGCATTCCTGTCCATGAGTCGCTCCACTCGCGAGAAAATACCCACAGTAGAAGAATCTCGTGGTGTCTTCAACGTCATAGATGTGGAACAAGAAGCCAACATATGGGACTACGTCCAGCTCTCCCACCCAGAGATGATCAAAGCAAGAAAACGATTTTTCCACCAATACGACCGCTCGCGCCTCCAGATCCTCACAATCCTAGCGGAGGGCCACCGCTACCCGTGGGCCGAGATCGCACTCCTCGAAGCAGACATCAACGGTAAGTGTAAGCTATTTGCAGACATGTTTGAGGCCATCGCCGGGGCCGTGTTTGTCGACTCTGGCGGGGACTTTGAGGTTGCCAAGGCACTGGCGGAACGGTTTGATATCTTCCGCGTGCTAAGGATATTCGTGGAGGGTGAAACGAATGTCATGCATCCGTTCACCCGGCTGAACGAGGCTGTGGCACGATTGGGGAAGGGCGCGGTCGAGTACGAGTGTGTGGAGGAGGACGGGGTGTACGTGTATACGACGTCGATAAGGGGCATAAAGGTGGCGGTGGCCGAGTCGACGAATGAGTTGCATGCGAAGGTGTTGGCTGCGGAGAAGTCGCTGGAGGTGCTGGAGCGGGCAGAAAGGTGTGCTAAGGAAGGGGCGCAACAGGAACGGCCGGAACCGGAGGTGGAGAGTCCGAGGGAGGATGTGATGGAGGTCGATGATGAGCCACAAATCATACTTCGAACAGATCTTTTCGATTAGACGGCCAAAGTGGGTATTTCGTTTATTCAGTGTTTAGTTTGAATATTGTTGCAATGTTTGTGGAGAGTATACGGCAACGAGGAGGGAATATATAGCCGGGGTTTTTGGTCCTTCGGCTCCTAGATATAAGACTGTATTTAAGAATCCCCACCTACGTATCGTTAGTATCGCGGGAGCCGGAGCACAGTTTGAGTGCTATCCGGGTATGCGAGTGCCTATCTGTGATCAAGGGATCAGTTATGACTAAGCTATGAGAGCTTATCCAAGCCCCTAATGATGGTCCAAGCTGTGTAGAAGCGTCAGAAACGAAAGCATTGGGATTATCTATAGTTGATCTCGCGGGGCGCGCTTCCTCAACGGTTATAGCAATACATGCATGGCCCGTGCCGAGACATCCCAGAGCCTATATCCGGCCCAGCGTAAATACCCCAACCGCAGCCCGGTGAGTGCCACTGCCGTCATCGGAACCATCAAGGCACATCTTTTATCATCTCTTGTATTATTCTCGGGTCCCGGTCCTTTCTCGTGGAACAGCGTTCGTACAGGACCTGTCAGCTCTGTAGCTACTGAAGATGGTGTTTCTTAACCCTTGGGGACTGCATAAATAGCTACACGGGGTAAAAATGGTGTCGAGGTTAGGAACTTCATGTGGAAACCTTTCAGCGCGCATCGCGGATAGCTGTGGAGGTAGAGTATGTGAGTATAATTATCTCCGGGGTCTCCTAGATGCTGTGGCATGGGATGAATTCAAGTACAACACCGTCAGCACAATAATCTCCATTGATAAGGAAACGAATGGCATTATGGATGATGTTACGGATTAGCGAGAGTGGTCACGATCCTACTACGCGCCTAGAATGACGGGATAGGGTGGTGCGCGAGAGCACTTCAACCCTCCCAGAAGCTAGGACATTCGTGTCTGGCTGGCTGGGAAGAGCCTGGCGTTTGCAGCCCGCCAGTGATGAGGGGCACTCCGTCAGCAGCCGGCGGAACTTTTGCAGCTGTTGTAAGAAGCTCCTGCTGTGGGACATACGTACCGCTAACCTTAGTTGGTACCTGTTATAATAGAAGAGGCCACTCTAGTTCTGCGACCACCGCATGTACATGTTGTCATTACGATAGGTGGCTTCGATTGTAAACGATTGATGGTTTGAGAGGAGCGATAGTCCTCCCCTTCTCATCATCAACACTGGGAGTTACATATCCACTCCACTGCCTTTTGATTTGTTGAACCTCCTATGATATTCCGGAACGCATCATGATCCTAGGTAAACATCATGCATGGCTAGGTGTACCTGCAGCTGCGCAGATCAGGTCAAGAGCATGCATTAGACTTCTATTGAAGATGAGGAGGAAATGCGTGAGGCAGGCTTATGTTTAACAGGCTAAAAACAACATAATACTAGATATACCCGTAAACTATGTCGTTATAGGACCTAAAAGCAGTATGTATCCATTCCATTTACCAGCTGTTATCAGGTTGGCCAGGTCCCAATGCTACTGTCATTTATGTATGCCCTTTTCAATTTCTGTCTTTGACTTTCGGGAAACTAGTGCTCAAGGAGGACCAGGGCTACATTCAGAAGCCTCCTGGTTGATAGAAGGCGTGTGCACAAGTAGAAGCTGATAGACACACATATCTCTTGAGATAGGTCGCTAGAGAAGGGTATTGGTGGAGGCTTGGCGCTAACGCCAAAATCTCACCAAACGATCATTTCCCCGCACCTTATCACAGGATATGTATATATCGATGTAGACCTATGTAGGTACCATTACCCCAAATCCTTTCCATTCAGCTCCGAATTAAATACCCATCTGATTGATATCGTACGAAATTTTCACAAGTTGGCTATAAATAGATTTGCCGGAGAGATCCATGATTGGGAGGGAATTCGCTACGGGTGGAGCTATGCCGTGGCTGGAAGCCATTGGACAGGCAGAAATTAGTAATAAAGAGACTCATGGACAGACTAGGCTGTGATCTTTACCAGAAGCTATTTACAATTCCAGAAGTTCTCTTCTAGCTGCGCCCACCTCGAATTGAAACTCGCGTTTCGGAGAAACTTATGGTCTAGCTGTCTTCATATCTGGAAAACAAATAACGAGCTTAGCGGTATTCCTGATGAGCCCTTTCAATCTATCTTGATGTCAACAGCAGCGGTAATCGATGTGAGAAGTACTTTCTGTAGGAAACAAACGCGCAGAAACTGCAACGGAAGGGGATCGGAGAGTTGGAGGGGTTAAATAGCAGGCCGTACTCGCGATTTCACCTATGTCTGGACGCGTTCCACAAGGATGGTTTCGACGCTTTTTTTTATCCCCGCAAACAAGGAAAAACGAATACCCTCGATGATGTAGCAGCAAACAGGACCGCCGGTCAAGGGCTTCCTCCGGCACCACAAAACCTTCTTGAGCCGATTATATCAAGTATTCCAGAGCATGCAGACACTGAGATAGACCCCAGCACTAGGGTCAACGACCAAGAACCAAAACAAGAACAGAAATCGTGCAGCAATAACACCGCGTCTATCTCACCGAGAGAGTCCACGACTGGTTATTCCTGTCAACCTGTTAGTCCTGGAGAAACTCATCAAGCAGGAGATCACCGTATACTAACTCACGACTTCGCGTTGGGTTTGCCATCCTCGTCCAATCAGCAAGCCGTAGGCAAGCAGGGAGAAATATACACCGAGGAACGCGGGTTCATACCTTTAGAGTTAAGTCCTGAAGAGGTGAAAATACAAATATCACCCACCGAAAATATCGCCTGTCCAATAGAATCAAGATCACCGCAAGAAACCGCCACTGAACACCAATCGCCGGCGGATAAGGTGTTGCCTCCGGCGCTCGAAGACTCAATAACACGCACTTCCACAATAGGGTACCTGGACCATCACCCAGGTCATATCTCGCCCGGTAACCTCGCCACCAATGGTCTCATCGAAAACTACCCACAGAAACAGCATCCTGAACCCTTAGCAGCAGTGAGTACACCTCAGATCTCGGGTGAAGACTTGATCCGATCCCACTCTAAGCCTGCACCATATTTAAACAAAGAGAATAAAGCCATGGACTTGAGTCAGCGTTTGGAAGAATTCAAGCTAGAAACTGGATTCCAGGGGGACTACGTTCTACAACGAGCGGGCACGTGGGAAAGTGGAAGCTCTACAAAGCTATGGAGAACATCAAGATGGAAGAAAAAGGCGGTGATTGGGAGCGGGAACTTTGGAACCGTTTAGTTACAGCAAAGGGTGGAATATGATGATGAAGAAAACGAAGAAGTCGGGGGAGGGGTAAGACAATTAAGGGCTGTGAAGACTGTGCCGCGGGATCTCTCACGAGGCGCAAGCCTATCACAGGAGTTACTCGCATTTGTGAAACTGAAGCAGGTTGGTTTCTGCGTTACTTGAAACTTGACTCGCTGAGGTACTAATATATCAGTTTGACCATCTTTTCGTAAACTTCGACGGCTGGTACGAAGATTCGGATAACATGTTCCTTGTGATGGAATATGTTAGGGATGGCGACTTAAGCAAATATATTCAGCGATCGAAAGAAGGTTCAAAGGGTTCCAGATCACTGATGGAGGTTAAGGAGATTACTAGGCAAATCTTAGAAGGACTTGAGGTGCTCCACAGTAAAAAGATTTATCACCGTGATTTAAAGCCGCAGGTTTGATCCATTATCTCGCTCTTATTTAATAGTATGCTGATAACAGTTAAAATTCCCCACAGAATATCCTCATGGCCTCTCTTGATCCAGTGTGGATTAAGATAGCGGACTTTGGTGCTTCGAAACATGCAAAGAATACCAGCCTACGAACAAGAGCTGGTACCCAAGGTTATCTCGCGCCCGAAATACTTGGATGTAACCCCAAAAAGTTCAAAACTCAGGGTTTGATTCCTCATGCTTTGGATGTGTGGTCGTTGGGATGTTTGGTGTATGAACTCATCGCCTTCGAACCTCCCTTTCTTGATCAAGAGCCGGATGAGGAAGACGAACCTGCCACAGGCGTAGAAGCCTGGCCGACATCAGAACCCCGCGAATTCGACTTCGCATGTCTTCGGGAGTATTGCGATTCTGGCCTCGAATTCCCGGCGGCACTTCTGAAGCAATCAGATCTTCCGGTGGGTGAAGAAGAAGAAGCCTTTATCCGAAGTCTTTCGGTTCCAAGTCCAATGGCTCGGCCGACGGCAGCCAATAGCTTACAAGGCCCATGGCTGAGAGGACTTTATTATACAAGCGGTAGGATTGAGTTTTGGAAGAATGAGTTTTTGCAGCTTGGGGTGCAGCTGGACTTCGGTAAAGAGAATATATTGATGCGGCAAGTGGATGTGAGAGACATCTATCAGTTTCTACCCAAGGGTGCTAAGGGTGCTAAGGGTTCGGTTTCGGATCTTCTTATGGTGGCTGCGAGGAAAAGTCGCAAGGAGGCTCTTGAGAGACTACTCAAGTCCCCGAGTTGTCTGGAGTCGATAGGCAGTGTAAATAGGGTGAAATTATTTCAGCAGGCGATAGAGACTGGACAGAGAGATATGGTGCAAAGACTTTTACAACACAAGGCATTTGCTGAGGCCTCCTTTGGCGACAAATCAGTGCAAGGATGGGCGGTAGAGGTGGCTGGGGATGATGGTGAGATGGTCAAGGTGATCCTTGAACATGCAAGTGATCTTTGTGGTGCACTTCTATTGGCTGTCAAGTCTGGTGATGTTGATATAGTACGGACAGTTTTGGGGAGAGATCCCGAAAAGGAGGTTTTCGACACCGGAGATTCTCTCCATACACCCTTGCGAGAGGCAGTTAAGGAAGGGTATCTTGATATTGTTAAATTGCTTCTAAACGAAGACACAAACATTAATTTTCCAGCGCCATATGATGCAGGTCGTCGGACACTACTTCAGACAGCTGCCGCACATGGTCATGTCGAGATAGTAAAATACTTGCTGGACAAGGGGGTAAATGTCAACGGGTTAGCTGAGAGGGATGGCGGCCGAACAGCCCTGCAAGCGGCCTCTGAGCTTGGTCATGTCGAGATCATCAATCTGCTATTGAAAAATGGTGCAAATGTGAATAGCCCAGCAGCGTATACCAACGGCCGGACAGCCTTGCAAGCGGCTGTCGAGCGTGAACACCTTGATGCCATCAAGATTTTGCTGGACAGTGGCGCGAATGTAAACGGCAGCGCAGGGGCCGAGGGCGGTAAAACGGCACTACAGGCAGATGCAAGATGTGGAAATCTGGAAATCGTAAAGATTCTATTGGCCAGTGGCGCGGACGTCGATGCTGATGGAGCCCAGGAAGGGGGGGGGGAAGGGCCCTTCAGATGGCCTGCACCGGCGGACATTTTGGCATTGTCAAGCTCCTGTTAAACGAAGGCGCCGATATCGACTCAAGGGCAGGACGTTATGGAAGAACGGCATTACAGGCAGCAGCCGAAGTGGGCGATATGGAGACTTTTAAGCTACTTATGGAACATAAGGCGGATGTCAACGCGACAGCAGGAGGAGGAGAATCAGCACATAAACGAAGTACAGCTCTACAGCTGGCTGCGGGAAATGGATATTTCGAAATGGTCAAAATCTTGATAGACAACAACGCCCACGTCAATGCCGCCGCGTTCGATCCCGCCCCGTTCAGAGAATATAATTTAACAGCGTTGCAAGCAGCAGCCAAGGGCGGACATTTGAGAATCGTAAAGCTCTTACTAGAGAACGAGGCCAGCACAGGTGGTCGAGGTTGGACGCCCTTATCCATCGCTGCCGGTGGCGGATACATGGACATTATCCGGCTGTTGCTAGAGTATGAGGACGATTTCAAGACAAACGGAACGACGGCCTTAAATGCTGCCAGCGGCAATGGACGCATTGACGTTGTGAAGCTGCTATTAGACCGATGTGCGGACGTCAATGCACACACACTAGTAATCTTGAAATAGTACGCTCGACACGTTTCATAGTATTGGAGGATTCTCATTTGTCATTATGAGTCACGGGTTCTGACTCATTCTTTTACTGGTATTTATCAGTCATGTCTTTCTATTACTTATACGGCTATGATTTACTATGTTTTGTGTTACCTTTCTTTAGTATAAATACGGGGCATTCCCCCCTCTAGTTAGTTGGAATAACACGCTCAATTACTACACTTCTCTACATACATTTTCTCTAAGTAAAACTCGATCCTCCCACGTGCGCATATCCATTTACTTCAACAGCCCTGCAAGCTGCGGCTGGTGGTGGGCATATATATAGATATTGTCGAACTGTTGTTAGATAATGGCGCGCATGTCAATGCAAGAGCAGGACCGTTGGCGACGGATCAATATAGCCCTAGTCCATCTGCCCTAGAAGCAGCGGCGGGTGGTGGATACATCGATGTTATAAAGCTGTTGCTAGATAGGGGCGCGGGCGTCTACACAAATCCAGTAGTAGAGCCACGTCGTAAACCCACTCCAAACGCCGTAGAAGTCGCGGCTGGCGGTGGGCACATCGGCGTTGTAGAGCTACTGCTTGATGGGAGTACCGGCGGCACCGAGGACGTGAAAGCTGGGTCAGCGTCAATATCAGGCAGGCCTAGGCCGTTTCCCGCCTACTACGACACATGATGTACTCGACTCGGACGTCGCAGTAGCCCTGGAAGATGTAAACATCGCTCCAGACTATAGAACGGTCGACACATGGACTAGGGCGTTAACTGCAGCATCTAAAGCCGGACATTCCAACATTCTTGAGTTCTTATTGAATCATACTATTGGTATCAATTCCTACACACATCAATGGACTAGAAACGAAGACGCAACGGCGGCATTTCGTAAAGCGCTGGGGTTTTGTATCAAGCGTGGGCACATTGAGATGGTAGAACTTATACTACACGTGTATAAAAACGATGAAATCTGTGTCGGAGCATTGCAAAAGGCAGCACGTGTGGGAAATATCGGTATTGTAAAGCTCCTACTAAGTACCAGGGCGGGTGCAGCTATGAGTGTCGGAGCGGGTGAGTTGAAAGCCGCTGCCGGTAGTGGAAATATTAATATTTTCAGATTGTTCTACGAGCTTTACAACCAATCAAGGAAATCTCAATCATTTGATGGTATAGACGCCTTGCGATCGGCCGTGTGCGGCGGACATACCGCAATCGTCAAGCTCTTACTGAAGAACGGTGCCAGCCCCGCCAGCGAAGACAGCTTGTGCGATGCCATAGGCACGGGTCGTATTGAACTTGTTAGGATCTTATTGGAACATGGGGCGGGGGTTCGTGACACACTTTTGGAGGACGCTGCCCACAGAGGTCACGTAGGCATCGTACGTTTGCTTTTATCCCAAAAGCTAGTAGATGTGCAATTTACCCGTCTCGGTGGATACAAGTTTACGCCTTTGCAAGCAGTTTGCAAGGGTGGGCATAACAGAATCGTCAAGCTGCTATTGGAAAACGGTCCCATTGAACAGCGCTACCAAAAAGAACAAATAGCCTTGTGCCTCGCAGCTATGGAGGGACATACTGGGATTGTGAAGCTCCTACTATCAAGTAGGGCCGATGTCAACGGCGGGGGACAAATGGAGACCAATTGGACTATAAAGCCTGACGCCCCACAACTTGCTGCGTTGTACGGACATATTCACATTGTTAAGCTACTTCCGGACCACGGGATCGATCCTAGCAATCTGCGCGACAACAAGTGTACACCACTGCCTCTTTCCGCCTTTAAAGGTCATACGGCCATTGTTAAGTTGCTGCTGGATAATATATCCGTCCGCTTCCCCGATAAGATACTGGGTGGTAACGAGGCCTTACTAGTGGCGGCCGTGCGGGGCGGAAATCTCAACACTATCAGACTCTCGTTAAAGAACAAAGTAAATGTCAATATTCCGGACTCGAAGTCTGTAACGGCGCTACACGCGGCAGCTGAGATTGGACACATCAGTATTTTGAAGCTCTTGATCAACAACAAGGCCGATGTTAATGCGGAAACCGAGGATGGGACTACTGTTCTGAAGCGTGCTTTTATATCCCAAAATATCGACGCCATCAAACTTCTCGTAAACTTGAAGGCCAACGATCTCCCCATAACCAACAACCACTACCACTACCGTGATGAAATTCGAGACGAATACAGCAACGCCTCCGGCCGTGGGCTCTAGTGGAATCAAGTTCCCACCGCGACGGGCGGAACTTCCCCATAAAGTCTATTTACCAAGAGAAACCCGATAGAGCTTTTTTATAAACACATCTCTTACTTTTCTTGTAGCCTTCCGTCTAGCACACATTTTTCTCCCTCTACATCATTATCTTTCGTTTACATTACCCAGAGTTCAGGGGAAATGCTGGGAAGTAACAAATTGTGTTTTTTTTCTCTGGCTCGACTCGATGTATATTCCAATTTTGTCTTATGGTTTTTCTTATTATTTGTCCTTTATTTTTGTCTTCTGTTATTTGTCTTCTTTTTTGGACTTTTGTCCTTTTCATTTCTATTTCGTCCTTTTTTCTTTATCGCTCATCACTTCCTCAATACATGAAGACCGTTAGTTCTAGTATTCTTATCTGTGTTTCTAAGCATGACGGTGACCGTCCTCCATCATGACAGGACTCTTTGTGGAAACCTACTATACCATAACACTGCCTAGAACGTGAAGCTCCAGATCTAAACACCGAGTAGAAAGAACTACATGTATTGACCGATTCGATTACAACACCAAAGAATATCCAATATCCCATGGATACACGCCCCGCCGTGCGTCCCTCGCATCACCAAAGACTCATCTCAGCATCAAGCCCCCACTACACACTCCACCTCCCGCCCGGAACGCCGTTTCTCTTTGCTGGAGCATGGTACGGTGAGTCTGACGTCCACAGAGTCAACCCTAACCCTGTATTTTGGATTTCGTGGGTATTGGGGGCTTTGTCGCGGCATAAGGGGTGAGTGCCTGGTGCTGCATCATCCCGTGGATACGCTGGGGGATGGGGGTGTTTGTGTGCGGACGTAGGTTTACTCGATGTGCTTGGCACGTGCGCGTGCGCCGGGCGGAATAGCACACTCACTGTCGATTCCCCGTTCCGATCATGCAACAAGTCATAGTGAACAGTGTAAGGAGAGGCCCGATCTGTGTACTCGTAGAAACCAGTCCGACCATCGCGGTGTTGGACGGCGGCTGGTGCCTTTGTTTGCAAGTCTCGGAATGCCATTGGGTCCACTACTCACACCCGAGACCCAACGGCGTGTATCATTTTTCGAAACGGTCAGAAGCACGCCAGTATTCCTTGGGCGTTGAATATAACCGGATGAGTTTTGATCCTGGGTGTTTGCGCCGAATCAGTGGTTCTGGATCATGTAATCAATCGCAAAACGACGTAATCACGGAATGTCACTCGGCCACACTGCGAGTGATGGGATATGAGTCGCATATAGCGAGTGATATTTGATGACGCAGATTGCACTTCCCACGTGAGACGGAAAGCAAGGGGGCGGGTATTCAACAGTCAGTCTGCGAGTCCCAAGACCGTACTGAAAAAAATGCTGTACATGAATCTAGTCTTGGAGCCCAAGAGAATTGCAATTAGTTTCCAGTTGAGAGGGTCGCGGCAACTTCAGTTCATCAAAGTGCTAGGGATTATAACCTCACTTGGCTGAATCTCAGAGCTGTACGCGTCTGTCTGTCCGCTTGTTGACGGATTCTCACCATCTTTGCTCTCCGGGTATCTAGCCTTGTAGATAAATCTCTGGATCTGTTCCGGGCCGTTGGCGGATATGACGGATTCGCGAATGGACTTGACAAATTCGCGAATGGACTTGAGGTATTCGCGAATGGCCTGGGAATACTGTGGTTTAGTAGGACAATTAGTTCATCACTCACAACTAATAATGATTTATATCAATCCTGAATGATCTCTACAACCATCAGAAACCTCTGAAAAAACCATCGACCCTAAAGACCAAACCTAAAAAAATAGTTAGCATCTTCATGATCTTTAGCGAGCTTAAAACCTCAATATTAACAATTGACGCCTGATATGTGGTATCCTGTGGTCTCTATCAGCTTCACTGACCTCTACAACTACTTATTAGGGCCCTATGAGCTCTAGTAGAGTCCAGATTATTCTCGAGTTAATTTAAAGACCCAATTCCATTACCCTTTATCCAGTCCATTCGCCAATGGACCGGTCCGGTCCCCGATGTATGGAGCAAGCAGTCCATTGGCGAATCCAGGGTGTTTGCGAGTCGCCCGGAACAGATCGACATGTGCAAAAAGTTGCATTCGGCAGCTACATGTATGTATGCCATCTACAGATATATATGAAACTCCGATAAGAAAAGACGGGCCATCGCAGATCGAACTGGATTTCCTGCTGATCACGGGTAATATTTGTAATGCCAAGAAGATATCGGGGGCCTACATATAATACAGATATCGTAGGCTGAGTTATGTAGGTTTGAGTCTAGGGGCTATTCAGCTCTGCGTGTATATCCTCGGAAAGTCACTACTAGTATTACTAAATCTTGCTTTCTTCTCGATAAGCTAGAAGGTTCATCATAACCCGATTTATGAATCATGATGACGACCAAGTGAGTTATATCTGGCCGGAGGATACATCTGGGAAGGTCCGACTACTCGAGGTAGGGTGCTAGCGGTGGTTTTAGTAGTGGGAGTAATCTTACATCCACTTCAGATCAGCGAACTCAATAGAAAGAAGGATCACCCATATGCATATTGGATGCAAATATCCCTCGGTTAAGGTAAAGAAGATAACGAGACAACTTCTTCAATCTAAGTTACTTAAGTATTTACGTGGTAAGAACGTTCCGCCAAATACACCACTCTAGATACTTGTATATATATAAAATACATAGATGGAATTACCAAGCCTAGTGCTAGTTATTGCAAGAGTTAATTATACAACATCGATATCTTTCTTTTCCCTATATTTACGTATATGAGCAAAGATCTCATTCGCGGCTTTTATGAGCTTCTTCTTATCTTTCCCAACTATCGTGACCTGTTCATCGCCGCTCCCACTCACAACCTCTCTTCCCAAAGTAATATCCTCCCCAGAGATGGCCTCCTGTCCATCGATATCTTCCGCATCACCGACGATCTGTTCATCGGTGCTCTCTCCGACACCTTCACCGCTTCTCCCATCAACGACGATCTGTTTATCGGGGCTCTCGCTGACACTTTCATGGGTGCTCTCACCGACATCGCCGTCGGTGCTCTCACTGAGACCGCCGCCGGTGCTCCCACTGGCACCTTCATCGCTTCGCCCATCAACGACGATCTGTTTATCGGGGCTCTCACTGAAACCTTCACGGGTGCTCTCACCGACATCGCCGTCGGTGCTCTCGCCGACACCGCCGTCAGTGCTCTCACTGAGACCGCCGCTGGTGCTCGCACTGACACCTTCATCGCTTCGCCCATCAACGACGACCTGTTTATCGGCGCTCTCACTGACAACTTCATCTCTTCCCAAAGGAATATCTCCCCCATCACCAACGACCTGTTCATCGGCGATCTCACTGACACCTTCACCGCTTCGCCTATCAACGACGATTTGTTTATTGGTGCTCTCAATGACAACTTCATTGCTTTCAGGGGAGGTATCTTCCCCATCACCGAAGAGCTGTTCATCGGGGCTCTCATTAACAACTTCATCTCCCCCTAAAGGAATATCCTTCCCAACAACGCTGACCTGTTCATCGGCGAACTCACTAACATCTTTATTGCCTTTCAGGGAGGTATCTTCCCTATCAGCGACGACCTGTTTATCGGCACTCTCACTGAGACCTTCACCGCTTCCCAAAGGAATATCTTGCCCATCGACGACGGGCTGTTCATCGGCGATCTCACCAACTCCTTCATTGCTTCCCAAAGGGATATCCGGCAATTCTGAGTCTGAATCAAGGGCGCGTAGCAAATCTCTCTCTCCCAAAATAGCTGCCATATCATGTGCCGTACGTCCGTCTTGGTCTTTAACGCTCCTATCCACTCCTTTTTCAATGAGTGTAAACGCTATTTCCCCACAATCTTCTTTCCTATGGCGAGTAAGGGATGAAAGGATCACTAGATGCAGTGCGGTCCAACAACCAATCCTCGCGTTCACGTCTGCCCCTTCATCGATGAGGAAACGAACAAAATCAGGATCTCCCTCAAAACAAGCGAAGTGCAGGGCGGTATACCCCCTTTTATCCAAAGCGTTTAGATCCGCCCCTTGGGCTATGAAAATCTTAACCAAGGAGTTCTCAATCATAAAGCTTGAGTAATGCAAAATTGTACGCTTAAGTTTATCTGTGATCTTAACATCCGCTGCACTGTTGAGAATGAGCATGCGTACAAGGTGGTTGATATTTATGGGACGGGTTATAAGCGCAAGATTCAGGACGGTCCGCCCATAGGAATCCTGCGCATTTATATCCGCACCTTCGACAATCAAGGCGTTTACTGATCTCCAGATGGTCCTTGCATCGCAATCGAGGTTGTGGGTAACTGTACAATGGATCGCCCTTTTTCCACGCTTGTCTTTTGTATTTATGCTGGCGCCACGATCGACAAGATACCCAATCATGTTAGAATCATGCTTTAGGGCTGCGATGTGCATGACTGTCCATCCATGTTTATCCTTCGCTTTCAAGTCCGCTCCTTTGTCGATCATGGTATACAGGGAATCACTTTCTCCGTATAGTGCTGCGGTATGAATTGGCGTCGAGTCATATTTATCTTTGAGATCCGTATTGGCCCCCTTCTTGATAAGAAGTGCAATTGCGCGGGAGAGTCTTCCGCGCTGTCTCAAAGATGCTATGTGGTGCAAGGCTGTCATCCCGCTCACATCTTGCACGTTGATATCTGCTCCCTTAATGCCGACCAGGATAGCCATTAATTTGGGCTTATAGAGCCTTGCGGTATCATGCAGCGCCGTTCGTCCATCGTTGTTACAGAGATTTACATCGGCCCCACCCTCGGCAAGAAGCTTAAGCATTTTGGAACTCCCTCTGCTAACTGCAGTATGCAGAGCTGTATCTCCATCTCGATCCTTCGCGTTTAAATCTACCTTTTTGTCGATCAAAAACTTCACCAAGTCGTAGTGACCCAGTCTTACTGCCTTGTGCACCACCGCTTGCCCAGACCTGTCTCTGGCATTCAAATCAGCCTCATGATCGGCAAGAAGTCGAACAACAATTTCAGGACATTCTTTTGCGCCTGCTGCGATATGCAATGCCGTTGCGCCTTCAGGATCAGAATCAGAAGCGGCCATGTTGGCATGTTCCAAAATTAGGAATCGAATAGAATCAAGATTTCCGGCCTCGATTGAGCGATGGAATAAATGATCACCCGGACGCCCTTGATTGTTGAAAAGGGCCTTTAACGTTTGTAGGTCCCCGGTTCTGGCTACATGGCGCAAGGCTTCACCGGTGGCGTCACTAGATGCATCAATTCTCGCACCTTTCGATTTCAGATATCGGGCGAGTTCCGCGTTTCCCGAGAGAGCGCAAATATCTAACGGAGTCCTGCCGCCCTCATCAGTCGCGTGTATGTCGGCGCCCTGAGCAACAAGAATACGGCCTGCGGCATCTCCAAGATATGCGTTGGCAGCCCAATGAAGCGGCCGGAAACCTTTCGCGTCCGCTGCCTCTATGTTGGATGTCCGTCGAGTGGGGAGAGTGTTCATATTAGCATTACGAGCACTGCTGCTCGAGTTCTCGGGGGGGGCTCCTTCTACCACTTTGATATCCGTTACTTCCTCCGCCCCGACAAGAAACTCTATCAGTCGTGCGTGACCTTTTGCAGCAGCGAAGTGTAGTATCGTGAATCCGGACCTATCTTTATCCTCCATTGAGCTAACTTCGCCCAAGATGACTTTGAGAGCGTCAACGTGTCCGCCCAGAGCAGCGAGATGAGCGGGTGTCCTTCCGTCGTTGTTACGCTCCTTCACCCCCCCGGCCTGGACTAGAACATTGAGGACTCCAAGGTTTCCATAATACGCGGCCCAGTGCAGGGGAGTACTTCGAGACGAATCTCGTGCTTTGATATTTACCCCCGCCTCGATGAGACGTCTGGCTGCGGTGGGATTGTTGCCTATAGCTGCACAATGAAGAAGTGTCGTGCCATCCCTTGCACGTGTCTCTATATCTAGACCCTCGCTCATGAGCTCTCGGAATTGTGCTGCGCCGCCCAACAAGCAATTGTAATGTAACGGCGTCCACCCCGCCAGATCCTTAGCATTTCCATCCGCCCCAGCTCCCAGTAGGACCGAAACATACGTTTTGTCTCCAGGGTAGTGGTCACTTGCCATAGGGCTGGCGGCATAATGGACCGGCGAAAGGCCAAGAATATCCGGGGATCTAATTTGATCATCTACCGGGTTGCTATCTGAGGGGGGTTCGAAGAAGCACAGGTTATGAAGTTTTGTAAATCGGATGGAATCCTTAAATGATTGATCGCTCACGTCAACAGGTTGCCCGTGTTCCAGGCTCAGAGGTGCCCAATCCAGGGGAGCATTACGGCCACGACTATTTGTTTTTCTTTGCAACAAGAATAGTTTCAAGACGTTGAGGCTATACCCCAATTCATGACCTTTGAGTTCTTGACGGAGTTTGGTCACTGCGCGAGAAGCATCCCGGGTAGTGGACCCGTCTGTTACCATACGTATATCATGGTCCGCCGAGTTCTCTTCCTCTATCAAAGCTGATCTGAAAAATACCATCACGGTTGCGGTGGTCTTGCGAGCAAAGATGTTGGAGGAAGTGAAGGATTGGCCCGTCCGAAAGAGCCATATATGGATATCCGCAGACCTATCCCACTGGCCATGTAACTCGTACTGTTCCGATCGTTGCCTTGCAAATTCGATTACTGCACTTGCGTCCGGAAGTCTTTCACTAGCACTAAGTGGAGGAATAATACATAGGTAAACTTCGTGCAATGACCCTATTCCAGTTTTTTGAACATCTTGAACCAGTTTGACCAGTTTGGTGTTTTGTAGAGTAAATGACTGCCAAGATGAGCTACCAGCACTTAGGTTTGCAGTATCTGCATGACGTACAGATGATTTTCCTTGGATAGGAATTGTCAATCTCGTCGCGACTACCTTCATAAACTCTGAAAGAATCTTTTGTGCGCCGAGTAATGCCAGTGGTGCGCTAGACAAGACCGCCAATTGATATTTTAGACCGTCCTTGATATTTAGTTAGCAATTGAAAGAGCGGATATATACGTTGGGGCTGTGCTTGTCCAACCTCATTTTGGGGCTTCTCTCCAATATCGCTGATAACAAAGCCTGCTGGGCGCCGGGGGTCTTTTATACTTCCGCAGCCTAAGATTCTCTGAGCTTCAATTGTGATCCTCGTAGAATCCTGGTTTTCACCGGCGCCCCAGCGTATGAAACGCTCCTCACGTGCAAGGACGAGTGAGGCCACCACTGTGTCATCGGACCACCACTTCAAATCTCGACGCAAGGCAGCCTCATCCGGTCCCAGGAGCCATATACCCTTGTTCCCTGAACCTGCCACACTAGTACTACCATCGCTATCCCCCAGCCTAGAGCGAGTGATACCTCCTCTTAAATCCCCCCTTTCCGGGATTTGCATGGCATCGTACACCCATAAAGATAATACAGAATCAATCTCATCGATATCCGTTTCCCACTTCCCCTCTCCGTTCTGTGTAGCGTTGATGATGACCTGCTGATTACCGAAGGACTGGATAGATAGCGACCAAGTGGACATTGAGCCTTGGGGTGAGCCCTGAAGGGAGCGTGAGAGAGAGTTCAAAACAACATCGATGGCACATGCAAGGGCTTTAGCTTCCGCAAACACACTACTACGCCATCCTGTGAGGATGTGGAGTCGCATTCGTGCTTTTTTTATTTCATCAAAATTTTGGGGGTCGAGCGGGGCTGTCGTGTGCCACGGGGGATTCCAGAATCCTTCCGACCAAAAGTGGTCATCATCAACTTCTTGCTTCTTCCTCAGTGACGGGGGTTTAGATGATTCTGAATGACGATCTTTTGGCCAGTTGGCGTGTAGTGCTGAGCTTCTTGTTGCCAGCCAATCAATTTCGAAACCCTTTGGGAGGCTTTGTACAACTGGCCTTCGGGTCAGGCCTCGGCGGACATAGGCCCTCAAGGCAGTCATAGCTAACATTCCACCCAGCTGGGCAAGAGAGACCGACCAGTGTAATGCACGGAGACCGGTAAACTGGAGAATGAATCCACAGAGCGATATTATTGACCCCGTAGTCGCGATAAAACCAGTAAAAGGGTATATATCGTATGAATTCGACATCTTTGGCTGACTCTTTAATGTTGCCTTGTTTTTCTTCTCCAGCGTATCACCCCATCCATTTTTCCGCTCAGATGTTGTAATTGTTTCCCGTACCCCTTTTGAGAATATCGCGAAGGATTCGAAAGATTGGTCGGCTACTCTCTCACCCTTCTGCAACCATAGACCGCGAACCTCGATGGCTCCCTCGTCTTCCCGTTTCAGTACTTCGTACCTTCTCTCAGTAGTACTATCCTCTATCACATGCGCACATATGAGTAGGCCTATCGAGATGATTACCGTTCCCGAACACATCACAGGAAATGCATAGGTCTGAACAGTAGAGTCGCCTTTCTTATATCGTAACTTCGGATGGTAGGTAGCAAACCCGGCGTAAATAACGATGCAGGCCTGAATAACTATCGCGATGGCTGCCACAACTCGAATCTCGGTCCTACGAACATGGTTGTGAAGATTAAGGCTGATGTTGGGGGCAGGGGAGTTTTCTAGAGACGATCGAGGCTTTTGTGTCGGCCGAGGCCTTTGTACGGGATTCTCCGAATTATTGGCTTCTGTTCTTGGGGGATTAGCCAATTTAGATTAATAAAATCGTTTAATCTCACTTACGACCTGCTCGATGCCCAGCTCCGTGATGGCCTTCTGCCACAGGTGCGTTATCTTCCTGGATATCGAACCGACCAATCTCGATGAGATGTTTCTCGTCAAGAGCTTTCTCTATTGAAGAAAGCAAACCATATTTGCCTCCTTGCGATAAAAATAGAATATCTTTTACCGGTGGCATGCCCATTGTTCTCACGATTTGTTGGCCATTCCAGAGCTCCCCAACCTCGTGCGAAGTAGAGGACATCAGCTCTACCTCAGCGGCAGCTATGTTCTCCCGAGCCCGTCCGATAATTGCTTTCAGCCATCCAGGGCCTCCAACTCGTATGGCGCCAGTTATGGCTGTAATTACTCCCAGTGGGACCATGGCAAAAATGAAATGATCAGCCCAGCCCATCGACTGGCTCATGAATTGTTTGGTGACCTGTTCGCCGAAGAGCGAGAGCAAAGGAGCTAAATCTGAGATCAAATTATTTGAAAACTCATCACCATCGGAAGAAGCAGCAATGACTGGTCTTAGGAGAATGATAACCGTGATCAGCACTATCGGGCACTTTTTTGTATCCATCATTGTTGAAGCAGCAGCAGTGACTTCAATCAGCAGGCTATGCTACCGGCGGTGGTAAAGCTGTGCAGTGGGATGAGATTCGAATCTAGGTGTTATAACCAAAAGTGAGAATTGCGCGCTGAAGCTAAAAGGACTCGAGTACTCGGGATTGCAGTTGATGAGCTTCGCAATATCACTAAATTCAAGGTGTGTGCCTGACGTGGATCTGAATTCAGTTGAGCCTTCTGAAACGGACCTAAGAAATATATTGTCGTGGGAAGAAGAGTAAAGGGTGAGCTTACACTTGGAAATATATAGTTGAAGCACGCGCACTAGTAGGGTAGGGGGATTGTTGGAATCTTTAATACTCCACGCGCGCGTACTAAACTCGATACCCATAGCTACATCTACATATTCTAATCATACTTTACAGCACAGATAAAGCTTGGCCAATTGGACGTATTCTAATAGTGCCACACAAAATTACATCATGTAGTGTGTGCAGACTTTCCGCCCGAGCTTCATGAAGTAATCAATCAATCAATCAATCAATCAACTTCTCCAGCCCGGGAGAGCGGGGTCCAGGCAGCTAGGCTCACATAGTTGCTACATCCGGCCTTGGTTGGGTGGTTGCGTGTTGGTGTACATGCTCTATCTATGTGCATGTATCAGAAATTTCTTGATCTCACAATAATGCATCTACCTAAGTTGAAATGGAAATTGGGTGTATACTAGGGGCAAGGAGAAGACACCTCGGTGGCAAGGCTGCGCGATGTGTTTCCTGGCCACCCCCGAACCGAAAATAAGCTCCTCTCGAATCTAAAGGTGCACAATTCAGTCATAGATCGACAATACATGTATGGTGCGCACACTCTTAAAGGTGATGGGGTGGCATACGGAAGATACAGAAGTGGAACAATTGTGGCTGCAATATGGCCTCATGGGCCAATAAGAGGGCCCATTTCTAGCCTTCTGCTGCATCACTGCCATGGCCTGATCAGGTTTGCTTCTTTAAGGGTATAAATGGGTATAATACTGTTCCACTTTGTTTAGTCTTGGCGCTTTTTACATACTAAAATACCGAATTTCAAGCTTGAATAACTTTTTAACCAGGAGAGATATCAAAAATCTGGTTGGTAAAGTTCTTCTTCATCACTAGTACTTCAATTTTACCAACCGGATTTTTCATAATTTGTTTCGTTGGAAAGTTATTCAACCTCGACCTCGCCCCAATTTTTTGACTACCTTTATGATTGGGCGCACCATACCTACAGCAAAATCAGGTCGTACAAAGGGAATGAAACCGCAGGGCGAATATCTCTTGCCGATTGGTCGATCATAACCATAATACCCGCTCCTCCCAGTTCCAAAAGAAAAAAACGATTAGCACGGCCGGGGTTGAACCACAACCTCTCAGGACTAAGAACTACAGGCTAAGCCTACATGTATGTATGGTGCGCCAGCCCTTAAAGGTAACCGAAAAATGAGGGAAAGTCGATGGCCTAAGGCTTTTCAACAAAAAAAGTTAAAAAAAATCGGGTCATATAGATTGTAGTATTAGTTATAAACTTTAACTTGTATGACCAGATTTTCGATATCTGTTCTAGTTGTGAAGCCTTAGGAGTTTGAAATTCCGCATTTTTGTATGTAAAATGCGCCAAGCCAGTGCCGAGTGGAACAGTATTATACCCATTTATACCCCCAGTAAAGCAAACTTGATCGAGTTGTGGCAGTGGTGCAGCAAAATGGCTAGAAATGAGCCCTCTGGTTGGCCCATGAGTCCATATTGCAGCCACAATTGTTCCACATCCATATGCCGCCGTGTCACCTTTAAGAGTATGTGCACCATACATGTATGTACACGTGCTAGAGTTAGTAGGTTCTACCACCGTTCTAGAGTGGGTCAACAATTAGAGTGCCTACAACACTAGGTAGGGTATCGGGAGTTTTTCTACACATACTCAACAGGCCCGAAGTACCCGAAAGTGAAGCTGCAAGGTTTTGGTGGATTTTTGGCTTCTGTTCCAATGGTAATTGCAGATTAGGGCTTGCATTTTCGGGTACTTGTTACCTGGCGCTGCGAGTACAAATATTCCTTGGCTGCAGATTAAGCGGCCAGTGCTTACATGGTAGGGGACTCTGTCACCAGTAGAGTAGAGATCTCGACGGAGTACATGTAGTTACATGTGCCAGTGACGAGCTTACTGGGTACTAACACCACCTGTGGAGGCACCTTGGAGCAGATCAATTCAATATACTCGGGCACAGGAATAAGAACCAGAACATCCAAGTGAGGGATTATTTGTGTGGAGTGGTGCCGCTCTGCCATACAAATAACCCTATTGCATGTTCTGGTTCTTACCCCATACGCGAGTCATGGTGTATGTTTACGTGGTGGGCCTATTTGGGGCTAGAGAACCTTGTGATACTGCAGTCTGCAGGTGGTTTCGGTATTGCGTGTACAAAACACACGCCTATTATAATAGGCATACCCACCTCGCCACCGCGAGTCCTTGATGTTGAAAGCTTCCCTCTGATCCCTTTCAGGGACCGCCCTCCACCCCCTTATTCCGTTTGCAAGTTTGCAATCCACCTTCTTCCTCCACCAGTTGACAGTAGTAGTAGTAGTAGTAGTACCAGTGTTGGTGATTTGGTAGGGTGGGTCGGTTGCTATGGAGGGTTAGGGTTTGCGGCTCTCAGGCGCTTATTATTACCGAAATCCACTATCTCCGCTTCGCTCAGTGTTAAATCTTAATTCCAGGTAAGAAAACGTTAAGCGGGAAGGGTATTCGCAAGGTTATCCCATTATACAATAAATGTGCCATATGGTTAAGAGAGTTTGATACCGAGTGGATCTCATGGTTTGGGTTATACTTGTGGGGTATAGCCTTCGCCTTTACAATTTAGGCAAGTCCGGATTCTATGAGGAATTTAAAGGTCATAGAAATTCATTACAGCTTACTCCTAGAAATCCATCTGGATTATCCATATAAATAAGAAAAATCTTCCTCTCAGTGTAGTCCTGCATTATGTGTCAGCGGCCCCGCTCTGAGTAAGCACAGTCCGCTGATATTGACATGATCGAGTGGGAAAATTCATTGGTGTTTAGTTGAATCGTGGTTGATCGTGCCGTGTTAAATCATATAAAGAGCTAGGCCCTCGTCGATACTGTTGTAGATAATGCTCTCAAAGTAGTTAACGGTTCAGTGCTCACGAGCAAATAAAACTGCGTATTCTCGATATGGCTGTTGGAATATCCTGCAGATCCAACGGGCTAACGCGACGTGGTAGGTTTATATAATATTCCCAGCTCCGCCCTTCAATACCGGGAGAGCTAGAGACGGATTGTGTACTCTCTACACTACTACATGTATTTCAACCCACGCACGACCCGAGAAACGAAATATGTAACCCGTCTCCATGAATGAGTACTTGTCCTGTTCGACGACGTCTAAACAGCACGGTGCGGGCATTTTTTCCAAGACAGTAACGTCCTGCACGTCCGTAGGTCAACAATATAACCGGCATACAAATGCTCCCCCGCTGCATGGCCTTTGTTGTTTGTCTAAAACCGCCAATCTACTGCGCTACTGGCCGCGGAGACATGAAGTGAAATCAGACGCTATCACTCGCATACTAGCGCGAGTGATATACTATGAGTTACCTAACGAGTGATACCTTGTGACGCCATAATCCACTACCGGTGCTGAGCCGGAAGGGTTCTATTGTTGTTGACCTTTCGACGAGCCGTGAAAGGAAGCCAAGAGAGCAAGTCGTGTTACGAAGGCTAAATCCCCGGTGCCGCTGTCGTTCGGCATCTCACCTGCGGTGGCTGAGCTGTTGATCTTAAGCTTATTTTGGGTGTGCGGGTGTGCCCAGGAGAAGCTAGGGATTAAGGCTGACCAATGCAGTCGACGTCAATCAAATTGCAAAGCGAGAGACTGACCGGCTGGCGAGATGCAACAGGACTGGTTGGACTTTTTGCAACTGTATGTATGGTGCGCACACTCTTAAAGGTGACACGGCGGTATCTTAAAGTGGAACAATCGTGGCTGCAAGGTGAACTCCAAAGCCAATGAGAGGGCTTATTCCTAGCCACTTTGGTGCATTCCTGCCGTAATTCACCTTTGAGGGGGTATAAATGGGTATAGTACTATTCCACGTTGCTCAGTCTTGGCGCTTTTTACATACAAAAATGCCGGATTTCAAGCTCTAATAACTTCACAACTAGAATAGATATAAAAAATTTGTACAATATAACTAAACTTCATAACTAGTACTACATTTCCATTGTACAGATTTCTTTTAACTTTTTCCGTCAAAAGGTTATTAGCCATCGACTTTCCGTCATTTTCGATTAGCTTTATATTTAAGACTGGGCGCACCATACATGTAGACAGTGTATATGTAGCATTGTGTTTACAATATTGTACGGATGGAACAATACATGACAGAACAGTAAAAGCTTCAACTTGAAGTGTGAAAATCGCGAGATCTCGAGAGTTGATTGGAGTTAAAGGGCCCGAATGCGCGACAGACATTAAAACACCTCCGGGATTCTGGTGCGCTACTAATTAAGATCTAGCCAAGTTTACTTGATACGCCGATAGGACAAAGCCATAAAAATGCTTTCTCTAAGCGAAGCGTTTATAAAACGAACTGGTAAGATATTCCCCATAGGATCCAAAGGATGGTTGATTAAGTACTTATGTAGTACGTAGTGTTCTCGGGGACTTGCAGCTATATAAAAGCGACATATAGATCAGCCTGACCTCGTACAACCCTTAGTCAGTCCCGCGTTCCACTCATTGCTAGTTCGTATCGGATCAAGAATTAATTTGGTGATCATATAGGCACAGGCGCAGGCGCACAAGCTGAATAATAAATGTAGAATACTGTAGCTAGCGATATAAAAGGAAATTCTCTAAAGCAGAACTCTTTACAAAGACTCTCTTTACAAAATGCGCATTCATAGATTGTCCGTTGCACTACCTCTCTTGGGTGGGTTATTTTCCACCGCTCAAAAAGTTCTGAGTCCCGATCACTCTCATGATGTAGCCTTAAGTAACGGCAAAATACACAGGGGTATGGAGGTTTGGGTTTGCTTGAACGGGTAAGAGTATGATCTCCAGGTGAAAGCCTAAATAAAGGAAAACAATAATTCTTGGTAACATAACCATGACTCCGGCTTTGATGTGTATTTCCGGTAGGTGCAACTCCTGGACAATTTCTTCCAGTTGGATTAGGAGCTCTCTGCTGGCATAATGATTCGGACCAAACTCTGTTCAGTTCCTGTGCCCCTTCAAGTACCATATTCCATGCTACCCTAACACGAAAGGCCCGGTGGTCGCGTATAATTTCAAATTTTGCTCGAGGAAATACTTCTTGGGCAATGAGGTGGGAATTAATCAAAGTAACATCCAGTAACCAAAAGAACAAAGCAAGCCAATAACGTGCAATTCGGAACTGTATGGCGTAATAGCTCCGCCTCTGATCTGCGATATCAACTCCTCCCATATGGTAATTATATCGAACAGACGCAATTGGGAGAGGCTGTAATCGGTGTATCGGTACTTGACCATCCGGTCCTATAGGCCAGCCTTCTTCAACCAAATCTCTATTTGTATCGGTAACTCGAGGTCTACAGCGTTCGCGCATTTCGATATTACGTGCATCATTTGGTGTAGCTCCGAACGCTGTAGTTAAAAATCTAACTAATGTACGGTCCTGCCATATAATTGCAAGAATGGAATTTTTAACAATACCAGATATTGTATTCCACGGCAGCTTGAAGTTCTTCTTGTTGATTTTCAACTCTCGTGGATATTCAACTGAAGTTGGCCTTGCTGTACCACAAGCTGAAATACCATAAAGACGTAGGATTTGAAATAACGGGATGTTTGAAAAATAATTATCACAATACAGAACGAAACGCTTTGTTCGATAGGGGAGGGTAAGGCACAGCTGTACTACAGCTCTTGATGTAGGTCGTAGAGTTATCTCTTCCTGGTTATTTGAATTATTTAAAGCCGGGAATTGATATGTTCTCGGCGCATTTAGTCCAGTGAAAGAGTCAACTCGAGACGTATAGAGAAAGGCGTAAGTATAACCCTTTTCACACAGTGCTATAATCTTGAACCCCTCTGGTATCGGTTTGGATTTTAAACGGATTTTGTGAACGGAGCGACCAGTAAATCTAACCATCATTTCATCGATTGATACCGGTGTAGTGGGTGTACAGTACTCTTGGAACTTGTGTTCCAATATAGTGCTAAGCGGTTCCATCTTTTGCGCCCATTGCTTTCTAGGAATCAGCGCCGGTAAAGATATATGGAAGTACCTCTTCAATTGTTCAAACCGGTTTTGACCAATAAAGCAGACAATACAAGGTATAGGGAATTCACCGTCTGTACGCCAATAGTCATGTATGCGGGCGCTTTTGAAAACCCCCATATAGATTATCAAACCGATAAAAATCTTCAATTCTGCTGTCTCAACGGTTTTCCATTGTCTCCCAGAACCGTTATGATGTCCAGCCCTTTTACTATTGGCATACGCATTTGTATTGTCTGCTAGTTGTTTGAAAGTCTCTTCGGTAAAGAATAACTTGAAAAAACGACCGGGTGTGTCCCAGCAAACACCTTGGACTCCTGGACCGTGCTCTACAATTTGGTTCCGGTCCAGTTGTGAACTTCTCCCTGTAAATAGCACTCCATTTGGAGAGACATCTGCATCCTCTTCTCTTAATAACACGCCATCACCACCTTCTCTTGCTATACCCGCTGTTCTAAATGCAATCGGCAAATGGATCTGTCGTTGATGTGCTGGAGCGAGATGTTCAAAGTGATTGAAAATAGGAGCCGGGGGAAGACCAATCTGAGCGGGGTCAAGAGTTCCGGGAGGGTTTAGTGGGACCTCAATATCCTCATATTCATCCTCCACCTCTTCGTAATTTTCCTCTAGGAACTCGTCTAGTTGATCTCCCCTTTCGCCTGCCGGTGCCTCCTCAAACCCCAACTCGCCCTCATCAGAGCTTTCAGTCAGCTCCTCCATGTTAAAGACCTGCTTATGCCTTTGAACGTCCTTTCCAAACATGGGCGCGTATCAAGGCCACCTCTTAAACTGTTATCGTCAGTAAGACAATTGTCTTCGCGTACTTTGGAAGGTTTCTTACCAACAAGCACGCTTAGCTCTGGCCAAGCTAATAGGTGCGCTCACCACCTTGAACGGACCAAATAACTACCTCCTTGAACGAACCACCTGGGTGCGCTCACTACTTTAAATGGACCGGATAGGTAGGCTGGGCACCTTGAACGGACCAAGTAGCTACTTGCTTGAACGAACCACTTGGGTGCGCTCACTACTTGCAGCGGGCTTGCAGCGGGCCTGCAGATATGACTAAAGACAGAATTAGTATATTGTTTAATCAATTTAGATTCATGAGTTACCTATACGATATCCGGTTGATGATCGATGACTTTGGGAGTGAGTACGGGTGATGAAGCATGATGAGAGAGAGGACCGGACAGGACAGGACAGGAAGCGAGGTAGGACATGATGTAATCAGCCACCCTAGCGCCACCTGGGACCGACCCGCCACACTGTCTGAAAACGAAGGAAGGGATACCCAGTCTAGTATTTTGTGGTTGCTCTGCCAAGACCTTCTGCGAAAGTTGGCGCAACTTGGCAGAAATGTGGTAGGGCCTAGGGTTCGCCTTCAGGAAATACTAGCAGGTGTGGTCACAAACCGTCGCCCGCACGCACCCACAGTCCCTACCCTATTTTCCTACTACCTATGCCCGGCTATATAAGGGTTCTATTTCATGCAGTAATAATCAAGCAAGTTGTACGCGAAAACCACAGAAACTTTCGCAGAAAATCACGTGACTGCCAAGAAGTTGAGGGATAGGGTCGAGCTCAAGATCAGCCATGTCTAGAAATCCAGGTAATTCGGGAGGATCTCCAAATATATATGTCAATAGAATAACATCATATCCTACTATAGTCGAGACTCCATATAAGGGGAGATGATATTGGTTCTGATCGGCCATTGTAGGTGCATATATGCTCTTCCTATCATATCAGGGAAGGGTCCCAGAACGGGACCTAACTCACGATATATCGTTCTCGATCTCGATATGTCCCTATAGAAATATTCGACTGCATTTGATTATTGATCTAGGAACATGACTCGCAGGAACAGCGGTCGTTACGACTACCTTAGCACCGTTGTATGTACAAGTAGGTTAAAAAGGTGAAATAAACGCATTTGTTTGCCGCAAATTTGCAAACTGAAAGCAGTAATAGAACTACGGATATCAACCAAAGCAGATAAACTCGAAACTCATTAAAGGCCCAAGACCAAGTCGGGATTGAACTCAAATGCAACCCAGATATCGATGTTTGTTCCCCTCTTTTCCTGCCTGCCACTTATGGTACGGATACCAAATTCCATAGGTGCCGCACCCGGACACACGTGTCTTAGCTGGCCTTCCATTTTTGTTTCATATCCCAAAACGCTCCGTGATGCTCTAACGATTTGAGGGGAACTTTCTCATCCTGGTCCTCCGGAAGACTCTCTGAGGCTTCCGAAATCTTAATTTTAGGCTTCGCATACCATATACCGCCTTTCGCTGTACCTGTGCAGAGAGAAGGATGGACCTCAAGGAAGTCCTCTACTGCGTGCGCGTGGTTGTGGGTCCCGGCACTAACCGTCGGGGCTGTATGTATGTAACCACCAGAAGGGGCGTTCTCTGACAGGCCTGAATGACATGTGTGCGGACACCCTCCCTAGCAGTGTAGAACTCCTTACCTGCAGTCCAAACCTATAATCTTTTGATCACTACCGACCACTGCGTTAAGTTGATGGATATACCCTACAATACCCGGATTACGGTCGCCTGGATAAGCCCAGAATATTTCAACCCAATATCCATCTATCCGCCCGGCTTGTATGACTGTCTCGATAAACTTAGGAGTTGGAAAAGGCGCCGGTTGTGCCATTTTGAGTGAATAGAACCTTTAGACCTGCTAATAAAGAAGATCTATATATGGGGGGGGATATCAAAGTTTTATCTTTAAATTGGAGAAGACAATCTGTGAGTGCAAGATATTTTATGGAAGTTTTACGTACCCAAATCCTAGCTAGAAAGAGGGAAGAAAGCTAGGAGACGAGGAGAAATTAGACGGGAGAATCTAGTTACTTATACCTATGCAAATGCTCTCCTGAATCCAGGCTATCATTTATTCCATCGCCGGTGATGGATATAGGGTTCAATTGTGGCCATGGCGGTACGCGGTGGCTTCGCTGCAGGCCGAGGGGGCGAATCCTGGATCCAGGCTCACTGGGTGATGACTGGCATTGTACTATGGGTGTAGGGGCAAGTGAGAAGACACCACGCTGCCAAGGTTGCGTGAAGGGTGTCTTCTCATTTATCCCCACCGCCGAAACACAGTCAAAGCTAATGAGAGTGAATGACTGTATGTGTCGTTCTTGTGGCCATGGCCATATTGCGCTGTGGGGATGTCTCGGCTATACCTTGCACGTCAAGCATACTTGCAGGAGGATCCATCGACAATGGAAAACACGAGCCCACCAATCAAACAGGTCCAAACGAATACATATACAGAATTGCATGCAGTCTACAAGATAGAGTCCTGAGTCATTCGGAGGATTGCCAATTTTTACCTTGGAAACCCGTACCCTCCGAATAACACGAGAGTTGCCGCTCCGGCTCCCGGGGGAGTAGACTATTGATAATATACTATCGATATACCATAGTGCCTATATTTTCCTCCAGCCACCATAGTCACCGAAGGTTTCGCAGCAGGTTCATTGATATTGTGTCACATTATAAATATGAACGGTGCTTAAGGAGTAAAGTCTTTCCCTGCGCATGTGTTGCGAACACACAGACGTATACCGAGCACAGAGGAACTCCACCATACAAAATCTGGCACTAAAGTTGCAGCCAAGGGATATTTGTAGATGAATGATCGCCTTGATGTCCATGCCGCTAAATGAGATACCTATGTCACAGAACTTAGCTAATGTAGCCCTAGGCTGGTCTAAGTACGTTGATTACTCTACAATACAGTACTCTGCGTGTAAAGTCTTCACCTGTTTGGACTACCTCCCATATAAAATCAATCCTTGAGTTAGCAGCGGGTTTTACGAGTACACTAGTGGCAGTGTGATGAGTACCGTACGCGTATATGAAATCTGAGAAGTTTCGTTGCGCTGCAGCAGGGATATTCCACACCAAAACTTGCATATTGACGTACAAAGACTGCCTCTGGTTGGCCTATACCCCTGCTGTCTCGCAACGAGGTTTCTCGGAGTTTGAGGTACCAGGCAACTTGCTTTTTCGGAGCCGTAGGATCGACGTTCTGAGTCTGCACATGTGAAGCATAGATCGATGGAAATGGAATACCGATCGCTCAGTCAAAGAACTGGCCCTCCCCCATTAGAGGTCAGTGCTCCAGGCCGTAGCCAAAAAGGAAAATTCCTCAGGAGGATGTATGGAGCTTGAACTACTTGAATTTCTTCATTGACGTATGTATTCTCTCTACGGGACACAAGCTAGTGCTGGCAACCTTAACAGAAATATTAATTGATGGCTCTAAGTAATTCAGTCTGCATATGCCTACGGCTGGTCATATCAACTTATATGTGAGCTTGATATGTACTGATCTAGACCGCAGTTCTTCTGTACCTGCCTACTTGGGTGAGCCGGATATATAAATTTTAAACATATGATGGGGGACACGACAACGGGGTCGGTAAAAACAGAAGAACGCCAAATTTATCTCCTCACCACCAAATGAAGGTCTTTACATCCAGCCACCTTACTTCTGTAGAGAATCATCAGGAGAATAAAAGTATGGTGCGTAAATAAAATGGGGTTGTATTGTTGTTGAGAAGAAAGGATTTGAATTTTGTTAGGCGGGACAAAGTTTGTTACCCATACAAATTTGTTGAGGCTGAATTGAAATCCTCACCAGTCATCACTCGATCTGCTCATATTAGGTATAACATCTTTCCTAAATTATAAAACGAGTGACGTTATATTGTCCCCGTAGCCATTGTTGTTGCATGATCGCCGGCCTTGGCGTCGTGAATCGCGGGGTAATTCAACTTAGCTTGACGTCCAGATGCACGGGCCAGTGCGGACCTTTCCGAGACTTCATCAAATATCGCTCGCTGAAACCTCGACAGATTGTTTTGCGAAACGTGGTAGGAATAAATTCCATTGACAGGTAAAAATATTCTGAGATTTGAGAAGCTACAGGAGCTCGATCTCTGGCTTCTTATAATAAGTACTTGACTAATTTTCGAAGGGTCGGAGCTGAGGTATTGATCAGACCCAATTGGAGTGGGATCTATCGAACCTGAATTAGGTTATGATTATCTCAGGCTAACTTTAACGTCATTTACGGCGAAACCAACCATGAAAAGGAAACCAATCACGCAATCTGAATCATTATATACAGATTTATAGCCTTTCTTCTCCTGTTCCAGCGGGTGCCTGCCACTTTGAAGGCAAGTAATCATCACTATTACTTTTATAATCATCAGCTAACGGCTCCCAGCCCAACTCTCCATCCTCTTCAATATCAGACTCGCCCCTAACAACTCTGAGCCCTCCAGCGCCGAGCCCAACTCCAAGAACAGTAATAGCATTAGATATATGTACAGTTTTTCTACCTGCTCGACCCCTTTTAGGTTTTGGAGTTACTGGAGTGGGTGTCCCTACTGGCAGTATTACTCTTTTGGCCACTTTTTTTCCCTCTCGCACAATTCTCTTTGCCTCTTTTTCCGCATCAGCTGCCTCTCTTGCATATCTTAATCTAATGACTTCCTCAGTAGTAATAACCCGTGCTTTAGTCAACCTCTTTCTGTCATTACTCGTTGAGGACCTTTTAGATACTGCCTCCCGGAATTTTTGGTGAATGTGCTCTCCAATTTCTTTGTCCGCTATTGATTGTTGTAAACCTTTATCCATCTGCCCTATCAGCTGTTTGACTAACTGAACCTCCTCGAAAGTCATCTGAGGCTTAAGAATGTTTAGAGCCTATTTTGTTGTACTTCTGGACGCCCTAGAGTTCCTAGGAGTCGCTGGAATTACCAAAGAAGAGCGGCGGGTTTTTTTTGTTTCACTCTTCACACCCGTTGGGTTGAGGACACGCCTGGGATTCTAAGGTACTATTCCCGCCTGTCTCCAAGCGCTGGCTATATTCTGAGGAGTATATGCTCGACGGCGTGCCGGAAATAGAACCCTAAACAACTTATTAGATACTTGAATATACTAATGGATATCAACATACTTTAAAAATACTCCTTTATTAACACCTCCGCATTCATCAGATAGCTTATCAAGTGCGTCGCTATAATAATGTTGTAAGGGACTAAATAATCCTATGTCCAGTGGTTGTAGGATATGCGTCGAGTGAGGGGGCATGGAATGATTTTGTTCTTGAGGCAGTAATCTAAAAACTCCCAGGTAATATGTGAAACGTGCCCGTCGATAATAAGGAGTCTCCATCTGCCCGCGGCGCTACAAAATATTTAGTTCAGGTAGAGGTAGAAGTAATTCAAAGCTCGTGAACCTAGCCTTAGATTATTAATATATGTTCGCTTACCTGTCAACTGTATACGGTTGAAAGTTTTGACCAACCATTCCACTCCCAGCTCCTGATCGCTACAGCCCTTTGGTGAGTAGCTAAAAGTGGCAATGTCATCCGCCCCTAGCTGTGAATACCAGCCCTTATAATGACCGGCACCTTTGTTAATTATCATCGGAGGCAGTGGAACTCCGGCAGCGGAAACGGCCTCAATAACTGTAACCCAGGTCCACGAACTATTGTGGGTAAGCCTTGATATTCTTCTTCCCCGTCTACAAATCACCTTGCACCGGTTTGCAGCTCCCATCATAAAGCCTTTCTCATCCATATTATACTCATCGTCGTGTATAATTTTGTATTGACGGATCACATGTAGGAGCTGTAATTAGATTAGTTTCCGGCATGTATTTGGTGATTGGACAACGGTATCAGACCTTCTTGAAATAATCTTTTATAATAGCCGGATTATCTGCATATGCCCTTTGTCTTTCCAATCGGACTGCTAGCTTTGTGGCCACCTCAGTGTTTCGTTCTAGAAACCTTTGCATCCAATGCACACCTAGCTTTCTACCACTAGCACGACGCGAGACTAAATGAGCCGCAATTTCTTTAACCACCGCAAGTCTCGGAGGGAACCCCCAGTTGTCCATCTTCAAAATCCATCGTACAATTGACTTCTCCTCTTGTTCAGCAAGAAGCTTCTGGTGACGGTGACTCTCTCTATGATTTTGAGCTCCTGCTAACCGATCTCGTAAGGTACTATAAGGAATCCCATGGGTTTCAGCTGATAGACGGATTGAGAAGTCTGTTTTGCATTTTCTATAGTGTTTAATAGCAAGCTGTATATTCTCCTCTCTCTCCTCCTTCTGTTTTCCCTTCAGGCGTGTCATTTGGTGCTGAATCGATTGATTTACAAAATTTTCACAGGGGGGCACAGAAGTACAAAATCTAACAAAAAGCAAACACTCGAGTGGTTGGTATCACCATCACGGTTGGTTACACCGTAAATGACGTTAGCGCTCAATACAAGTATTTTAATTACTGACATACTCATCTCCCATTCACCACTTTCAATGCCTGATTATCAAGCACATCTCGATGAAGTAGTTGTTTGAGAACATTATTACAGCGGGATGCACGATGAGGTGCGATAGAACACGTTCTAGGTATATATGCACCTCTCAAGTGGTTTGCCTAGCAGTAAAACGCACTTCTTCAGCTGAGCCCACGTGGGAGAAGCATATAGGTATTATGTCTCGGTTGCACATGTACAAGCACAATTAATAGCTCGACATATAAGCACTTCAAGATCTACAATGCAGGTATCGCTTAACGTAACTACCTCACATTATCTGTATTCCTTGGCATATAGCCCCTGGAGGATGAAGAAAACTGTTGCTAAGGCTATTTCTACCATATATATTCGACATTGTCAGTTCAAACTTATTGTCATGTTGCCGCCTAATTGAGTTGCCTCGAATGCTTTCTAGAGGAGGGTTGAAATTAGAATTGCTGCTACCACTATTCCGATTCATGAGTTAGGAATAATGGCAGAGTACGATTTTGCGGATCGCCAGTAATTATAAGTGGACTCCTCGTAGTTAGTGGTGTTTCGGAGATCATGGCGATACGTAACTGAGGAGATCCTACTTTTATACTGATTTCTTCGATCCATGCGGAGAATAGAATAAGGTGTTTACATCATGATATCTGCGGCCTCATGCAATTATCTGCGCTAACTTCACTGGAAAAGATGGAAAAGGAAAACCGAAATTGAAGCTCCAGGAATCACGAACTTGTAAGTGGGTAGATTAACTATCCGCTATCCTTAAATAGGTGACATTCGCAGATAGGTGTGCTGTGTTCTGCGTGTGATACGCAAGTTTAATGCATATTGCGATGGATTTAGGACAAACAAGCGAGCAGCATCATTCCCCCCGAGTCATTCTTTGGTTGATCACATTATCAATGATGATTCAAACGGGTTATCGTCAGAAATACCTACCTCAAAGAATTCATCCAATAGCTGGATTCGTCTTCCTCGGGGATATAAAAGAAGGTTGTGAAGACTATCTCCGCTCTATCGGCCTCAACACTAATCCCCATCACTGACATTCCCTGGTTTCCGAATCATATCTCGCTTTACACTCACCCTTACTCTTCACCATGACGGACAAAATCCCCAAAGCAAATCTTTTCGAGCTTATTCTTCGCCTCGAGAAGGAATCCGGTAAAGCTCTCCAGGTCGATTGCACCGTCCAACAGGGAACCTTCCTCTTCGAGTCAAGGACCGACAACAGACGTACCACATGTGAGAAAGTGACCACTGGCAGTACGTTTACCGTCAATGCTGGCTCCTATGGTGTCATTCGTGCGTATCCATCTCCAGAGAATCAGACTACAGCACCGAAAGGGAGCGTCAAGGTGAAAACCAGCGCAGGGCAAGAGGCGACCTACCCATTTCCGTGGGAGCAGCCTCCCGCGTCGAAGCTTGGCAATATCGACGAGTGCAAGACACAGGAGGTACTCTATCCAGATGTTATGATTGTGGGCTCCGGCCCCTTGGGGGCGACGTATGCGAGGAAGATTATTACAGATAAGCCGGCCGCAAAGGTTATGATGGTTGAAATGGGGGCACAGTATGTCTCACTTGTAAAGCTCGGCTCAGATGGTTCATGATACTTACTTAGGATGTGCCTCTTTAGGGAGAGTGTGGTTGTGGGTGAACACAAGAAGAATTCGGTGGCATATCAGAGAGATATTGACAGTTTTGTGCAGTACGTAGTAGTCATATGAGAGATTAACCTGTGAACTGGGTAGATACTAATTAAGATACTCCCGATACAGCGTTATCAAGGTATTCGAAGAATCTTAAATCTTTTATGGCCCTGCCTAGTCGACTCGACCTCTATTCCTAACTTCAACAGGGCGCTCTTAGTACACTATCAGTTCCAATGAAAGGGGACTCGAAGTCGCACCCATGGCCCTGGGCGGGGTATGTATGACTCTGATCCCTAGCTCTACTCACCTCTATAGACTCCTTTTACCTTCCTATGGCCAGATTGAAAAATAGTTAGGCTGATATGTATGTGTTTGTATACGTGTACAGCGGGAATCATAACAGCGCCTGGGTTCAGAGGGGCCAGAACCCAGACCAAAATCAGTACACAAACCTTGGGGCCTCTGCAGCAACTCGAGTTGTCGGTGGGATGGCAACGCACTGGACCTGTGCTACTCCACGACAGCTCAAAGGCCTCGAACGGAGCGAGTTATTCACTGACAAAGAATGGGAAGATCTTTATAAAGAGTGTGAAGGATATCTTGGAACCAGTAGGAATGAGTTCGAGGGATCAATTCGTCATCAACTTGTGAAGAATACTCTCAAAAAATCTTTCACAGAAATGTTCCCTGGTACTGGCCGTGAAATTCTGTCTCTTCCCTTGGCTGCTAAGCGTGACCCTCAGAACCCGAGCTTTGTTATTTGGGCGGCTTCGAACACGATCCTGGGGAATACGGTCGAAAAGCTCCACCTATATCCGAACCATCAATGTACAAAGCTTCTCACACACGGGAATGAAGTCCAACTTGCCACGATAAAGAACCTCTCTCTCACACATGGACGCCTCTATGTCTGCGCGAAGAAAAACGTCGTCTGTGGCGGTGCTGTACTCACACCTCAGATACTCTACAACTCTGGTTTCCGCTGTGAGGGCACAAGTGGGCCAGTACTCCCTAAGCTGGTACATCCGACCTTCTATATATATATATCTGAATTACTACCAGGTTTATAACTTTGGTCGATATATCCTGAGCTGATGATGGTGATGTACGGTTATTCTAGGGAAAATATATGACGGAGCAGCCCATGGCGTTCTGCCAGGTCATTCTCCATGAGGAGCTAGTGAAACCGCTTGATCCAGAGCATCCAACCTTCCCCGAATGGGTTACGCCGGAGCTTAAGGCGAAGATAGTGGAGCACCGAAAGAAGCACCCCGAGGATCCATTACCATTCCCGCTTGATGATGCAGAGCCACAGGTGTGTATATATAGATAGAATTCCATTTAACCCGGAGTGCCTTGTTATCTTCAACTTGTTTTGCTCGATGAACAGCGCTGATGCATAAATCACAAAAACAGATCACAACCCCCGTGCACCCCGACTGGCCCTGGCACACACAGGTATGTAGGGGCCATGGATAAAGAGTACAGTAGCCTCGGAGCACTACTAACACCTCTCCTAAAATATCAAGATCCATCGGGACGCCTTTTCGTACGGTGATGTGGCACCAAACATGGACTCGAGACTCGTGGTCGATCTTCGATGGTTCGGCATGGTTGAACCTGAAGAAGATAACAAAGTTACGTTCAGCGACAAATATTGTGACCAGTTTAACATGCCACAGGTAAGGATAAATGTCTTTTAAGGTTTCGGGCTTTATGTGCAGTTCTGATATTTTATTACAGCCTACGTTCAATTACGTGCTTCAGGAGGCGGCGAGAGAAAGGTGTCATCGAATGATGGAAGAGTATGCTATAGCCTATTCTTTCCACCTATATATGTGCATACGAACCTATAGAGCTGGTTTCTGACACCTGGCAGCATGATTCGTGTCTCTCTTAAACTAGGCCGTTATATTCCCGGCTCTGAGCCACAGTTTATGGAGCCCGGGCTCGCACTTCATGTTTGCGTATGTTGAGTTTTCGCTTTATACCTTTTGTCATAAAAACCTCAGATCGGAACGACTAACTGATATCAAAGGGAACAACGCGGGCTGGTACAAGCCGTGACGATTCGTGTGTTGACAAGGATTCGAAGGTCTGGGGAGTCAATAACCTGTGGTTGGGCGGGAATGGAGTTGTCCCCGGGATGAACGCCAGCAACCCCACGTTGACGAGCATGTGTTTTGCGGTCAGAGGGGCCAATAAGCTCATCAGTGAGCTCTGAGTCTTTTATTTTCAAATCTCTGGCATGCGTTGGAGCAAATCGAGGTTTCTTTGTAGCCTTGTGTTTTTGCTTTTTGGGTCTGCATCGTGTGGTGGTGGTGATATTTGCAGAGAGCAAGTTGAAAAGTTCATATGTATTTGCTGTTATTCGAATTTATCTGATGCTATTCAAATGTACTGCTGTTATTCGAATTCTCAGGTTCAATTGCGAGCTCCATTGGCTTTCCGGACAATTGCTCTTAGTTATTTGTAAAAAGAGAGATCATAGCTAGTAGTATGAAGTCTTACATCTGTGTGAACACTATGAGGCGGTTTAGGGATAGAGGTAACCCGAATATTGTAGAGATCCATGCACAGAGAGTACTGCCAGATCTCGGGAAAGCGAATAATAGAAAGTCGGCGATTTTGTTTTTATACCATGTTGTATCTGCATTTCTGTTTTGAATATGATTATACTGCAAATCTGCTACCAGGGCTTCGCCGAGGCCTATGTCCAAATATATTAGCGTTAAATCGAGCTATTCGGGGGGTTGCCAAGGCCACTTGCTAAACTAGTCTTGGCTTAGATCCTGCTTAGATGGTCTAATTGTTTCCGATCATTTCCTGTCATGGAAAAGATCTTGGGCTTCTCGCCTTCGAGCCCCCGAATATCTTGAGATTTGGCGGTAATATGTTTTCTATGCCTGGTTTATCATTGATCCTGTCCGGCGGTGATCATAAGGTCTCACTCGGCTTATCCCTGCAGTCATCCCTGAAAGAGTCTTGGCGTAGGGATCATTTGGGCCAGGGTTCGATCTCCTACTACAACTCCTCCAGGTATTCGTTTGGGGTCCCAATATGACGTCGCTTGTCGTTTCTGAGGTTGATCTCTAGCTTGCGACACTTGCCATTTCACGTCTAAATACATTACAGCTGGAGTGAATCACTTCACCATTAAGAACTCTCTAATTGGAGCCTACGAGAAGTACCCCCAAAAGCAATCGGTCGATTGCAAGATGTAGATCACAATAGCGCTACCGAGAACCAGCTATTGGCCATGTGCCTCTACCAGCGCATTGGTTGATTCCGCGAAAACCTCCGATCGGCCAATAAACTCAGCCTGTCCCCGCTTTCGCTTCCGATAATATAGATCCTCAAGAACTATCTCTAAAGTCGTCCATGCAGGCCCTTTTTCGTGGGGGGCGGAACTCTACCGCAACGTTTGCTGAGAGGCCGATAAGATTCTTGGGGAGATAAGGGGGTTTATTAACAACGCTGCATTTTTGGCCCCGGCAAAGCTTTATTAAGGTGGACCCTCCCCCCGGTAATTAATGCTTGAGGCTTGAATCTCAGATCCTTACCAGAGAACGATGTCCGAGTCCACTACCAACCCTACGGGCATAGCTCGTGCGCCAGAGAAGAAGAATTTCTTTGCTACTTTCAAAGGCTATTTGTCTATCCTAAATCCTAGGAAGCTCTATAGAGGTAGTGTATAGGACTCTTGACGTTTCCGGTGGACAAACTGCTGAGATCTTGTGCTAGGGAGAAGAGTGAGTCCGAATGAAGGTGATCAGGTACGGGAGAAATTGGAGTCGGTTAAGCGAGAAGAGGAGCTGGCGGGCTCGGATGGTGCGGAGGAAGATGGTTCAGGTGAGTAGAAGCTGGTTTGTCGGTATTATCACGCTCGGATAGCTATCCCAAAGATTCCTATATCAACCCTTGGTAGCGCTTTTGAGGGCTTTGTATAAACAGCCCTTCGGATTAGCTACACTCCCCGTATTGACCTTGTCCCCGCGAAGACATTCGCATATGGCGTATATAGTCAAGGCGGAATTCCGCTGCAAGTAAATACTAACAGCGTCTTGGACTCCAGCGTCTACGCAGGAAGGAACTGGCATCCTTCCCGCAAAGCCCAAAGTTTCTGCACCCCCAGCTGCGCTGCTTCAATATGCCGCCATTCTCCACGGTTCCCGGCGGCCACCAGTGACAGATGTCCCTCAAATCCCTAACACATTATACAAAGACCTTGAAGGTACGACCTGCCTATTGCTTTTGTTGCCTCCACGTGCTGACTCCCGACTAGATTCCGAAAGAACAGAGCTCCTGAAGTGGGTCACCCCCGTACCCTACGAGCAGCAGCATAAATACACAGCACACGCCCGCACCGACGGAACAGGCGCATGGCTCTTCCAGAGCACCGCCTTCCGGGAATGGCGGGAGTCCAGCACCTCCACTGTGCTCCGGCTGCACGGGAAACGTATGACACGCCTCAAGATGTGAATATTGACAAAGCGCTACTGACAAAGGAATACAGCCGGTTCCGGGAAGAGAACGCTCACGTACTTATGCAAGCTCCGCATTCTTTGAAATTGTGCATACTGACCGCTATAGGTCGCTGCTGATAGATGTGCTCCTCCTCGACCGCCAGACCCACGCCGGCATTGAAGGGTTCGCGTATTTTTACTGCGACCCGCGTGACAAGGCTTGTTGGGATCCTGATATGGTGCTCAGGGCGCTGCTGGTACAGCTCTGCACCAATGTTGATGCTACGGCTGTCTACGGCGCTGTGTTCCGGGGATGGAAGAAGGGATACCTGCCGGCAAAGAGCTTGCTCGTAGAGCTGTTAGGAGTATATTCGCAGAACACCATTGTCATTTATGGCGCTGGCTCGGCGCTGCTCGAGGTGCTGGAGGAGGCTGTGTTGGCTGCGAAGGGCGTAGTAAAGGTGTTTGTGGCCGGGGGAGAGGGTGCTTCGGGTTCAGAAGAGTCTATGAAGGTGTTGCCGGTGATGGCACTCGAGATGGCGAATGAAGAGGATATCGATATGCTTTTGGACGTTTCCATAGGGAGCAGGAAGGACCTAGGACTCGCAGGGAAGAATGAGGAAGTCAGGCAGCTGATCCGTTCTACGCTGCGGACGAAGGCGAACGGATGGTGAAACGCCCCCGTTCTCTATATTTCCAGAGTCTGGAATTACAAGTAGAAAGGCTGACGTGAAATGCAGCTTCCTCTGGGTTGATCTCCAGCTCAAGATGCTCTCCCAGCTCTCATCCAGTACCCTCGTCGAACAGTATCTCCAGTCTCAAAACCTCCCCACCGACCTCGACTCCCTCTACGGGTACATCCTCAGCGAACACACTGACACGCAGCCGGCAACAGAAAAGGACCTCGCCCACAGAATCTCCCAATGGCTGCTCTGTGCTCCCCGCGCTCTTTCCCCCGCAGAGCTGGTCGAGGCCACCAACGCCGCCGACATCAACACCGTCCTCCGGGTGTGCCACAACCTCGTGGTAGAGGACCATGAGGCCGGCGTCGTGCGATTTGCGCACGCGTCAATACAGAGCTTCTTGGAGCGCAAGAGCGGGGAAGTCTCACAGGCACACGAGATGGGCGCCGAGCGCTGTCTTGACTACCTCACCGCCGAGCCCGACGTCGCTGCCGCCGTCGCCGCCCCGTTCGCGGCCTACGCATCACAGTTCTGGGGACACCATGTGCAGCAGCGCAGAGACAGCGAGAAGATCAAGGAGCAGCTGTCGCGCTTTTGCGGGAGCACCGAAGAGCCGTCTCCGCAGTTTGTCTTCTGGCTCACCGACCCGCACAACGCGGTGACGCCGTCCCTCACCCCGCCGCTCAGTGTCCTTCCGGTGGCTTGTCACTTTGGATTCCTAGAGCTCCTGGACCTGACGAAGCCGTTCGATGCCAACACCCGCACCACCGCCGGCAACCTGTCGCTGCTCTCCTTGGCCGCCGGCGCAGGCCACACCGAGACCGTGCGCACCCTGATCACGCATGGGGCGATGGTCAACGAGCCCGGCGGGGAATACGGATACGCACTCCACTACGCTGCCGCACACGGGCAGACGGAGGCCGTGCGGGTGCTGCTCGAGAACGGCGCAGACCCCCACCGCATCGGGTGGAACACAGAAGCAGCCCTGGTGGCTGCAGTGCGGGGCGGGCACGAGAGCACCATGAGGGTCCTGCTGGAGCGGGATGCCGGGAGACATGTGGATGCTGCGTTTGTGGCGGCAGCGGGCAGAGAGGGGGCGAAGATCCTCGGGGCCCTGATTGAGGCGGGGCCGGATGTAGGGGCGGGGACCGAGACGATGTGGGCGGCGACCGAAGCGGCGGTCAGCGGAGGTGTGCCGGAGAACTTGGCGGTGCTCATTCAGCTGTTGAAGACCCGGGGCCGCGAGGGCCGCGCGATGGACGGGTTCGGCTCCCATGCGGCCCGGGCGGCGGTGCGGGCGGGCTCGGTGGGGATGCTGCAGATCGTGTTTGACATGCTCGGCAGCGCGGATCTCGACCTGCACTCCCCCGTCTCCGGCAAGACCGCGCTGCAGCTTGCCCTCGAGGCCGGGTCGGCGCCGCTGTCCGACTTCCTCATCGGCCGCGGGGCGCGGGTCGCGCGGCTCAGGAACCTGCTGATCGGGCAGCTGCAGTGGGCGCGCGACGAGGCGTGGTTCCCGTCGCTGCTGTGGTTCCTGGGCACGCGCAGCTCGCTGGAGGAGCCCGTCCTCAGGCCGCAGGACGTGCAGGACGTGCAGGCGCTGCTGCTGAAGCTCACGAGGCTGCCGGAGAAGGCGGTGAGCAGGATCCTGCATCTGGGCGAGTACTGGGTCTACACGGAGGCGAGCCGGGAGGAGAAGTGGGATGTGCACCAGCACCACCCGCAGCAGCCGTATGTGCAGGTGCCGATCGAGAGCTCGCTGGAGGCGCCGGTGAGGAGGATATCGTTCTGCATGCGCTCGCACGATCAGGGTATGTTTACGACAGCTCCCGGATCCCCTCTGATAATATATCTCTAACGCTCCATCTGCAGGCTGGGCAAGCGATCGGTCACTGTGGGGGACCTACGATGGCTCCCACACCTGGTTCGAGGCCGGGCCCGTCGGAGACCAAACGGACGACAGGCGGAAGGTCGTCCAGCGGAATCTCGCGGCGACGTGGGAGGCAAAGACACACACGGTTACGTGGGATGCGGACGATGCGGGGGCAGAGAAATGGCTGCGGACGTTGAAGGCGGGACAGGCGCTGGGCGTCTATCCGAGGGCGCTGTATCCCGGGTGGGTGAATCATGTGGAGAGGGTGGATGTGCGCGTGTATTGCGCCTGGGCTTGACCGGTGGGGGGTAGACATGATGAGATGGGCAGATGGGGGGGGGGCGTGCTGGGCACTGTTTGTGTATTGGAAGACTTGATTAATGAGCCATAGCTGCTATGTTTGTATTGGAATGAAGGGGCATCTCCGGAGTCGTAGGACGATTGAGAGTGCGGATGTGATTGATGTCCTACCACTGTCACCAAACGTGATCTGTACCGTAGCTGGGCGAGGTGTGAGAGATCACCCGCTTTCGGCGATATATATGGACTGTAGTTCCATTAATGGTGGGTGGAAATTGGAGAGATCGGGGGTGTTCTCTCCTCTGTAGCTCCTAGTGAGTACATATAGATATCGATATTCTCGATTGGGCAGAAAGATGGTCATGTGCCGCAGCTGGAATATGTATGGCCCCAAAGTGTGAAATATATTGATATTCAAGGACTTGACCCGCTATCAAAAAACATGCATAGACCCGATATGATTCGATCCCAGGAATGCCTAACGTTCCGTATTTGTTTCATCGCACAAAGAGAAGCGGGAAAGTGCAAACCAGTCAGACAATCTGGCGAGCATTAGACAGCATGAACTTGCAGATATCTCTGCTGATCTGTCTTGTTCATTCGGGACACTTATCAAGTTATTATGTCGGCCGCCAAGGACAATGGCCAAGCCGGAGCCTTGACAAGACATGCTAACCATGTTGGTGTTAGTGGCCAACCTCCGCGCGAGGTCGACGTTTACCAAAGTGATTACATGGAGCTACAGCCGCGGAAAGAGTAAATGTGGAGATCCTTGCTTGGATCTACGTGTGCTGGAAGAACAGTTCCAGGAACTTCGAAAGGCAGCATCCTCATTGCAGATTTGCTAGTTTCGGGGGTGTCCATCATAGCTCATCACTCGGCTGTGTATCTGCCTCTGGTGCAAAACAGCTGCGCTGGGGTTTAGAGTGAGTGGTTATGTTGAGTATGTGAGATCTGGAACAGGGCAGGCGATACCACAGAAAGAAGTATATTAATATACTGGCTGACGCGAATCAAGGGATCCAGATGTTCACACGTTGGTCGCGCTTTGCGACGCTAGCCACATTCGGTATGGCCCACACCCTGTCACGATCCTTGCTGTCGCCCGGGTTGGAGACGACGGGAACGGGATCTGGGCTAGCGTTGCACATCAAAGCTTGTCTGTCACTACATCAAACGTTGATAGAAAACTTAACAACTGGGTGCCGGTTGGATGTTCACTCCGCACTCTCTATCGCCTGTTGACTATTAATTCCACACTTCTAGCTTGAGAGCTCCGTCTCGAAGCACTCACACGTGTATTGCATCCAGCTTCTTTTCGCCAAACTAAAGACTCCGGCTCACATGTCGAGTGATAATCTGTGATTCAGTTCCGAGACTGGAAATCTTGCTGACCTGTCTAGAAATAGACCAGACATCAGGCGGAGAACTGTGTAGCAAATATGCGCCGGGGTAGATTAAAGATTTCAACAATACGAATGTCGTTCTCGGTCGATCCTTGCGGCTCCTCGGATTACAATTCGGGCTGGCGGGGTGCTTCTAGGTCTGGGTTGAATCCTTGACGGGAGAGTCACAATCACAACATACAGTACTAAAATAGGGGGTGGGATCTCTACAGCAACACTACAGTAGTAGTGCGGTACTCTTATCTATACCGTATTCTTTCCAATACCGATTTACACCGGCATTTGGAGAAATACATGTATATATGGCAAAGAATACCAATTAGTGTCTTCCGGTACAGCAGATTAACACTAGCTCTGCTTGTTTTGAGCCCAGTCTTGTCTTGATGGTACGTATATGTACATGTACTCACCTAGGCCTACGAACACCTTAACATTACCATCGCCATCATCATTAAGGCTGCACCGGGTTGCAATTGCTATCATCGCCGCCTGAGGGGATTACCTGAGGGGATTGCCTGAGGGGATTGCCTGGGGGAATTATTCCTCTTTCGCGAGAGATGTTATGCCTAGATCAGAAAAATTATCCTTTAAAAGTATATCCTACTTCTGGAACGCCAATCATCAGAGAATGAACCCCTAGGTATCTATTGATGGATTAATATCTGTTGATCTTGGTAGTTGAGGTGCTTCAATCTCAAAATGCGGAATTAGGGTTAGGTAATTAAAGTTCTAAGCATTTCTCTAGATCTCGCAGTTCTGCTGGAGCGCTACTGTAATAGACAAAATTCGGTATTACTACTAACCCTGCATTCTCTGGAATACGTATTCTGGCTACTACGGTATTCTTGCCGTATTTCTTAAATTTCGGTATTCTTTAAAAAAAGCAATTTTAATTATATAGTATTTTACAGTAATGCTATAGCACTACCATATTATCCTTCCTACCGTAGTGATATTACCCCCTTTTTTCGTACTGTACAGTGGTGGGTAATAAGTGATCGGACGCCTGTATCAACTGCTGAGAAATCTGAGACAATGTTGATGGTAGTAGTACTCGTGTGAGGAGCGTAGAAGTGAATAGCAAACGGATTCTAGTACCCAAACAGCCAAAATAACCGCCATCAAACCCTTTTCAAAACCTAAAAGGGCGGAGACTACAGAGCTTCAGTGCTCAGTTATTATCACCTTATATGGCGAGGGTTATCCTTTTGCCAAAATAGCCAAGAAAACTGGAGTACCAAAAAGCACCTGCTATTCAATTGTCAAACGAGATAAAGACAATCGGAAATCTGGCAGTCTAGTCCCCTACACCAAAAATGCCCCTGAGAAGGGCCAGTCAGAGAAGCTAAGGCTAAGAGAACGGCGGTTTTTAGTCTGAATTTCATGACATTGCCGACGTACAGTTCCTAATCAGCTTATCAAATTCCTACCTACTTCGATTATTAGAAAGACTGCTAGGAAATATTTAGCCAAAGCAGGCATCCACCAATGTCGCGCAAAAAGAAAGCCTTTCCTAAAGAAGCAGCACATGGTTAATAAGTTAAACCAGTGCAAGGAAAGAAAGAGCTGGACTTTGGAGGATTGAGGAGATATTATTTGGACCGACCAATCGAGATTTGAGGTGAGATTTCATGCTGGAACCTGCTGGGTATCGAGAGTAGCTGGTGAGGAGGATCTTCCAGATTGTCTACTGCCTTCTTTCAAAAGTAGTAGGACATCGGTCATGATATGGGGTGCGATCAAGTTGGGTACTAAAGGACCTATAATGATCTTACCGAGTGGGTCCATAAAGGGCCCAGATTATATTAAACTTGTTATAATTCCCGCATTAAATCCCTTTTATATTCAGACAAGATGGGCAGATGGTGAAGCTATGGTTATAGAGGACGGAGCTAGCATACACAGGTCTGTGGTTGCTAGGGAAGCTAGAAATCGCTTGAGAATACAACGGATACCTTGGCCTGTCCAGTCATCAGCCCTCAACTCCATTGAAAACGTATGGCAGAAAATGAAATACAGAATAAACCTAAGAACCCCGGCCATTACTACCTAGCCACAGCTTATACAAGCACTCTAGGAAGAATGGGATCGCTTCACACGAGATGACTTCAAGAGGTTGATAGCGAGTATGCCTAGGAGAGTCAGGGAATGTATTAAGAGAAACGGAGCTTCTACACACTACTAAATGTACATTATATTCATCCTATTTATCAAATACTGTTATTCGTTGCCATTTCGTTGATGTATCGACCTTTAACCCAGCCTCGAACTCGAAGCCAACGACCTCGAACCGCCAAATATAATATTGCTTTTGCAAGCATCCGATCACTTTTACCCGCCGCTGTACAATTTCTTTGGTGTGTAGGGGTAAATGATCCGTGCGTGGAGGATGATTAATGCAAAAAACGTTCAAAATCGACCTGGATTCCGACTTTGTTTTTATTTACCTGACTATACCGATTGGTCTACAGTTATCCGATATATTCCACAGATGTCCTCCAGTAAATTTAATTAACCCCTGAGGGTGATAATTCATCTATTCAAGTTTTAGAACTATCCAAAAAGGGATAGAACAAGCGGGGGTAGCAAAAATAGAGATGCTCACCCCTGAGGAACGAAGCCTATCAGATGGCAGGTCCAAAAAAATAGCTATCTGCTATAAAAGATGATCAGCAGCAGTGACAGGTAACGGCTCTGATGGCTGATCTTTCTAGGTCAAGAAAGATCAATGCGGTAAAGAAAATGATAGTATAGGTGATAAGACTCCGAGTAACAAGTCAGGATGGTCTAGGTTCGAACCTCCAGTGTAACAGAGGTCCTTTCTAAGAGAAGTAGAATCGGATAGAATAGAGACGGCCGTGCAATATAGACAATCAGGTTGCAGATTATTCAAAGATACTATCGCTATAACTCAATAATCTTTAAGGGCTCTGCTACCGATAAGAATTTGCTTTTTTCTTTTTTCCGATGAAGACTCGAGAGAACAGGACTGATGGGCAGGAATGAAGCTGAGTATTGTACATCGTGGCAAATTCATGTCACCCTTGCAACTCACTTGAACAGGATAAACTTGGCGCGTACCTTGGCATCTGAATTTTTGTCTTAACATACAATACAAAATAATGAATTGAAATGTTAACACTATGTTGACTCGATATAGAACGCATAGAGAATAACGCCCAGCTTGGGGGTGAGTACAGCGGGCGAGTGGGTGCTAGATGATACATCCCGAGTGATAGATTATGATTGGTTGAAAGTTTTTCTCATTACGTTATTCCTGGCTATTGATCATACCGATCCTACCAGCAGCATTGCGATAATAAAGAAATTGGAATGCGGAAGCGCAGTCTCTGCAAAAGAAAAAAAATGAAACTTGGCGTGGGAGTGAATCGAGTCCTTTCTGATGATCGATGTTCTTCATGCGCCTTGCGTCCTGTGTTATGCGCTATTACACTTTCGACAGACAATACGGCACGGCGTAACATCAGGCCATCTCTTCATGCACCTGAGAATGTGTATCATGTGCTCGAAAGGGATCAATCGTCCGTCAGCACGGTATGGGGAAAAGGTTCTTCATGCACCCTACGTCTTGTGTCATGCATCATGTGCCTGGCTGTTGGTGATATTACACCCTCGACATGAGAAACCTAGTGAGCACGATTATGCTGAGGCTTCAATGTGTTGTGATTTGAATATCGGGATGTCATATAAGCCTTTACAAAGAACCCATTATCCAGCTTTTTGCCAACAACATTCGCCTTCCAATTTATTCATACTAGTACCCTTTATACATATACATTTTATATTGCACTGATGTCTTTCACCACCAGCATGTTCAGCCAACCCGAACCCAAAACATATATCGGTGTTGAAGAAATGATTGAGCTTCTCAAGAAACACTTGGGACCTCGGCTCAGGAAGTATAAGGAGACCTCGGAAGAAGAATTCAAGCAAAATGTTGACTTCTATGTATGTCTGATCACCTTCCAGCGAAGACGGCATTAACCTGTGATAGGGCGGAGTTTTTCTCCGAATACAAGCAGAGATGTTTTGACAAAAACAAGGGGAGGGATTGTGAGGACACACTCTCAGATCAAACCTATAAAGAAGATACTCTCGCTGCTCTTATAAACACTGAAAAAATTCTCTCTTGTCTTCAGCCATACGCTGTCTTCCTGAACCAAAAAAGTCCGGACTTGTATGGTTTTTGCTCTTTCTCATACAATAATCATCCGAGATGCATTGCTAATAGACAAAATGTTTTAGCCATCATAACCACATATCTGACGCCGACGAAATGGATGTCCCACATAACTTGGAACGTAGGTCAGTTTTAGCAAACACTGAAACCATATTGAAACTTCTTCAGTCTTTCTCCGCCGATGCCAATGGTTTGCTATCAACATTCAAAGCAACAAATGACGCCCTCAAGGGGAATACAGTCGTCATCGGCGATATCCTCGAATATATTAGTGATTTGAAGTCTGATCTCAAGGGGGTGAGTAGCGAGTATTCCGCAGGGTACGAAGGGGATAATAGGAGACGGTATGGGAACTCGCAATAGGGGTACTACGGGACTCTAGCTTGGGTAAGGTTCGACGGAGCACGAAGGAAGCGAGGCAGTGGTCTTCTTGAAGAAAGAAGAGGACGGTAATATTATAGAGCAATAAACAGCGTAGATACAGAAGACGTTGCGTAAAGAAAGAAGAAGAAGAAGAACACAAAATACAAACAAAACCCCCTTTAATATACTCAAGGAAATCCCAGCGATGACAAATCCAACATGACTCATACATTAACGATCAACAGAACCCGGTAGAACCCAATAGAACCTTTCTGACTAATCCGACTCTTCATAACCCCGTACCTCCACTAGTCGATCCATGAAAGTAGCCCCTCCCTTCAAGCGCGAGCTCCTGCGAGCCTTAACCTTAATCTTCCCTTCCAATGGTCCAGGTTTGTCGGGGTAGCGCATGTGGAAGATATCAACGGCGGCGGTGTTGTCGTGGTATGCGGCGGGTTCCCAGGTGGGGTCGGTATAGCCCGTACACTTAACAAAGTATTGCAGGCCAGTATTCCGTAATTCTCGTGAGTCCAAGATTTCCTCAACTGCATACTCCTCCTCTTGTTCGACGATAATGGGCGGGGGTGGTGGTTGAATTTGCCCTGGGACAGGATCATTCGCAGCGGGGTCCAACAATGATACATGGAAGACGGGGTGCACCTTCATACTTCTAGGCAGGTCGACTCGATACGCATATGGCGATATAATTTCCTTAACGGGGAACGGTCCCAGTTTCTTCCAGTACAGCTTCCGGGAGTTACGCGTGGTTCGGATGTTTTTTGCTGAAACAAACACCATATCACCGACATCGTACCGTGGGGCCGGCGTTCGTTTAGTGTTGACGGCCTGCTCTTGTTGATCCTGCGCCGTGCGGATGTTGGAACGTAAGTACTCATGGAGTTCTTTCATCTTCGAGGCGAAGTCTTTAGCATTGAGACTCGGTGGGGTCCTGTCGAGCGATTTAATCGTCACTGTGAAACAGGGGTGGAATCCATAGTTCGCGAAGAATGGTGTAGCTTTAGTGGGTGCGGAGACCTGGTTGTTGGCGGAGAATTCTGCCATAGGAAGCCATTTTACCCAATCGTCCTGTTGGTAAGAGACATACCCACGTAGATATTGCTCCATTACAGCATTCAGCCTTTCGGTTTGGCCGTCAGTCTCCAGGTGGAAGGCGGTGGACATCCTTACCTCGATGTTAAGGTGTTTACAAAGAGCCTTCCAAAACCTAGCTGTAAATTGCGTACCGCGGTCGGAGGTGACGTGTGTGGGTAGCCCGTGGAACTTCCATATGTTCCGCAGGTATAGTCGGGCGACGTCTTCGGAGTTGACGGTAGTATTGCAGGGTAGGAGATGTCGCATCTTTGTTAGCCGGTCAACCACTACCATAATTGCATCGTACCCTTCACTTTCCGGTACGCCAGTAACGAAGTCCATCGATACCTCCTGCCATGGTTGTTCCGGAATCGGTAAAGGTCGAAGTACGCCGAGTTTTCCATGGGTGTTGGGTTTGCTTCGTTGACAGGTGTGGCAGTTCCGAACATAGCGGGCAATATAATTCCGCATAAGGGGCCAATAGTAGTCTCGACTGATGAGTTTGAATGTTTTTTCGCATCCCGGGTGTCCGGCGGAGGCAGCGTCATGGTAGAGTTGGAGGATTCGGAGCTTGAGAGGGTTGTAGTCGGGTACATATATGCTGCCTCGGTAAAGCAACCGGCCTTCAACTTCGGTGCATTCGGCGAGTGATATGTCCTTTGATTGTCGATCGCCTTTATTCCGCATATCCAGTATCTTTTGGGGAAACGGGTCAGCGCTATATCCTTCATCGAATAATTCCTGCAGTGAGACTTTCTTTTCAGCGGGCTCATTTGAGAAAGAACCCGCCAACAAACTTAGCTTTGCATCGAGATTTTCCTTCTTCAACACAACTTGACTCTGATGCAATTGTTTTTCATCCCCCTCTCCAGGGAGATCTCCTGATCTTCTTGTCAACGCGTCCGGTTTCCCTCCTTGTTTCCCTGGTCGGTATTTAATAACAAAATTAAACCGTGACAGGTATTCTGCCCACCGTGCTTGTCTCCGGTTGAGTTGTTTGGTACTCATAAAGTATTCGAGATTCTTATGATCGGATATGACGGCGATTGGGTGTGCAGCCCCTTCAAGTTCCGGTCGCCACTCCTCAAAAGACCCAATGATTGCCAATAATTCCTTGTCGTAAATCTCGTAGTTGCATTCGGCGGGGGAGTGTTTTTTCGAGAAGTATGCAACAGGTCGGAGGATACCATTGTCATCGTATTGGGAGAGTACACCGGCGGAGACATAGTCAGATGCATCGGTTTCCACAGTAATTTCCTTCTCCGGGTCGAAATGGGTAAGAATGGGTGCCGTGGTAAAGGCTTCTTTGAGGGCATTGAAGGCGGTTTGGGCTTCGGATGTCCATCCAAATGATATGTCCTTACGTGTCAGTCTGGTAAGAGGAGAAGCCAGTTCCGAGAATCCGCGTATGAATCGGCGGTAAAAGTTAGCAAAGCCTAGGAATGCTTGTACATCCTTAACTGTTTTGGGGATGGTCCAATTCTTCACCGTCTCCACTTTCCTTGGGTCCATTTTAATACCATTGGGTTCGATAATCAGGCCGAGATAGGTGGTACTTTGTGTATGAAATTCGCATTTCTCTGGTTTTAGCACTACTCCATTTCTTTGTAGGGCTTCCAGGACCTTTTCAACGTGTACTTGATGTTCCTCGAAGGTGTCGCTGTAAATAAGGATATCGTCAAGGTAGGCTGTGCAGAACATATCAAGGTAACCACGGACGCAATCATTAATGAAATGTTGAAAGATGGCTGGTGCATTGGTAAGGCCGAAGGGCATTACGGTGTATTCGAAATGTCCGTAACGCGTTCGGAAAGCTGTTTTCCATTCTTCACCCTCAGCCATTCGGATTTGATTGTACCCTTGGCGAAGGTCAAGTTTGGTGTACCACTTGGCCTTGGAAAGGCGGTCGAGAGTTTCCCGGATGAGTGGCAGCGGGTAGCGGTTTTTGACAGTAAGTTCGTTGAGGCCACGATAGTCGACACAGAGGCGGAGTGTTCCATCGGCTTTTTTAACAAATAGGACAGGGGCACCGGCAGGCAAAGAGCTGGCCTGAATGAACCTCTTTTGAAGATTGTCCTGTATGTATTGTTTCAGCACAATGAGTTCCTCGCGGGACATACCATAAAGTGGCCCAAAAGGGGGCTCTTTCCCTTCCTTGAGCGGTATCTTATGATCGTAGGGGCGGCGAGGCGGCATCTCGTTAGCGAATTCTTCGTCCATCATTTTATGAAATTTCTTATACCGTGTTGGGACCCGGTTCCTCCAGTCTGGCTTAGGGGCCTCGCCCGTTGCTCGATCTATTTCCTCCATAGTTGTACTAAAGATTTGGAGTTTGTCTCTTCGAGCAAAGCGACAAAGAGCAGCTGAACTGACGAGGTGGAAACGGGGCGGTGGTGCAACCCCTCTAATGGGAACGGGTATAGGGGAAGAGTTGCACTTGCGTTTGCAGTATTCGGAGTCGAACAGTATGCTATTATCCTTCAACCATAATGTTGCGTCATGCAATTGAAGCGAGGGGATTCCGAGGACGAGTGGGTACGAGCCGAGTTTGGTAACGAAGAAGGGGGTAGTTTCATGGTGGGAGTCAATGGATAGCGGCAGATAGCAGAGGTGGGTAATTTGTCCGGAAGATATGGACCGACCGTCGATGACTTCAAGAGTGCGGGGTGATTTGAGGGGGAGAAATGGGAAGTTGTTATGGCGCGCGAATGTTTCATCAATGAATGCGAATCCGGAGCAACCGGTATCGATCAGTGCGTGAGTTTGAATGGATGTTTTATTGTTTATAATTTTACAAGAAGCAACAAAATGATCTCCATCCAATTTATCCTCCACAGACGATACCGAGAAGCCAGAGATAGAAAACGCAGACAAAGGAGAAACATTGGAAGGTCCCGGGCAGGGGCCATTAATCAAGCCCGGGACTACTGAAAACCCGACTCAGAGGAGGCGGGACTAGCGACCGGTGGAGCGGCGGGGTCGACGGCCGTATGGCTGGGTGCGAGGAGGGCGCCTCTCATAACCGGTTGGTTACCGCGCGGGCGATTGGCAGAGGGGCAGTTGGCAAAGACATGACCGGGGTTGGCACAGTACATACAGAGATTGTTGTCCCTTCGCCATTGTTTTTCGGCGCCAGAGGTTTTGCGTTGTCCATTGACAAAAGTGTATCGTTGTTCAAGGGCAGGACGTTGAGTGGGGCGGCTTTGGAGAGCGGAGAGGTCCATTGGGGCGAGGCCTCCGGCGGTGTGAGATGGATGTGCGACAGCAGCGGGGGCGGTGAATTGTCCCATTGTATTCCGAATGGCCCGTTGTTCAGCTTTGCGGCCCCGAACCTGGTTATCGATTGTCATCAACATGGTGGCATAGGCTTCGACGGTGTTAGGCCTGTCTGTCCGGTATGTCATAGCGTCCTTCAGGTCTTCCGACAGTCCTTCGGCCAGGGCATCGATCTTGGCTCCCTCGTTGTAGTCTAGGTATGCCACGATGCGGAGGAACTGCGAATAATAGGTAGCGAAGTCCCCTTTGCCTTGCTTCATGGCAACGAGTTGGCGGCGGGCGGTATCCCGGGGGTCTGGGTCTCCAAACGAGGCTTCCAGGTGGGCAACAAAGGCAGTGACGGAGGAGAAGGGGGCGGCAGGGTTAGCATTAACGAGTGAAACGACCTGGTCAAGGGCCATTCCTTCCAAGCGACTGACGGCATAAATAACCTTTGCTGCCTCGTTTCGGAACCGATCGTGGTTGACTTCAAGTTTCATTCGAAGTTGGGTGGTGAATCCGGGGAGCTTGGTGCGGGTGCCATCGAATTTTTCAGGGTCTGGAAACTTTTCGGACCTGAAGGCGGGGACAGGGGCAGGGGGAGGAGCAACAGCAACGGGGACAGCGACGGTAGGGGCGGGGGCAGCGCGGGTGACATTGAGGTCGAGGTTGAGCCGGGTTATCTGCTCCTCGAGGTTGTCAATGGTTTCATTAGCGGCGGTGAGTTGTGCATGGAGGGTGTCCCTTTGGAGACGGACGCGCTGGACGAGGGTGGCGATGTTATCGAATAGTTCAGTAGAGTCGGCCTCATACATCTGCCTGAATCCTACTACATCGTTGGGTGCAGCCCATACAGGTGGGTCGGGGGTGGACATGTCGTACGGTGCGGATGACGACGCAACGTAATCTCAAGGGGGTGAGTAGTGAGTATTCCGCAGGGTACGAAGGGGATAATAGGAGACGGTATGGGAACTCGCAATAGGGGTACTACGGGACTCTAGCGTGGGTAAGGTTCGACGGGGCACGAAGGAAGTGAGGCAGTGGTCTTCTTGAAGAAAGAAGAGGACGGTAATATTATAGAGCAATAAACAACGTAGATACAGAAGACGTTGCGTAAAGAAAGAAGAAGAAGAAGAACACAAAATACAACCAAAACCCCCTTTAATATACTCAAGGAAATCCCAGCGATGACAAATCCAACATGACTCATACATTAACGATCAACAGAACCCGGTAGAACCCAATAGAACCTTTCTGACTAATCCGACTCTTCACAACCCCGTACCTCCACTAGTCGATCCATGAAATCTGACCTCAAAGACCATGACGTAACCCTTCATAAAGTGTTGGTATACCTTCTTTATTTTTTTTTATAAACATATGGTTAACTGACTAACGTCCCTGCCAGCCTCGATTAAGCAAAGTTTAATCGGATTATTGTGGCAGAATGTCGTGATCATGTTAGAGAATCAGTTCCCTTTGAACCGTTTGAGCATCATGTTGCGCCACCAGTAGAAACACACACAGGCATTGTGCGAGTTACTGCACTTTTGACGGCCTCTCTTGACCAATTCTCTCTTCGCATTGATGCGCTGTAAGTCACGTTCTCCATCAAACTGTCGATTTAAATGCTTGATTTATAGCTAATACTATATCTTCATGTCACAGTACTGCAGCCTTTGAAACCCAAGACCAAAGCCTCAAGCAGAGCAAATTGCCAACGTTTCTCTTGGTGATCTGTCTCCGTGCCCTGAAGGCCATTTCCATGCTAACTTGCACTTGTTGGCTACGACTTGTATCGCAATGTCTGATTATCTATGCTCATTGTACGCCTCTTCAAATTCACCACTTTGCCCACTTATTAATCTTAGGTGAACATAGGGAAACTCAAATGCTCTTGATCAAGGATATGGTTGCTCGCAAGGCAACGGAAAATGCGAATTGGGCACATACCTCTGTCTACCCACTGCCATAGCTGTATGCCACGGATATCTCCTGGGTTCCTCGAAAAACATCTCTCTATTGTGTTCTTTTCTAATTCCTACAGTTCGCACCGCGACGAAATGGGCTCCAGTGACCCCCCTTCTACCTCTAGCACACCCTTCACTCCTTCGGCGACTGCCCATGAGGCCAGCAAAACTCCTCTTGCGGTGGCCAACCCTGCAGATCTGGACGCCTTGTTGCAGAATATTTTTCAATGGTATGTAAATTGATTTGGCTTATATTTATAGTACTAATATTTTCGTTTATTCGACCGCAGTGATCCCCAACTTGAGGAAGACGAGACCATGTGAAATCCTCGCTTGTGCGTTCATCATATTTCCTGCCTGCGATATTGGAACCATAGCTTCTTATGTTAACATTTGCTGCGCACAGCCGTCATTCACCCAATCTGCATTTCTTTTTATCTTCACGCTCATTAACTGTTGCGCCTTTGCCTATTGTTCGTTCGTTACATTTATTGTTCGATTGCTCTCCCAGTTATCTGTACCCATCTCGCTATATTGTTCATCCTCTGTTTCCTGTTCGTTCTGTGTATCTATCTTTTCCCTTGCGTTTTGACATCACTCGTTTAATAGCAACAATTTCAATTTATATTTGCAATCGGGTTATGAAATAAATATTCGTTATGGCAGCCTACATTGATATGTTACTCTTGCGACCTCTAAAATACAATGTTCTTCGCTTGATGCCCAAAACTCTTTGCTTGATTTTGTTGCAGGTATTTTGTCCTCCGCTATGAATCAGGCCGAATTGATCGGCGTAATCCCTAGTCCACCCCCCGTCATCACCCAAAACACTATCTGTTGTTGTCTCCAGATATTATTATTGTGGGTACTATCGACACAGCCAAATCGTACTAAATGATGTTCGATTACCTGCGGCATATTCTTAGACGATAATTATCGGCCAAGTTGGAGCTCTCAAGCGATCGTACCCATAAGGGCCCATGTAACTGATATAGATTTAATCAATTAGATCTAAATGGAGCAAACTAAACCGGCAACCACTGGCTTCCCGTATTTTCCTAGTCTCCTGCAGTAGGGGCCTGATATATGGGAGGATAGAAACTTGACTATATGGGAAAGGTATACGTAGAATGTTGATAAACAAAAACATTGACTCCAAGCTACAACTATCGAGTGACAGACCTTGGAGGCATTGTACCACTGATGGATCCCATCGAGGCTTTAAAAATCCCCTCTCAGCTCTTTGCTCTATAATAAGTAACCTTGGCCTGCATATATCTGATTGAGTTGATGATTTGTTTGCTGCAAGCATTCAGGACTCAATAAACCGGCACACCCCGGTGAGCCCGCCGAAGTCAGCTGAGAAAACACATAGGATACTGGAGATGGTCCCAATACGTGCGCAAATAGACTTGTTCTAAGTCTTCCGATCTCTTCGTGAGATATCATAGTCATGATGTTGGTTTCATGACACTTAGATGCCGTCGCATTAACCGCGCCCAGATAATATTTCCCAGGTGCAATACAATCGGCTATTAGTAACGGATTTGGGTCCCCGGCTGTGTGGGGGTTAGCATGTAGCTTGCACATGGACGACAACTCAGTCCTTCGGGGTTTGAACGATTTCCCGACGATACCTCGCAGGAGGCGTTCTTTAGCAACGCCAGTAACAAAGATGATCATGTCTGGTAAATGAATGTTGTTAGAGTGTAGTAATTGTTCTGTACTTATGGGGTTCATGATGCGATGTGAATGGATGAGGATGCGTGTGTTATGCGGGCCTGCCGAAAGATCAAACTACGAGTGATGGTCACACGCCATGATGAGTTTGGTTAGCTGTGTTGAGGAGAGAGAACACCAACGTTTTAATGTAGGCGCGGCATGCACTAGCGTGTGTGGGCCCGGTTCCGATTAGCAAGGATCCTGACTCGCCTAATCCAGGAACCAGGAATCAGGAACCAGGAACCAGGAACCAGGAACCAGGAATCCAGGAACCAGGAACCCGGGACCAGATAATGAAAGCGTGCTTGGCTGGTTAGCTTGGTTGCTGAGACAATTGAAGATTGCTGAAATAATGACTAAATGCTCTACCCCTTACAGTTAAATAGCCCCCAGGGGATTATCATCTACCTAAACATACCTAAACATTCAGACACGACAATAACAATGGCAAATAGGTTTCCAAAGCACGAGGCTGCCCGACAAGGCGGGAAATCTTTCTATGCGGGTATCGTATGGCTTCGGTTTGAATCGTTTGCAGCTTCTTTAAAATATTTAGTACGGGAATTAAGCATTAAAAATATCGAGATATTAAAGACGATCTTTCGAACAGATGGTGTACTTTTCAGGGAAAACCCTTTGAATCGTATCCCAATCTTACTCACTGCAACGGCTTTCACATCTGCAATCGAGAAAGCGAGTATTGGGAAGGATGACATTAACGGCGATCCTCCGTATTATCTACTTCCTATGCGCAAGGGGTCGATCCAGCATCTTCATGGTCATCATCGCCTAGTGCCGCCGAAGACATCATCTCACAAATAGATTGTTGGTGGGGAGTTGACATCTACATTGAAGGTATTGAAAAATTGAACGCGCAGACCACCCTTAGCCCATAGTCTAACCGCGCGCAGAGTTTGCTTCGGACGAAGATTTATACTATCTACAGCACTAATATGCAAATTTGGCCAATATCACTGATGGGGAGATATTTGGAAATATACGTTTGAGTTCCAGAGAAAACAATATATTTACTCAACAATTCTGGTGGTCAAGGCTTAGTCGCTTGAAATCCCGGGACTTAAAACAGCTTTTGCGCAGTGCGAGATTCCGTGTCAACTTCGACAAACTGCTGGACATACCTGGGTTGTGGCCTGCGGTGCAGCTTGGTGCTTTGCACAAACTCCTCCCGCTGAAATGTGACGAGGTGGGTCCTCGTGATTTTATTCCATCCGGCCATATGTCTTATGTTATCTAATTCGTCTCTTATGTCACAAAGTAGCCCGTTATCTCGATTGGGTGTCTGTAGCTTGTGGTGAATTGGCCGGCCCCAATCACCCACTGGTCGATCGTGAGTTGGCAGACACGATGGAATTCTGTGCCCCTGCGGTCTCCGATGTCAACCGGGGCGTTCTCACTCGTTTGTGCGATGTACCTCGCAATGGTGGCAAGGACGCAATTTACGAGAATATCCGAAGGGCCAACGACAGAATTCCCACACTGCACTCGCTCTATCAGGATCTGAAATATCTCGAGACAGTGGCCAACCCGATAAAACTGTTAGCCGGTCCCACAAAACTAACTGTACAACAATCTTTGGAGCATATATTCGTTGAGGATCAGCATGCATTCGAGGAATCTTACTGGAAGTTATGGTTATTTAGCATGAAAAACTTTCATAAATTGTTCACCGCTATCATGGTGCGAAAGAACGCCAATCGTCCCAAGCTAATATGCGAACAAAATCTTCATATTCTTGCAGAATTTGCGCAGATTGCTGATGAGCTTGGGTTCAGCTCCAGTCAAATCGACAAGTACATAGAATCAACCCCCGTAATCATTGTCGCGCGAGAATTCTTTTCGAAGTTTAGGCCTCGCGATGTGTACGTATACGATAACGGAGTCTTTGAGGAGGAAATCCGGAATCTCAGTGCAGGCTTGTGCAGGTTTCAAAAATGTGCGAAGTCCACAAGGAAGTCCGCCCTGACCGGCGAAAATCCGGTGAAGGTTACGAGGAGAACCGGTCACCCTTTCGAGAATCACCATGAGCGTGATGCTGACAACTTCATATTGGAAAACATGCTTGGGCTCCTGCCCCTAGAGAGAGATAACGATATTACGACGTTTTTGTGCCGAAGATCATGGTTCATCGCGTTCTTTGTGGAGTTGGCTCTATATTCGAATAAAGAGTATTTGACATGCCCCAGCGTTCTCAAGCAACTCCCCAAGATCCAGACCTACCCCCTCCCGAGCGAGGCCGAGTCTCCCCTCTCAGTAGAGGGCCAGCCCCTTCGTGCTCCCGAGGGTCATCTCCCCCCCACACATGAGTTCACACCTCCTCCTCCTCCTCCCGAAGCACAATCTCCTCCGTCCTTATCACCTGGCCCGGGAATGAGTCGTAGACGACCCCGTTATTCGTCGAATGGCGCCAACAAAAAAAAGGCGGGTTGGGTTGGAGCCCCATGACGACACAGAATAGACTATCTCCGTATATTATCTTACCGAGCTACTTGTATTAGTGAAGGAAGTGATTCGCCGTTGCGCACTAAATGATCTTATCTGTTCTCTGATTGACTGGGAAGTGCGGGTTCTCGAGGACGATCATAGTGGGCAGTTGGTTCCCACTGGTGCAATAGTGGATGCACTATACCATTTGTACCCTGGTATTCGTGTTTGTCTTATGGAGGAGAATGGTCAACTTATTTCGTGATCTCATGTACATAATACAACTTTTAAGGTTTATATTCATTAAATAGAAAGATCTAAATTTCTCCTCACGCATGACACGCAAGCACAGTGTCTTTGATACGAAGTTCCTCCTCATCCAACCCCCTGCCGACTACAAGAAGCGAGTCGTTGACCCTTTCTCCATCGAGAAGGATGAAACTGCGCATAAACCGCTAAAAACTATTAGCAATTGTGACATTTCAGGATGCATGTATAGAGCTCAACCTCAGTCTTGCCCCTGTCGAGCTCTCGGCCCAGCTCTATGTCCTCTAATTCATAAATTCGTCGCAAGTCATTGACATGGCAACGCAAACTACCTGCTGAGCGTATTCTTCCGAGTTTGTGATTGAATATGTACCGAATCATTTTGTACGGCAAGCCTTCTAGATGATAAAAAAGTAAGAGAAATGTCTCTGTTCTGGACCATGGAGTGGTTGTGTCCATCGTTCTGATCAGTGGCGGGACACCTATGGCGGGGGAGATGAGGTGTGTGAGGAAGAAAAAGAAATCGAAGCAACTCTGAAGTTGGGTCTAGGGTCTGAGTTGAACTAGTAATGGGCATGAGCCCCGTTACCACTTTTATTATCACCCTTACATTGTCCTTTACGAACCATGACTCGTGCGCTCGTCATGAGTCGATCCCCACTTTAGCATCTTCAAGAACCGATAAAGACACACTCACCTCGCTCAGGTAGGCCACTCTCACCAATAATATTTAACAATCGCGAAGATGAGCTCCAGTAACACCAGCAAACCTGACAACCTGGGAAATTTCAAAACACACCTGTGCCATGAAAACTATGGTGACATGAGCATGAGGACAACTACAATGAACACCATGAACCCAATATGCACCAATACCGGTGGTAGCCCAGGTGATAGGAGTGCGAACCAGCATGCTATGAGCGTAACTACCATGATCTCGGCGAGCAGGATATCTCCCATCAACCTCAATCTTTTCACCTCTGAAGAGTGGGATCGGTTCTTTGAAGCCAGCGAAGGGTTCAAATACTCGCCAACCATCACCATATCATGATTTAGCCCTTGTTTTGGGGGAGGCTCTTCGGCAAACACCCTGACGAGTGGCACTCAGGACCCAAGCAAGGAGTACGCGTTAGACAGAACATTGCCCGTCGATGAGTCGGCCGAATTCGCGCGGGTAGAGAAGCTGGTTCAGGCTGAGAAGGAGATTGAGGCCTTGAAAGAGCAAAATATCGTGCTCCAAAACCGGTATATATCACCATCAGGCTCTTTATTCTCTTTGTATCGATGGCTCGACCTAACACTCAAGTCAATATACAGGGTAGCCAATCTCAAGAGTGAAGTAACGCAGGTTACAGTTTGGAGCCAGAATCTTCAAACATATTTATTTGATTACAGCTCTTGGGCGAGGGATGCTATGGGGGAAGTTATTAGCCACATCAGTGATGACTGGGTGATGGATGGGGAGGTAGAGTAGTGTGGTTCTATGTCTTTTTTTTGAGGTTTCATGTAGGAGAAGTGGCAAAGTAATTCCCTCGATTTATATCACGTGTGGGTAGCTAGCTTGATTATATGTCAAGTGAGTGTAGTGTTAATTTGATGCCGAGCCATCGCCACGAATGAGATAATTTATTCCGACAAAAAACTTTTTACTTTAACGCTGCGAGAAAAATACTTTACCTCCCCCTCCTTAAGCACCGCCCAGAAAAAGATACTACCCATTGATGGAGCGCTGTCCGATAACTGTCCACGACTTGGCTACACAGGATAAGCTGAACCTGATATTAGGCTGTAATATCCGTAACCCATGCGAATTCTAGAGAAACTTCATCTACTTTGATGTTTACACTTTTGTTTGTGGCGACATAGGGGAGGGTGGGATTTACCTTCCTGACCGCCAATGCCGTCATTAAACCCCCTATTGCGGACAAGAATTCGGACATCTCTGATGTATATAGAGATGTGTTTCTTTGCATAACATCAGTATCTCTAATTAAGGCAAGCAAATGGGCACCAGGTTTGACTATCTCGATAAATATGTTGCCGAGGCTCTTGAGATCGTCATTGATCCTCATTTGTTCGGAATGAGAAAAGTCGGCGATCTTAACTTCTCCATCATAATTGAGTAGGATGTTCATGGGGTTAAGGTTACTGTGGACAATGCCATGATACTGCAAATATTCCAGCTCTTTTAGAATCTCACCAGCTACGGTCGCTATTTGGGGGACCTCAAATGGAAGGAGTGCGGAAAGCACTTGTCCGAGAGTAGTGTCCATCGGCTCGAGAAAGACCACCGGACCCTCGGGTGTCAGTCTATACTTGTAGTTTGAAAACAACACATGGGTCGGTATTCACAATTACGATATTTAGAACTTTTAAGTTTGTAGCCCGTTTTGTATTGCTTGATGGCTATAACGTCCCCATCCCACGATGGCTATAACGTCCCCATCCCACGATGGCTATAACGTCCCCATCCCACGATGGCTATAACGTCCCCATCCCACGATTTAGCAAAGATGATGATACCATCGAGCTTGAGGGTGAAGACTCTCTGATAATGATCAAAAGATGAGAAGGAGGAGGACGATGATGACGATGACGATGATGACGACGATGACGATGAGCCAAGGGCCAATGGGGGGGGCGTCGGAGACAGAGGAGGTAAGAGAGATTGCGAAAACGGTGAACCTCACTCGAACATGTCGGACCGGGCTGTCTTGCATTTTTGGCTCTCATGGCTGAACATTGCGTGTGTGTTTTTTCAGGTGGTCCTGAGCCTAGCATAACATGACAGATATACTACCGTGAGATGGGTTTTTATAATAAACTTTATTTGATAATGGGGCCAGGTAGCTCGTTTCATAACAAACTATGTTCGCTATTCCAAGATTCTAGCGACAGAAAGAGCGTCTTTCAGAAATAGCCATTCGATCATTGGATGCAAGATTTAGTGGCCAAAATTTGGATATCCAATGTATCAGGAATTGTGGTAAAGAGATCCATGAGTTGACGGTCAACTGGGCGGTCAAATTTTTTCCTTGGTTCACTTAACCAATTCTGTGAGCTCCAGAATCAAACAATCCTTCCTTCTATCTCATACAACCCATCACAGTTTGGGTCGATAAGCGCGCGCATTCAGCGTATACACCTGCGGCTCCTTGGCTTCCAATTTTAGGTGTAAGATTACCGCATAAATACACCTCGGTTTAAGTATACATCGGTTTCCCCGTTTGAAGTTTAAAGATACATTGATAATGTACGCAACAACAGTCTACGTTATTTCAATTGGGTGTGTTTTCTTACTATGGGTGTCCTTCACGGCTGGGCTTGCCACTGTCCTGAGTGTCTACAAAGCCTTCATCTCCACTGCATACAATCACCTAGCATGCCAGACTCCCCAACTGCTAAGAGGGAACACCAACGTCACTCGCACAGAGGCCCCCCTATATCTTGTGTATATAATCGGGGATATTATCGCCATCTTCGTTGAAGACCTTACCCGCAAGGAAATACAGAGCCGAGCTGGATTTCCCGCTTTGATTAATATGGCTCCTTTGGTCTTGGTCGGAAGACCTAACAACCTTGTCAATAGCTAAATGATTTCTTAGCGCACACAGGAGCGCCTGCATACAGTGATACAGTACATGGTGCTTGTACAATCCGTAATATGTACCGCTATTGGTATCTCCATTAACCAGAACCAAAGAAGTTTCTCGGAGTATATTGAGGTAGGTGGTATCACCTTTCTCTGCGTCTTCATGGCTAAGTTTTGTCATAGCCTGACGTTCAAACCATTTCGTGCACTGCATATGCTTGTGACGCTTCTAGTTCTTGTCAGCTTGAGCCTACATGTGTAGATCACTCATATACCACTTCTCTGCACCTGCACCAGCATCTGCGTATTTGTGATAGTCGCCCTCTGGGCAGCGCTCATCGTTTTTCGAGTGGTTAGGTCTATTTTTAGCAGTCTCTGGGCACGTGCCTATCTCATTGGCCACGAAAAGGATGATGGAATTCTCCAGATAGTTGTCAACTTCAGGAATCCCTAGTTCAAGTTTCAACCAGGCCAATTTATATATATCACGATCCCTTCAATTAGGTCTAGCGCTGTTTTGCAATCTCACCCATTTCAACTAGTTTGGTGGGATCAGTCACTTTTGAGGGCTTTCTTCCTAGTCAGGCCTGGAAAGGGCTTCAACCGCAATCTTCTTCATCACTGGCCTAAATGGACGAGTAGGGGAGAGTCTACGGAGGATCCAATAATGATGGCGACCACACTAAGGACGATTGTCGAAGGCCCTTACGGTCTTTCTGATCTGAAACTCGGATCTTATGGGACTGTCTTCATGGTGGCTACTGGACTTGGTATAGCCAGCAAACTTCCGTATATCAAGCATCTGCTTGATGCGTACCATAGTCATAGTGTTACAACCCAAAAAATAAAGCTTTTCTGGGAAGTGCAGATAGAAGGTAGTACACACACGCACACAAGAACACTCTCGTTCCCCGCCCCTGGCATACCTCCCCAGTTATTGTTGGTGCTGACGTATTTCTTTGGGTTTTTCAGGCCACAGATACTGAATTTCCCGATGGATGGGTGAATTGATTAAAGCGGACCTTAATCATGTAGTTGAAACTCCCCTGTATTTCCTATTGATATACATTAACAATTTCAGGTTTTATCTATATCAATATTTATTACAAAAAGTACTCCCCCAAGAGAGAGGGACGATAGTCCTGGGAGGCACAATTCACTCCGACTGTACCGGAAAGATGCTGACTCCTCCAGCCTTTTGATGCAGGAAGTTACGAACCGGGTTGGCGATATCATTATTACAGGTACCTTAAGCGGCCCATAACCTGAATCTACCCTCAATAGGGGATATTAACCCCCCACAAGTTTGCGTAAAGAACGATACAAAACGGGACATCAGAACGCGCATCGGAACAAGTTTCGGAGACGGCTTGGTCCTCAAAGAGCTTGATTTTGAACCTTCGGAATAAGGAACTCCAGTCATTTTTTTTCTCTCTCTCTCTCCTGGCAATTGTGCTGGCTGACTGCTGTATGCGCCGTTTCCAAGCTACGGCAGAGGTTATCCCTACTCAGAGATACTCAATTTATCGAGTTTTGAAATATGTAATACGTATGTGTGTGTATATATGTATATCCGCCTGCTTATCTGTAGCTACCTGTAATTAGCATGATTCTCAATATCATTCTTTTTCTTCTATTGGTGGTACCCCCCTCGATTTGAGACTTGCCTGTTAAATGTATGACAGATTACAATACCATCTATATTATAGTCACGCGAAACCGTGGGTCTGTGCATTAGCGCCAAAATATTATTCAGGATGCCTCTTCTCTAAACGCAGTAGCGTTGATAAAGTATCACATATCACATAGAGCCAGCTCTATATTTTGGTAACTTGATTGGTGGTGATCCCAAAGCCTGCTGATAATCAGATATAATCGAAATATAGAGGTCTGGCATTCAAACCGCCTAGAGACTAAGGCGTGGCGAAGACGCATGACACATGTTGTAAAGTGGGAACTTTTGAGACGTCCCAACTTTCACCACTTATCCCCTAGATGTATGAGACAGTGGGAAAATCTCTCTCATGCATTAGCGTGGCCTATCGAAAAAATGATTTACTGAAGTAAGGCAGCGAACTGCGAACTTCATGGTGCCATTAAGTATTCCCAAGACCGACAAAGGCAGCAAGCTACTTACCCAGACGTTTTCTCAACAAAATTCACGGTCACATGATGTTCATGTATGAGAGAGATTTTCCCACTGTCTCATATATACAGGGGATTGCCCATCAACAACCACACCTATATCTATAGGTCTACTCAGTTTCAACTAGTTTGTCTTTGTATAAGGCCACAATTTTAAAACTTCTGGTTGAGTAAATCGCTCGGATGGTAGAAAAAGTCCCTTCGCCCAATTCAGGCAGGTCTTGGAACCTATTTTTATGGGAGGATGAATGTCGACTAATTGAAGTATGGATGAATGGACTAATGGATGAATGTTAGGCCCACATATACATAGTCAGATATATTTAGATAACGTATGAAGAGACGGCCTCGCTTCAGTCGCATGATAGTTACGGTAAGTCATTTAGGGTTAGCTAGGGTTAGTTAGGATTCTGGTAGTGCAATGTAGGACAGGATTTTGAGGTTTCCCGGGAACCGTTGCCCCACAATTCCGGGCTCCGTGGCTATGGGTTGAACAGGATGACCCGAGTCCATTCCCATCATCAGGTATGCACGTACAGGGGGTCGTGGTCGTGATTGCGGGGGCGGAGGTGGTGGTTTGGGGCTGTTGAGTAGGGTAACTCACTGTGAGTCTTGGCAACCCGTCCTGGTTTACTCCCGACATCGCCACTCACCGGATGGGTACAACGATCGATGACTGCATGGCACCGAACACACCGTCTCGAGCCCACGATCATGACGACGCACGAAATTCAATGATGCCGCATTTCCCCATCCTCTGCTTCGATGGAATACATAAATTTAGGATTCCGAACTGCGGGTTACCGCATCGGGCGAATCCCAATTCTTGTCTCCGCTGTGTCTTCTTACGCCAACTCGGATTCTGACCTCCAGGTTACCACCCGGTGTGTATTCTAATACTAATTCGGATTTCAATCTCAAACAACGCTATGTGCAATACCTGCAACCCAATATGTGAGTGACGATCCATGACCAACATTCCATATTGTGTATTGTTGCAGTTGGTTTTGCATATCCCCTTGTTAGAGTTGGTCAAAATTACTAAGCAAATGTATTACTTCTGGTAACTTACTGGATTATATTTTTCCGACCCATAAACTGAATTCTTTTGAAATATGTCAGTTTTATCTGAGAGCCGCTAACCCCAAAACCTAAAGGAAATTTTCAAATATACTCATAAACTACCTTCTAATATATAACATCGACAACTTACAATCCTAACAAAACCGATAAAAACGTTTTGCAAACAGGATCCTTTATGTCAATAGACTGCACAATATACTAAAATCTCATCGCACATCTGTTTGTACGCTAAGTTATTGACACTCTGGTCCCTGAATTGTGAACTCTTATCCCTCCCAAACCCCTTGCTTAACAAAGGAAAACAAACTTCACGACCGTAGCAAAACACTTCTAACCTGGCATACCCAATCCCCTTACACCCCTCTACCCCACCGAGTACTGCAGGCAGGAAAAGAATACTTTCACAAGTCTCCCCTACCCTCAACCGATCCAGGATATCCATCATGTCCCAGCAAGGCTTCCTGAACTTCTCCTTTGTGAGAACGCTACCCACAGAGATTTTTGCCCCCCCATGTTTCGCCGAAACCCAACAAGTTCAACCAACTCAATCTACTATCATCGAACAAATTTAACTGAACAATGAACCATTCTTCATCTTCGCAGAACACGCCCCATACAATGAACAATACACACCCCGATATTACTACATCTACTCAAGGATTGTCCTGCAGGAATCAAACGCCAGAATAGACCTGAACTATATGTTATGGGTAGTTAGTAACGCCGTCACCATCGCTATTGAACGGATCAAACAAAACATCAACCAAATCAACCACGATAACACTGCCAGCAAGCAACTCATTTTCCAGCAAAATGGGGCTCTGAAACACACCCTCAACATCCCAGTAAAACAAATGTTCGAAATAACTAAGAACCTTGACATAATAAACGAGAAACTCCACTGGCTACAACACCAAACCTCCTCAATGAAGCAGACCCAACAGAATGATTCCAACCACGACAGACCGATCATAGCCCCCCCAGCCCCAGCTGCAAGCCGACTCACCCCATTACACAAAGGCAAGAAATTGAAATATCTGTGCCCCCTGCCCAACCTAATTCAGCAGCGAACACGAATCATAAGCTGTCGCCGCCGCCCAAGATACAGGGACTGAATTCACAACAGTCACCAACAAGCAGAAACAAAAACCTAAAGATGACCCACTGTTTAACCACAAATCACAAAAATCAATGGGGAACTCGTTATCGAGACAAGCAGGGATCCGCTAATCACACCCCCCCCGATGTCAGAACCAAAATCAACTCCAAAATCCAAGATCCTGACTGCCATCTCATCACCAACCAGAAAACGAACAAAGATAACTATATCCTAGAATCAATATTCACAACCGCAGCTACCAAAGTCCTCAAATACAAAAAAGAAATCGAAGCCGCCGGCAATAAACTCAAAGTACCCTTTATTGACAGCGGAGTTGATTCCTCGAGGCAGTTACCGGTGCTTTTCGGGTATTATATAGTAGAGGCCCCGAGGGGCTTTGTCAAGATTTTCGGGATGCATATTCTGCTCCACTACTACCACGGCAAGCATGCCTTCCAGACCAAAATAACAGAAACGTTCAGTTGCCGATAGACGCAGTCAGCATGCTTCAATTTCGTCTTCTGTTAATAAACGCTGACGGTGTGCAATGAGTGTTTCCAGTACGGCCAGCTCTTTCGATTCTATAAACTCTATAGTTTCTGGATCGACAACAGAGGTGGACACAGATTTTGATAACGGCCCACCGAGCTTTGTAGAGAGTTTTGATAGCTATCCTGAGGGCCAAGCAGTGGTGGAATACTCCTCACGTGGGTGGATCAGACTTGACGATCATTCAGAGGAGGACGACGCTGCCCTGTAGATATATGAAGATGACTATGACTATGTGGTTGACTATGATGAGGATAAACCTGGAGATGAGATTCTCCCACCTCCACCACCAATCCTAGCTCCACCCCAAGTAACACCAAGTCCCCTCTCTGAACGTAGGCTCTCTCCACTACCACCACCATCTAACCGGTCATTACAAATGCCCCCCTCAGGATGAATACTATCTCAGACTCCCCCAGAACGAAGACATTTTTAGGCTCCCCGAAAATAGGAATCATGGCTCAGGAGAAGAGCAGTGGAGGCTCCTGTAGCTTCCGTTAGGGATCTTGTGGCCTCCCATAAGAGATCAAGTAGGCCAGTAGAAGAAGCAATTGCTTCTTTCTCTGTCCCGGTGAAAATAACGCAGGTATGTGCCCACTATACTCTTTGATTTGTCTATACTTATCGTACAAGTATGGCAATCATGATGCAGTTAATCCACCCAAACCGACGATGCAACAGCACCCCCTGAGGGCCGGGCAAGCTTTCGAGAGAGCAATCTTTACATCTCCAAATTCCTCGGTTGGTTTGTTAAGCACCTTGCGACATGAGCATGAGCTTTATCGTACACCAGCGGCTTCACAGTCATATCGTACCCCTCCGGCTACCCAATATCTTGGTTTCCCATCCGTCCATGGAACACCTAGGCCGGAGTCAGTTGGCAGGTCGTATAGCAAGTTGCCAGAATACAAGCTAATAATTAAACACATCGGAGAGCTTCTCGGGTATTATACACTGCATGAGGAACCTTGGCCACAACCTGACTCTCTTATGGTTAATATTCGAAAATTTTAGGCAGAAGCAAGCGATCATTTTAATACCACTTTAAATCTGACTAAAAGTAATAGAACAGGTGTGAATAGGTTTAAAGCCTTCCATAAGGCTCAGGGAGCCCTTGCTTATACGACTAGGTTCAAATCGTATCTTCACGAGTGAGATCACACCTTATTTATGCTGTCAAAGACTATATAGCGAAGTTCATCCTGTATGGGATGAATGAGCTTCTTACAGCTGAGAAATGGGCCACCAAAGTCAATTATCTACTCGAAAAGGACCGTCTCATCAATGACCCTGACAACTATTCGGTAAACATTTCTTGTCTTTGGTTAGCATTTTAGAAGGCTCTAACAGACTTCAGGGAGGCCGTTGACACTTCTGGGCTCCACAAATCCTGGACGTGATATTTCTGAAGTATTACAAAGGCGACAAGATGCGTGATGCAAAGGATCCTGATTTCTTCGATGGTATTTCTCCGGCATTCATATGCCTGGTCTATACCAGAATCTGGTTTGTTCTCTGATGTTGGACGACTGGAGATTACGTAGAAGGTGTGCACTTCAACCCAAGGCAGAATATAGATATCATGTTTAAGGCGTCTCCTGCCCTGTGAAAGGCTCCTGCTGACTTGTCAATGTCAAGGAACGTATTCTAGGATGATGGATATATGGAAGAAGAGAAGTGTACAGAACCAAGTGGGCACTTTAGAAGTGATACGAGAAACGATTGAAGAGAAGGTCAACATCGCTATGCAACTACGCGTGGTGCTGAACGTACTAATAACATTACTATATAGGTTGAGGAAGTACGAGAGCTCAGGGACTTGATATCGAAGGTGGGGCAGAAGGAAGATGATGAGGCATTGGCAGTAGATATCATGGCGTGGAGGGCTGCAAAAGCCCATCGCAAAGCTCAGGGAGACAGAGCTACGGTCGAGCATAGCAACGTGGACAACATTGGTGTGTCACTATGGCTAGGTGATAGGGTAGAGGGGCTAAGTGAGGCAGTAGATATTACACCAATGCCTTCTGAAGCCTAACCAAGGGCATAGGAGGAATCAGTGGTAGGAATTCCTTTCGTGGATATGGATAAATAAATACATTGTCTCTACGCTCTATCAGAAATTTTGTATGCTAATATATTACTATGTGTTTAGGTTCGGGTTACTAAGTCCCACTGAGTCTTGTTAGAGTCTGCTCGGAGGTTCTCCTGAGATGTCAGGAGAGCGGCTGGGTACTCAGGAGAGAATGAGACGGGTCCCTATATGTCAGGAGGGTGTGAGAGGGGTTGAATTTTTTTTTTAATGGCTCAGGAGAGCATTGGACGGCTCGCTTATTTTTCGGGAGCGTGTGAGTTGGGTTGAATAATTTTCTTAATAGCTCAGTTGAGTATAGGAGGGCTCGACACGACCTCGGCATTGAATGGGAAGGGGTGAATAGTTCTTTTATTGGGCCAGGACAGTTTAGTACACCTTTCTGATCCCTCGGGAGGGTTTAGGATAGGGTAAACAGTTTTCCTACTAGCACAGGAGATTGTGAGGAGTGTGTTTCTATGAATACGTATATGTGATTATCTTACTATAGTATCACTGCCAGTATGGAATAGGGACAGGGGGTAAGAATCGTCCTCCAGAGAGTATCAGAGATGTAACTCGTTCTCGGGATGGCTTGCTGAAGCTTTCAAAAATCCGTATCTGCTATCATCAGACACTAGTACAAATCTCGTATAGCATCCCGATAACGCTCAAAGCGTTCAAGAGAACCTCCCGAACTATTGACAAGTCTTCGGATCACTAGTCGGGTGCTCAAACCACTACAGAGAATTAAAGTTTGGCGGGTATCTACGGAGATCTTCTATATCTCCCGTGCCTTTAGTCAAGTTGGTACCGTTTGCTGATGTAGTAAATATTACTTGTTAAAAACATTCTTATAAATACCGGAGTAATATCAATAAATCCAAAGTAAGAAAAGGTTCCCAATTGAATCCGAAAGCTTTTGTAGTATTGCCAATTTCATTAGCCGTTACTCCCATTCAAATCTTCACCTCCTTATAGTTCGCAAAACTCAAACAGAGTTTACCCTCCACTGAAAAATTTGGCCGCGAATGTTTTCATTAATTCAATTATTTCCCGACGTATAATTCAATAAAAAAAAAATAACAAGAGTGTATATTCCGTAAACATTTCAGCAGATTGAAGCCGCAAATATATATTGACAACAGGTACCAAAAGTGATTTAATGAACCTGAATATGTATTATAATACTAAATACGCAAATTTCAAATATGGAATATGTATTATGCATGGTAGTGAATCGGAAATAAAGAAATACGTATTATTTACATAAATAAATCACAATCTATAAGTAAGAGAAGTTGAATTAATTTAAAGAGTCAGGGAAATAATCCTACGTAATATGTATTATTTCAAATTTATAAACATTCCCGCTATACCGTCCTATAGTATTCACAATTTCCTAATGAGACTACAAAGACGTAACTCAAGTGACTTTCTCTACTGCATTCACAGTACAGGTAACTACATATTCAGAACTGGTTTATCCAACTCCATTTTCCTATACTTAATACTAAATACAATAATTGATTTAATACCCAAAGTAACGACAATACAATATAGGTATGATATCAAATTCCCCACGATATCATTTAGGACTTGCGATAGTTCCACAAATCCTCCTCTCCCCCCTCTTCGTAATTATTCACTATAGACAATTCCAACTCCACTTCTTCTTCCTCCTCCTCCTCTTCTGTATCAATCCCGCAAAACTTTGCACTAATCATTTCGTACTGATTGCTCTCGGAACCAGCAAGAACTCCTGTAACACTGTTGAGTTTTCTCCGGGAAATTCGGAATTTGACGGGATCCGCAGCCAGAGCTTCATCGTCCTTGCCCAAACACTCCCCCGGTATCACCTGAATCGTTATACCCTATTTTTTATGTATCTATTATGGTTACCATTTAGATTATACGACATGTCCACCCCCGACCCAACTGTATGGGCTGCACCCAATGATGTAGAAGGATTCAGGCAGATGTATGAGGCCGACTCTACTGAATTATTCAACAACATCGCCCCCCTCGTCCAGCGCGTCGGCTTCCAAAGGGACACCCTTCATACACAACTTACCGCCGCCAATGAAACTATTGACAACCTCGAGGAGCAGATAAACCGGCTCAACCTCGACCTCAATGTCGCCCGCGCTGCCCCCGCCCCTACCGTCACTGTCCCCATTGCCGCTGCTCCCCCACCTGCTCCTGTCCCCGCCTTCAGGTCTGAAAAGTTTCCAGACCCTGAAAAATTCGATGGTACCCGCACCAAGCTCCCCGGATTCACCACCCAACTTCAGATGAAACTTGAAGTCAACCACGATCGGTTCCGAAACGAGGCAGCAAAGGTTATTTATGCCGTCAGTCGTTTGGAAGGAAGGGCCCTTGACCAGGTCGTTCCACTCATTAACGCTAACCCTGCTGCCCCCTTTTCCTCCATCACTGCCTTCGTTGTCCAACTGGAAGCCTCGTTTGGAGACCCATATCCCCGGAATACCGCCCGCCGCCAACTCGTCGCCCTGAAGCAAGGCAAAGGGGACTTTGCCACCTATTACTCGCAGTTCCTCCATATTGTGGCCTACCTAGACTACAACGAAGGAGCCAAGATCGGTGCCCTGGCCGAAGGACCGTCGGAAGACCTGAAGGACGCAATAACATACCAGGCAGATAGGCCTAACACTATAGAGGCATATGCCACCATGTTAATGACAATTGACAACCAGGTTCAGGGGCATAAAGCTGAACAACGGGCCATCCGGAATACGATGGGAAAATTTACCGCCCCCGCCGCTGTCGCAAACCCATTTCATACCGTTGGAGGCCTCACTCCAATGGACCTCTCCACCCTCCAAGCCCGTCCCACTCAACGCCCTGCCACAGAACAACGATACAGCTTTGTCAATGGACAATGCAAAACCTCTGCCGCCGAAAAACAATGGCGAAGGGACACCAATCTCTGTATGTACTGCGCCAACTCCGGCAATATCTTTGCCAACTGCCCCTCTGCCAATGGCCCGCGCGGTAATCAACAGGTCATGAGGGGCAACCTCCTTGCACCCGATGATACTGCCCCCAACCCCGCTGCCCCACCAGTCGCTAGTCCCGCCTCCTCTGAGTCGGGGTTTCAGCAGTCCCGGGCTTGATTAATGGCCCCTGCCCGGGACCTTCCAATGTTTCTCCTTTGTCTGCGTTTTCTATCTCTGGCTTCTCGGTATCGTCTGTGGAGGATAAATTGGATGGGGATCATTTTGTTGCTTCTTGTAAAATTATACACAATAAAATACCCATTCAAACTCACGCATTGATTGATACCGGTTGCTCCGGATTCGCATTCATTGATGAAACATTTGCGCGCCATAACAACTTCCCATTTCTCCCCCTTAAATCACCCCGCACTCTTGGAGTCATCGACGGACGGCCCATATCTTCCGGACAAATTACCCACCTCTGCTACCTACCGCTATCAATTGACTCCCACCATGAAACTATCCCCTTCTTCGTCACCAAACTCGGCTCATACCCACTCGTCTTCGGAATGCCCTGGCTCCAATTGCATGACGTCACATTACGGTTTAAGGACAACAGTATACTGTTTGACTCCGAACACTGCAGATGCAAGTGGACCTCTTCCGCGATACCCGTTCCCATTAAAGGGGTTGCACCACCGCCCAGTTTCCACTTCGTTAGTTCAGCTGCTCTTTGTCGCTTTGCTCGAAGGGACAAACTCCAAATCTTTAGTACAACTATTGAGGAAATAGATCAAACAATGGGCGAGGCCCCTAAGGAAGACTGGAGAATCCGAGTCCCAACCCAATATAAGAGGTTTCATGAAATGATGGACGAGAAATTCGCTAATGAGACGCCACCTCGCCGCCCCTACGATCATAAGATACCGCTTAAGGAAGGGAAAGAGCCCCCTTTTGGACCACTTTATGGTATGTCCCGTGAGGAACTCATTGTGCTTAAACAATACATACAGGACAACCTCCAGAAGGGCTTCATTCAGGCCAGCTCTTCGCCTGCCGGTGCCTCTGTCCTATTTGTTAAAAAGGGCGATGGAACACTCCGCCTCTGTGTCGACTATCGTGGCCTCAACGAACTTACTGTCAAAAACCGCTACCCGCTGCCACTCATCCGGGAAACTCTCGACCGCATTTCCAAAGCCACGTGATACACCAAACTCGACTTTCGCCAAGGGTAAAATAAGATCCGAATGGCTCTAGGTAAAGAATGGAAAACAGCCTTCCGAACGCATTACGGGCATTTCGAATATACGGTGATGCCCTTCGGCCTTACCAATGCACCAGCCACCTTTCAACATTTCATTAATGATTGCGTCCACGACTACCTCGATATGTTCTGCACAGCCTACCTCGACGATATTCTTATTTACAGCGACACCTTCGAGGAACATCAAATACACGTCGAAAAGGTCCTGGAAGCCCTACAAAGAAATGGATTACTGTTGAAAACGGAGAAATGCGAATTTTATACACAAAGCACCACTTATCTCGGCCTTATTATCGAACCCAATGGTATTAAAATGGACCGGAGAAAAGTGGAGACAGTGAAGAATTGGACCGTCCCCAAAAGAGTTAAGGATGTGCAAGCATTTCTCGGTTTTGCTAACTTTTACCGCCGATTTATACGTGGATTCTCGGAACTGGCTTCTCCCCTTACCTGACTGACACGTAAGGACGTATCATTTGGATGGACATCCGATGCCCAAACTGCCTTCAACGCCCTGAAAGAAGCCTTCACCACGGCGCCCATTCTTACCCATTTTGACCCGGAGAAGGAAATTACTGTGGCAACCGACGCATCTGACTATGTCTCTGCCGGTGTACTCTCCCAATACGATGACAATGGTATCCTCCGACCTGTTGCATACTTCTCAAAAAAGCACTCCCCCGCCGAATGCAACTACGAGATTTATGACAAGGAATTACTGGCAATCATTCGGTCTTTTGAGGAGTGGCGACCGGAACTTGAAGGGGCTGCACATCCAATCGCCGTCATATCCGATCATAAGAATCTCGAATACTTTATGAGTACCAAACAACTCAACCGGAGACAAGCACGGTGGGCAGAATATCTGTCACGGTTTAATTTTGTCATTAAGTACCGACCAGGGAAACAAGGAGGGAAACCGGACGCGTTGACAAGAAGATTAGGAGATCTCCCTGGAGAGGGGGATGAAAGACAATTGCATCAGAGTCAAGTGGTATTAAAGAAGGAGAACCTTGATGCAAAGCTAAGTTTGTTGGCGGGTTCTTTCTCAAACGAGCCCGCTGAAAAGAACGACTCACTGCATGGACTGTTCGATGAAGGATATAGCGCTGACCCATTTCCACAAAAGATACTGGATATGCGGAACAAAGGTGAACGACAATCAAAGGACATATCACTCGCCGAATGCACAGAGGTTGAAGGCCGATTACTTTACCCAGGCAGCATATATGTCCCCGATTACAACCCTCTTAAGCTCCGAATCCTCCAACTTTACCATGACGCTGCCTCTGCTGGACACCCGGGATGCGAAAAAACATTCGAACACATCAGTCGAGACTACAACTGGCCCCTTATGTGGAATTATATTGCCCGCTACGTTCGGAACTGCCACATCTGTCAACGAAGCAAGCCCAATACCCACGGAAAACTCGGCGTACTTCGACCTTTACCGATTCCCGAACAACCATGGCAGGAGGTATCAATGGACTTCGTTACCGGACTATCGGAGAGTGAAGGGTACGATGCAATTATGGTAGTTGTTGACCGGTTAACGAAGATGCGACATCTCCTCTCCTGTAATACAACTGTCAACTCCGAAGACGTCGCCCAACTATACCTGAGAAACATATGGAAGCTCCACGGGCTACCCACACACGTCACCTCCGACCGTGGTACCCAATTTACAGCCAAGTTTTGGAAGGCTCTTTGTAAACACCTCGACATCGAAGCAAGGATGTCTACCGCCTTCCACCCAGAGACCGACGGCCAAACCGAAGGCTGAATGCTGTGATGGAGCAATATCTACGTGGGTATGTTTCCTACCAACAGGACGATTGGGTAAAATGGCTTCCTATGGCAGAATTCTCCGCCAACAAGCAGGTCTCCGCATCCACCAAAGCTACACCATTCTTCGCGAACTATGGATTCCACCCCTGTTTCACAGTGACGATTAAATCGCTCGACAGGACCCCACCGAGTCTCAATGCTAAAGACTTCGCCTCGAAGATGAAAGAACTCCATGAGTACTTACGTTCCAACATCCGCACGGCGCAGGATCAACAAGAGCAGGCCGTCAACACTAAACGAACGCCGGCCCTACGGTACGATGTCGGTGATATGGTGTTTGTTTCAGCAAAAAACATCCGAACCACGCGTAACTCCCGGAAGCCGGACTGGAAGAAACTGGGACCGTTCCCCACTAAAGAAATTATATCGCCATATGCGTATCGAGTTGACCTGCCTAGGAGTATGAAAATGCACCCCGTCTTCCATGTATCATTGCTAGACCCCGCTGCAAACGATCCTGTACCGGGCCAAATTCAACCACTACCCCCACCTATTATCGTTGAGCAGGAGGGGGAGTATGCAGTTGAGGAAGTCTTGGACTCGCAAGAATTACGGAATACTGGCCTGCAATATTTTGTTAAATGGACAGGCTATACCGACCCTACCTGGGAACCCGCCGCATACCACGACAATACCGTCGCCGTCGATATCTTCCATACACATTACCCTGACAAACCTGGACCGTTGGAAGGCAAGATTAATGTTAAGGCTCGCAGGAGCTCGCGCTTGAAGGGAGGGGCTACTTTCATGGATCGACTAGTGGAGGAACGGGTTTACGAAGAGTTGGCTTAGTCAGAAAGGTTCTATTGAGTTCTATCGGGTTCTGTTGATTGTTAATGTATGAGTCATGTTGGATTTGTCATCGCTGAGATTTCGTTGAGTATATTAAGGGGGGTTGTTTGTACTTCTCGTTCTTTTTCTTCTTCTTTCTTTACGCAACGTCTTCTGTATCTACGCCGTTTACTGCTATACAATATCACCGTTCTCTTCTTTCTTTAAAGAAGACCGCCGCCTCGCTTCCTCTGTGTCCCGTCGAACCTTACCAACGCTAGAGTCCCGTAGTACCCCTATTGCGAGTTCCCATACCGCCCCCTATTACACTCTTCGTACCCCCCGGAATACTCGCTACCCACCCCCATGAGAGATTCCCAGCCAGAGTGCCTGTATTTGGTCTGTTTATTTATTGATTTGATATTGAATTAGGAATAGTTTTGGTCGTCTATTTCAGCATCAACTTGTTCATCAATTTGGGTATCAAATTGTATCGATCTGGACTTCAAATTGGGCATCTCTTTGGGTTTTCATTTCGGCGTTAATTAATAGTCTGTAGTATTGTCTCAAGGGGACGAATAGTGAGGATTCTATAAAGTACGAAGGAGACAGTAGAGGTTGGCCTGGGAACCTGCGATAGGGGTCCTGAAGGACTCTAGCGTTAGTAAGGGTCAAGGGGATAAGGGAAGCAGCAGCATGGTGGGCTTCATGAGAAAGGAATATGAAGTGATATTATATAGTAATCGACAGTGTAGGTACAGAAGAGGTTGCGTATCAAAAGAAAGAAGAGAAAGAGAACAGAGGCGAGGAGGAACCCTCCCAATATACCCAAGGAAATCTCAGCGATAACAAATCCAAAGTAACTCATACCTTTGCAATCAACAGATCCCGATAGAGCTCAATAGAACTTTCCGACTAATCCAACTACTCGTAACCCAGTGTATTAACTAATCGATCTATGAAAGTAGCCCCTCCCTTCAAGCGCGAGCTCCTGCGAGCCTTAACCCTAACTTTTTCTCCCAACGGTCCAGGTTTGTCGGGGTAACGTGGGTGGAAAATATCAACGGCGGCGGTATTGTAGTAGTGTGCTGCGGGTTCCCAGATGGAGTAAGTGTAGCCTGTCTATTCAACAAAGTATTGCAGGCTGTTATTTTTTGTTTCCCGTGAGTCCAGGATTTCTTCGACTGTGTACTCCTCGTCCTGTTCAATGATGATAGGTGAGGGTGTTGGTTGAATTTGCCCGGGGATGGGATCATTTGCAGTGGGATCTAGCAGCGATACATGGAAGACGGGATGCATTTTCATGCTCCTAGGCAGGTCGATTCAGTATGAATATAGCGACATGATTTCCTTGACGGGGAACGGTCTCAGCTTCTTCCAGTCTAACTTTCGAGAGTCACGGGTGGTTCGGATGTTTTTTGCTGAAACAAACACCATATCGCCAATATCGTAACGCGGAGCCGGCGTTCGTTTGGTATGAACGGCCTGCTCTTGTTGATCTTGTACTGTGCGGATATTGGAAGGTAGGTATTCGTGGAGCTCTTTTATCTTCGAAGTGAAGTTCTTAGCATTGTTGCTCGTTGGGGTCCTGTCAAGCGGTTTAATCATCACTGTCAACCGGAGGTGGAAGCCACAGTTCTCAAAGAATGGTATGGCTTTGTTGGATGCAGAAACCTGATTGTTGGCGGAGAATTCTGCCATAGGGAGCCATTTTACCCAATCGTCCTGTTGATAAGAGACCTATCCGCGTAGATATTGTTCCATTACAGCGTTCAGTCTTTCAGTTTGGCCGTCGCTCTCCGGTTGGAAGGTGGTGGACATTCTTGCTTCGGTGCCGATATGTTTACAGAGAGCCTTCCAGAATTTGGCTGTAAATTGCGTGCCATGCTCGGAGGCGACATATGTGGCTAGCCCGTAGAGTTTCCATATATTTCGCAGTTATAACTCGGCAACGTCCTTCGAGTTGACGGTGGTGTTGCAGGGTTGAAAATGTCGCCTCTTTGTTAATCGGTCAACAATTACCATGATTGCGTCGTAACCTTCACTCTCCGGTAGGCCATTAATGAAGTCCATTGATACCTCTTGCCATCGTTGTTCGGGGATTGGTAAAAGTCGAAGTACGCGGAGTTTTCCATAAGTGTTGGGTTTACTTCGTTGACAGGTGTGGCAGTTCCAAACATAGCGGGCAATATAATTCCGCATAAGGGGCCAGTAGTAGTGTCGACTGATGAGTTCAAATGTTTTTTCGCGCCCAGAGTGTCCGGCGGAGAGAGCGTCGTGGTATAGTTTGAGAATCCGGAGTTTCAGAGGGTTGTAATAAGGTACATATATGCTACCTCGGTAGAGCAATCGGCATTCAACCTCGGTGCATTCGGCGTGTGATATGTCCTTTGATTGTCATTCACTTTTTTTCCGCATGTCCAGTATCTTTTGTTGAAATGGGTCAGCGTTATATCCTTCGTCAAATAGTGTACTCAGTGAGGCGTTCTTTTCAGCGGGTTCATTTGACAAAGAACCCGCCAACAAATTTAGCTTTGCTTCAAGATTCTCTTTTTTCAATATGAATTGACTCTGGTGTAATTGCATTTCATCCCCCTCTCAAAGGAAATCTCCTGATTTCTTTGTCAATGCATCTGGTTTTCCTCCTTGTTTCCCTGGTCGGTACTTGATGAGAAAATTGAACCGTAAGAGGTATTCCGCCCAGCGTGCTTGTCCCCGGTTGAGTTCTTTAAAATTGATAAAGTATTCGAGGTTCTTATTATCGGATATGATGGCGATTGGGTGTGCAGACCCTTAAGCTCCAGTCGCCATTCTTCAAATGATCGAATGATCGCCAGTAAAACTTTGTCATAAATCTCGTAGTTGCATTCGGCGGGGAAGTACTTTTTTGAGAAGTATGAGACGGGTCGAAGGGTACCATTATCATCATATTGGGAGAGTCCACGTCAGAGACGTAGTCAGACACATTGGTTTCTACAGTAATTTCCTTCTCGAGGTCGAAATTGATAAAGATGGAGACGGTTGTGAAGGCTCCCTTGAAGGCGTTGAAGGCAGCTTGGGCTTTGGGTGTCCATCCGAACGATATGTCCTTGCGTATCAGTTTGGTAAGGAAGAAGCCAGTTCCGAGAACCCATATATGAATCAGCGGTAAAAGTTGGGGAACTCCAGGAAGGCTTGCACATCCTTAACTATTTTGGGAACGGTTCAATTCTTCACTGTATTCACTTTCCTTGGATCCATTTTAATACCATTGGGTTCCATGATGAGCAAACGTAGGTAGTACTTTGTTTGTGAAACTCGCATTTCTCTCGTTTCCGTAGTACTCCATTTCTTTGTAGCGCTTCCAAGATTTTTTCGACGTATACCTGATATTCTTCGAGGGTGTCGCTATAGCAAAGAATATCGTCAAGGTAGGCTGTACAGAACATGTCAAGGTAGTCAAAGATGCTGTCATTGATAAAGTTTTGGAAGGTGGCTGGCACATTGGTAAGGCCGAAGGCATTACTGTGTATTCGAAATGCCTGTAACGTGTACGAAAGGCTGTTTTCCATTCTTTACCTAGAGCCATTCGGATCTTATTTTACCCTTGGCGAAAGTCGAGTTTGGTGTATCACGTGGCTTTGGAAATGCGGTCGAGAGTTTCCCGGATAAGCGGCAGTGGGTGGCAGTTTTTTACGGTAAGTTCATTGAGGCCACGATAATCGACGCAGAGACAGCGTGTTCGACCGGCCTTTTTAATAAATAGGATGGAGGCACCGGTGGGGGAAAAGCTGGGCTGTATGAAGCCTTTTTCCAGGTTATCCTGTATTCATTGCTTGAGCACGATAGGTTCCTCGCGGAACATATCCTAGAGTGGCCCGAACGAGAGTTCTTGTCCTTCCTTGGGCGGTATCTTGTAGTTATAGAGGCGGCATGGCGGCATCTCGTTAGCGAACCTCTAGTCCATCATCTCATCGAACCTCTTGTACCGGGGTGGAACTCGGTTTCTCCAGTCTTCCTTGAGGGCCTTGGCCATTACTTGGTCGATTTCCTCTATAGTTGTGCTGAAGATTTGGACTTTGTCCCTTCCAGCAAAGCGGCAGAGGGCAGCTGAACTGACGAGTTGGAAGCGGAGCAGTGGTGGAATTCCTTTAATGGGAACCAATCTCGCGGGGAAGTTGCACTTGCGCTTGCACTATTTGGAGTCGAACAGTATGCTATTGTCTATAAACCGTAGTTTGGCATCGTGTAGTTGAAGACAAAGGATCCCGAGTACGAGTGGGTAGGAGCCGAGTTTGGTGATGAAGAAGGGGATAGTTTCGTGGTGGTAGTCAATTGACATTGGCAGGTAGCATATGGGGTGATCTATCTGGAGAATATGGGCCGACCGTCGATGACCTCAAGAGTGCGGGTTGATTTGAGGGGGAGAAAGCGGAGGTTCTTACGGCACGCGAATGTTTCATCAATGAATGCAAGCCCGAAGCAACCGGTATCAATCAATGCGTGAGTTTGAATGGATATTTTATTGTTTACAATTCTACAAGCAGCAACAAAATGATCCCCATGCAATTTTTCCTCCACAGACGATACCGAGAAGCCACAGATAGAGAACACAGACAAAGCAGAAACATTAGGAGGTCCCGGTCAGAGGCCATTCATCAAGTCCAGGACTATTGCAAACCTGACTCGGAGCAGGCCAAACTAGCGATCGGCAGGACAGCAGGGTCGGCGGCAGTATGAGCTGGTGCAAGGAGAGCACCCCTCATGACCGGTTGCTTGCCATTTTGGCGATTGGCAGAGGGGCAGTTGGCGAAGACATAGCCAGGGTTGGCATAGTACATACAGAGATTGTTATCCATTCGCTATTGTTTTTCGGCGACGGAGGTTTTGCATTACCCATTGACAAAGGTGTATCGTTGTTCGATGGCAGGACGTTGAGTGGGACGGCTTTGGAGAGCGGAGAGGTCCATTGGGGCGAGGCCTCCGGCGGTATGAGATGGGTGTACGACAGCGGTGGGGGCGGTGAATTGTCCCATCATGACACAGATGGCCCGTTGTTGGGTCTTACGGCTCCGAATCTGGTAGTCGATTGTCATTAACATCGTCGCTTATGCCTCTAGAGTATTAGGCCTGTCCATCCGGTATAGCATGACATCCTTCAGATCTTCCGATAGTCCTTCGGCCAAGGCGTCTATCTTGGCTCCTTCGTTGTAGTGTAGGTAGGCGACGATACGGAGGAACAGTAAGTAATAGGTGACGAAGTCACCTTCGCCTTGCTTCAGGGTGAAGAGTTGGCGGCGCGCAGTACGCCGGATATCTGGTGCTCCAAACAAGACTTATAGGTAGGCGACGAAAACGGTGACGGAGGAGAATTCGGCAGGAGAGTTAGCGTTAAAGAGTAGAATGACCTGATCAAGGGCCATTCCTTCCAAGCAGCTTACGGCATAGATAACCTTTGCTGCCTCGTTGCGGAATCGATCGTCGTTGACCTCAAGTTTCATTCGGAGTTGGGTGATGATTTTACCCTAGCGAAATTGTAATATTCCAGAGCAATGATAACCGTAAGTTGAAAGTGTGCTTTTTACCCTGTAGAAGAGATGTGATCAAACACTCAATATATTTTTTATATTAGTAATAATTTGGTATAAGTATTGCAATACTGTATTTGAGATAATGCATATTATTTTAAATGCGTATTTTGAAAACATGTCAGTAATACACTCCCGTCCAAATTAGGTAACCTTTTTTACTTCAAGTTACCTGTTTGGATTTTATTTATATTTAGAAATTCTCAAAAACAAAATGCATGAAAATTGGTGGTTCCAATTGTTTATGAATACTTCTGTATCAATTATACATAAATAGTGTTTTGTTTAAAGTATTTTAATATTACGATGTATTCGATTATTTTGTTAATTTTGAAGTTCATGCATGCGATTGGTAATCGTTGCCCTATAATGGTAATGGTTGCCCTATAATGGTAATGGTTGCCCTATAATGGTAATGGTTGTCCTATAATGGTACTGTTAATATGTCATATATATAATCTACATTCTCATCCAAACCCTTACATACTTCTCAATCCTCTCAAAGAAATTCTAACCACCAAATACAATTTCTAATATTTCAGTTCTGCATATTTCACAAAATGGTTTCGAACAAAAAATCAGTTAACCTTTTCCAACAACGGCAAAAACAAGCCAGGATTACCAAACAGATGTTGCCATTATGTTTGGATGACTCTGATGATTCTCTCCCACAAAGCCCAAAAAAACACCAGTTGAAAATAGAAGTTCCAACAGGAAAAAAAGCCAGGAGAAAAATAAACAATTCCACCTCAACTTTGATTGGTAACTTTAGGTCCAATACAATTCAAATTCAGCTTACTGATAATAAACAGGTAACAACAAAGTACCCAATCCAGTATTAACAACAAGTTCAATACCAGTATTCTTGCAGAATTCCGAAGATTTGAAATATGAAATCCCAAATCCCAAATACGATATTTCGCCCACCAATACTGCAATAGTATCTCATGGAATATCAATCCCTTTCTCTGCAAACCTTGTAGCAGATATTCAAGGAGGTAGTTACATATATCAAATTCGAAATAATTCTGTTGTATGATTTACTCATTATTCTTTCAGATCCCAAAGATATTTCAGAATCAACACCAACAATACATATCCCGGTTTCACGTCAATCAGATTCCTCCTACACTTTCAGTCAGACTGATTGTAATACTATTTCAGATGAGGATGAGGAGGAGTATGAGGAGCAGGATAAGGAAGGAGGTACTTACATACATCAAATTCGAAATAATTCTATTGTATGATTTACTGATTATTCATTTCAGATTTCAACGATATTTCAGAATCAACTCCTACAATACATATCCCGGTTTCAATTCAATCAGATTCCTCCTACATTTTCAGTGAAACTGAGGATGAGGGGGAGGAGGAGGAGGAGGAGTATGAGGAACAGTTTGGTGTTGGAACGGTGAATGAAATTTCAGAATTGGAAAAACAGAGAGAAAGTACAGTGGAGAGGGTGGTGGAGTTTTTGGTACAACAACTACACAGTTTCCAAGGCTGTGGTCAAGAAATACATTCGCAACAAGACATCAAAAGTCCCAAGCAGTCAAAAACCGAAATTCTCCCACCATTGGGAGTTACACCCCAATCCCTTGGAGTTGAAATACCATACGTTTTGAACAAGGCATCATTTTATAAAGGCACGGAAAACAATCTTACACCAAATGAATTCAGAACAGTTTTTTGTGGTATCTCAAAAACAACAGGCTCTCCTCCACCCAAAATCTCATTTGCATTGGAACCACCAACAATTCAAAATCGAGAATTGCAAATCCATACTATGTTTGACATTGACAGTGTATTGGCATTACCTAAATCTTTGGCTGTTGCAAAAAGAGGATTAAGAGTTTTTATATTTCCTCCCAGACATCTCAACATTCAACAAAACCTTCACATACAACTCTCTGTTACCAACCCAAAAACGAAACGAAATAATACACTTCCAATTCAGAAAATCCCGCATCTCATTCTGGGCAGAATATTTCAATTTACTGAATTGAATATTTTCATTTTCTTCCCCAACCTATACCACCCAGACAAGGACAACAATTTCCTGACAGAAAAAGAATTGCAAAGATTTTATGATTCTGTATTTCTTCCTGCAGTCCATGAATGTTGTCCTCCAGACATACTTCAACATCTTCCCTCCTCAATAGAAAAGGCAAAACTCAATGCATATGCGGCTGGTACAGAGAACAGATCAAGAAAAACGAAAACCTCAGGCGCCACACAGTTGATTACCCACCTCATTGCTCCACAGTACTTGGATGAAATTTGGATCAAAATGAAATCAAGATGTAATAATGCGGGATTACATGATTTCGAAAATATGGTTATTCTGCTTGATGGAAAGGATTTGAAATTGATAACCAAGAAGGAGAATCCAAATGATTGTTTCAATTCATTTTTGGATCTCTGGAGTCACAGTTGTGATAACGAATACTTGGATCCCAAGTATACTTGGTTGGATTACAGGAAGGAATATGTGGAAAAGTGTCCTCCTTTCTCAATATTCCCCAACCACATTGAGGGACCAGCAATTCCAGCAACCCCAATCACCTATCTCTGGCGTAAATGTTGCCTTCAAAACTATAACACTTTGATTTCAAAAGTGGATTTTATCAAAGCCAATCAGTTTGTGTTTTACCAGTGGGCATTAAGCAATGACACAGCTAGCATGTCCTTCACACCAAGTCAAAAAAGTGTATTTCGAAAAGCGGGATTAGTGTATTCTCAATTTTACACTATTACACATGAGATATTCAATGCAGCGAAGACATATCCGTTCCAAAATGACGCATTGGAAGGGTTGGCAGTTGATCCTTATTTGAAATCCTCTTGGTTTGCAGCTGGTGGTGGTTCAAAGTGGGAAACCAATTCAGTACAGAAAGCATATCACACTTCCAAGATGAGATGTCATGAAGCATTGAAATCGGATTGCATGAAGTCCTATGGGATAAGAGAGGAACATCGCGTCACTATGTCCTTATTGTTCAAGATCAGTCAATACCTTTTGGATCAAACACCAGAGATAATTCACAATTCCAATCCCACTTTCGACAGGCCATTCTGGGCTCATCCCACTCCTGAAATATTTGAGTATCTGAAATCAAATATCAACAAATTCGCATTTGGATTTGAGTATACAATGAGCCTCACACCTGCAAGTACAACAGTTTCATGGGAACACACTCGTTTCATGGTGATGTTTTTGAGAATATTGAAATTTTGTTATGGAGGTGGTGATATCAGTAGAGAGGCTGGATTATGGCATGACAAGTGCATTGGTGGCATTTATGGTGATAAGGGCATGGAGGGAATGGGATTTAAAAATTCCATGCAAGAGTTTGGATATCCTTGGCTCCCATCTCAGAAAATTGACTGGGGGAAGTGGAATTTTTCGGTTTTGTATTCTCAGAAAATACTATTCAACAACAACAGCCTTCACCAATCATACAAGAAGAGATGGGGGCAGGTTAAATCCATCACTGATATTCACAATCAATTTACCGCCATACTCGATACAATCAAGAGACATTCAACAAACAAATATTACGTTTATCAAGCTTTGTTACTGTTGTCTACAAATTGTATTATGAATTTCAGACAAGAGGTTTGGTCAAACACATCGGAGGATTTTGAATGTGAGGATATGGAGGATTGTTTATTGGGAAAGGTTGGGATGAGTGTGGAAGGGTTGAGGAAAAGAGTTGTGGAAGGCCTGGAATACCATTATACAGAGTCATCCAACAAATTTCGGTTTTCACCATTACAGAGGGCAGAATACCTCTGGTTCTTCAATGATGGTATTGAAAGAAACAGTTGGGAGAACAAGCCTTTCAGGCTACTTTTCAAACAGATTTACACCTTTTTGGATCGAAATTTCGGGATTTCCAAAGCCAAAGCATGGGCAACAAGACACTGTCACCAATTCCTAGAATATAATTGGGTTTTGCCACATCCAGTTAAAACCAGATTCTATCAAAGAATTTACACTTCAAACCATAGAGCGGGTCCGGAAAGAAGACAAAGAATTTGGTATTCAGTCAGACAAATACCAGTAACTGAGTGGAAGACTTTTGGGAAAGCTTTAGAGGGGTCAGGGAGGAAAGGAGATTATCAAACAGGAGAACCAAAACAACTACCAATGCAGAATTTTCCGATCCCAGTTTTTATCGATTTTGGTACCAAGGATACACTGCAAATTACGGGATTGAAATCTGCAATTCAGAATTACACTATTTTGTGAGTTTTGGGATATTTCACAAATCCGGATATGTAGGTTTACCTTTAACCATTTTGATTTGTGTGAGACTAATGCAATAATAGTTGAAATGTTTGGGATGGATAAAATATTTCTGTATTTCATTATGTTAACCAAATTTTATTGTGTTATTCAGCTACCATTCTATCAAAATTCCAAATTTATACAAACAAAGAAAGCTGTATTTCATCAATAAAATACTTGATTTGATATTAGTGTATTTTGTATAGAATACGTTCAGCAGATCGAAATGTGTTATTTATCCTGTTTGTATTTTATTGATTCGGAATATTCTTTGGTTTTTCTATAAAGTAATAGTGATTCATATTTGACAAAGTTTGATTTTGTGAATTTATTTTGTCAGAGTTAACAAAACTGAATTTGTTACGTCTTTCAGAATCTAAAAGCACAAACTATTTTTGACATAAATCAATTTCCAATGAATGATCTTGATACATTGTACATATGGGAACATTAACCGGCACAATTGAAACGAGTTGAACTTTTGTCAAATACTGCTAAGTTTTGTATTTACAAGCTTTGGTTTCGAAACCAAACTTTTGTGTGGTTCACAAGTACTTGTATAACCGTATATAAAATATAAAGGTAAGATCGCTTTTGGTAATGATATATATTAGTTGTAACTGGGGCAGACTTTCTATTTATCGCTAGAATTCAATAGAATATATGTAGCCGTACAAGATAGAAATCAGGTACAGATTATTCAAAGATACTATCGCTAGAACTTAATTATCTTTAAGGACTTGACTACCGAGTAAAATACTTGAAACCTCTGAAGAAGACTGAGGAAATCCGATAGCTGAGCGCGAATGGCAACGGGTACTTATACTCCAAAGAACTCCGTTCTCTACTCCTACTTCCTTATTAAGCTCCGGCGATACCTCCTGATGTAAGTGAAACAATACCATCGCTAATTCTTTTCTATACAAGCGTCAGCGAGTGCTTCTGGTTCCGAAGGCAACTACCATTAGTCAAAGCCTTTGTAATATCTGCAGCCTTTGTTGTCACAAAACTGGGCCTGTATGAATAAGCTGCCGCTTGTGTGTGAGTTTAATCATTGTTGTAGAAACTTCGTATACTGTAGACTGCTCAGTCATAGTCCTTGCCACTACAGGTGGACTTACAATGCTCAGAGGATGCATAGGATTCCTGAGCACTCAAAACTTCACTCTGACTGGCCTTCTAATTATTGGCGAGGCATAGACTCGTCAGTCGTTATTCCCAGAAATAGATCCTCTTCCTAGGGCTCAGAATTTGGTTACTCTGACAGCTGGTTGCTAACCACACTGCTGGTACTTGAATGTTACTATACAACTGGCTTCTAACAACTACTCTCAGCATGTAACCGGGCTGTGTTTGTACTCATACAACAGACAGTTGAAATGGCTCCGTATCACGGCCCGACCGCCCTCACCTGCCTTGCCATCGGGAATTCTCCGGAATCGTGTCATTGGTTGAAGGATCGGGATGATATTGGTTATGTTGGATCAGAAATGAAGGTGTACGGAAGATACAGGAAGCGCTGAACGCTTCGGGTTAGTATTGTGGGAAGAAAGATCGGGCTCGGTTATAGGATTTTACTATGTTTTTATGAGATTTCTTTAGATATGGTTACTGGGGTTAGTCATCAGGTTTCTCTTTGGGGGTTATGTTCGGGGATTCGTCCTTACTCCGTGTACTTCTCTTTCTTCCTTCTTTACGCAAAATCTTTATTCTGTTTGTTAGTAATATACTTTGTTTCGATCGGTATTCAGCCCGATCCTGCGTCCAAGTCCAAGAACTTACCCGAGTCAATTCTAGCCTGGGTACCTAACCCAAAATCCTCCCGAGAACCCCGCCTCTTTAGACTTCGTTACATTACTACTACTTCTCACACAACCGACATGCATCAAATTCCACGCATATGTTACATTTATACCTAGATTCAGCTGACATGATTCTCTAACTTTTTCATCTGACTACTTTGCAGCAGTTTAATAAACAACTCGTGATTTTAGTAGGTATCATTGTTCGGTATCGTTTTGATCAGGAAAAAACTGCATATCTTTTTGGGGCACTTGGGTGCCCGAAATCCCTCAAATTCTCTAGATGCCCCATATATCCCTAGACTTTTACTTGCTTGTATCCTGACCCCGGGCTATACGGAATTGGAGCCAGTGCGCCTCTTTGCGAGAAATAACCGTGGCGACAGGATAGGATGCATAGTCATCTTTCGGAGCCTCATTCCGTCTCCTTACTACTATATTGTACCCGGTTAACGGGTTTCGCTAGCAGTGTTTTGCTGGTAGTATTAGATCACTCGGCAAACAGTATATGGGTTACGAGAAGATTTTCAATTGACTGTCACAATATTTCATCTATCTGTCCACCTAACTCGAAATAAATAATCGGTTGTACTCTACCCACTCCCATACTGCTTACCTGCCACCTTGCGTAAAACCGCGCGAAGCCTATCGGACGGCTCTACACCACATTGACTCCCTATATACCTCTGCAGCTGCCTGCTAACCCTCTTACCGATTAGGAGCTTATTTGATGTTGACTTGTTGCATCGTCATA